GTTAAAGCTATTATAAAACATCTAGCATAATAATTTTAAATAACGGTTTATATGTTTTTAATTGATTATTTCCAGTCAAAGCCGCAGTCAATATTGATAAAATTCATAATTAATTATTTATATAAACTACCTATTTGTTGAATATATATTATTTTATATTATAGATTTTATTGGTTTGGTTTGGTTTGGCACGCAGACTAGCAATAGCTCGTAACTCGACTATAAAACTAACACGAATATGGAAAGACTCTGCAATATCCCATCACAACAAATTAAAATTAGTAAACACATTAATCTTTCCTATCGCTACTTATACATCAGAGATCTGGACTCTGAAAACTACAAATAGACGAAAAATAGATGCTTTCGAAATGTGGGCCTACAGAAGAATGCTGCGAATTTCATACACAGAACATCGGACCAACGTATCAATTCTAAGGCAGTTGAAAGTTAACACAAGACTTTCAACCAAAATAAACCAGCCATACTTAGTCATACCAGGGTACTTCGGGCACATTTCGAGAAGAACTGGAAGGACTGGAAAAAATCATAATCGAAGGGAAGATTAATGGCAAACGACCAAGAGGAAGATCTCCGACGCGCTGGGTGGACCAAATCAAAGAAATTTCGGTCGACGATAAAATACCATTTTATCGTCTTGTATAAAAATAACTATAATTTGTTATATTTCTTTATTTAACGCCCCTTTGTTGTACACATTGCATTTAAAACAAACCATTATTTTTCTAGAACAAAAATAATAAACATAATGTCCTATTTTTTCACCCAAGTGATTCTAATAAAACGAAAAATTCCCAGACATTTTTAGTAATTCCTGGAACCCAAACGAACCCATTTCGACACCATAAAACAAGTCTAGGTATGTGTACGTCCGTTCCGAGAACTTTATGTGAACCATAATCGTCCGAAACGATAATAAAACAAAAATAATACCAGTACTGCCAGTCCAAAGCCATAAGGAGCTGGCGTGAGTACTCGCTTCATTCTTATCAGACGAAAATTGTACCTATAATACTCCGTCGGAGTTGTACTTTCGTTAGTACTACTGGTTTGGTAGTATAGTGCGGGGTGATGTGACCGGTAGTTCGGTAGGGTTTAAGTTTTATTGTGTAACGAGCTTTAGTGTTTTATTGTTGTTATCTTTGATCTTGATTTAAAATTATGGGTGACAAAACTGAAGTGAGATTGGCAGCTTTGAGGCAAAGATATAGAAAAGTACGTACTACTACTATACTAATAGTACCTTAATGAAGAGATTCTTCACTATAAAATACCCTGTATTTTAAATTAGCACAATTTTTTCTTTAAATTCATAAACTTCTTTCAGAACATCAAAATTAATGGTTTCAGTTAGCGTAGAAGTTTGTTTCTCTAATATAAGCATTCAGAACGTCAAAATTGGTGGTAGATATTTTCAATTAGTAGAAAAAGTTATCAAACTTTTGACTTTTCCACTAATTATACTAATTATAATTTGCGAGAAATGTCATTTTGGCCTTTAGTTATCATCTGTTAAGAGAAATTGTAGTTAGAAATCAAAAGTTTATTGTTTTATAAGCGAATTATTAGGCTTTCTCTGTGAATACAACTGACTACCGCAAACCGATGCTAGGATATACCATTAATTGTATTTTTTAGACATTGTGAATTATCGTAAACTATTAATTATAAAGTATAAGTGAAACCACTAATTTACTCCACTAATTCTGATGTTCCGAATGAGGTTTCTGATGTTCTGACTTATTTGTACGTCTTTACCACTAAAAGTGAAAGCGTCTCAAAAGTGGCTCACCCCTATAACATTTTTATTTTTTTAGATAAAAAGACGAGATTTGGTATGTTAGTATATGACATAAATCAGGATTGACTGACGTCTTCAATTGTTTTCGGTCACTTCCCATTTCACAGGAAATGACTACAACTTTTGATTTTGAAATGGCACCCTCAGTATTATTTTACTTTATTCGATAGAAATTGAGACTCTGAATAAAATGACATATCATCGTCAACTTTTGAAATATTTGCTTTAAAAAAACATCGTATGATAAATATCAATCTAGAGTGCCATGGCTGTGTTAATAACACTAATTTTTAATCAAGGAGCCTTGGAAAAATGGATTTGATCGTCTAGTGTTTTTCGTGTCTTGTTCTGGCCGGTTAAAAGATGCTCAAATCGTATTTTTAATCATATGTCAATTTTGTGAAATCGAACGAGGGTGGCTCATTAGCATATTTGGAAAAAGCATTTTTTTACGAATAATTTGATACTACACAGTCGGAGAGTCTGACAGTAGTCAGAATATCATTTTCTATCGAATAAAGTAAAAAAATACCGAGGGTGCCATTTAAAAATCAAAAGTTGTAGTAATTTCCGGTGAAACAGGAAGTGATCGAAACGAATTGAATGCGTCAATCAATCCTAATTTTACTAATTTATGTCATATACTAACATACCAAATCTCGTTTTTTTATCTGGAAAAACAAAAAAGTTATAGAGGTGAGACACTTTTGAGACGCACCCGGTATAAACTAGAGATTCTAGAGATGACATAAATTAAATTTCTTAAGAAGAAATACACAAAATTACAAATAAAACTAACTAAAAGGATGTATAATTTATAAATATAAAAAATAATTAAAGGAAAATAATTTACGTTGCCAAAAAAATAAGAATAACAGCTAACTTAAATATCTAAAATTATTGAGTTGTTAGTTGTCAGTTTTTTATGTTTGTTTATTTTTTCTTCTCCTTTTTAAAGTAATTTCAGGTTTTTTTTCTGATTGTTTTCAACCCTTGACAACTCTAAATGTTATTGTTTTAAAACAAGGTTTAATCAATAAAATATATACAAAATATTAAATACCAATCATCGTACACAGTTGAATTTTAAACCTCCTATAGTTATTTAAATAAACAAATTTGATTTTTTTTCTATATTTTCAACGGTTGTTTTATATTTTAATCTCTACTCAAATGAAGCAGGGACAAAGTATTTCATGCTAGTGTAGGTGTATGAAGTATAAATCCATCTATACATACATATTTTGTACATTGAATAAACCAGTAGATAATAATACTCTGTGTCCTATATTTAAAAAAAAACGTAATTTGTGAATAGCGAGTTTAAAAAAATACGTACCTTGTTATTCGTTCGTATCGGTAAAAATTTACTGCATTTTTTTAAATTTTGTATTATTGATCATTTTTAATATCGTATGATCCAATAAAAAAGACGTCACGGTAGGCATAGAATATATATTTTAGATCGAAGTTTATGAAATTCGACTTAATTTTCTACGAACAGATGTCATCCACAGAATCAAATCCCTCAAGCGGCAATGGACAGGATACCTGGCAAGAAGGACGGACCACAGATGAACCACAAAAATCACATCGTGGAATTAAGAGACCTAGAAGGAGACCGACCCTGAAAATAACACTTATTCGTTCAATATTTCCTGAGTTCTGTCCTGTATCCCATAAATGTTGACAAATCTCATACATATTTAGAAATAAATCTTTTTTTTTAGATAATTGACCTGTTTTTAAGTCGAAAGAAGATTATTAGAATCAACTAAGTGAATGTTTGATAATTTAATAATTTCGTTAATTAGAGTTAATTAATTTTTCAATTCGAGAATTGTGTACAGAATGAATTAATATAATTTATTAAGGATATCTTAATTTAAAATATTTTGAAGTACTTTTTTACCAATTTAATGGAACTAATCTTACTTTTTATCGATTATTACCTCATTTTAATCACTTAAAAATGCTAGGTAGTTTATAATAATCTACTAGTAGAAAATTATCAATATTTTCCTTGAATATTTGTGCAACTTTTATCAGTTGAAGTAATGAAAATTATTGGTTTATTTGAATAAAAATCGGAATTGATAAGTCATATCTACTTGTTTTTTCTTTCTTCAAGTGACTGAATCATACTATTGTAAGGTGGATGTTTATACATTTCCGTGTGAATTGTGAATGTTACTATAGTCATCAGTGAAATATACCTACGTACACACTACGTAACTCAGATGGAATTCCCGCAACTTGCAGTTCTGCAATTTTGTGTGTAACATAATTCATTACTATTATTTTGTTTATTTTTAAAAAGCAGTTTTTATGTATCATAAACGAAGGAAGTGAACTAAAATTAGTAACTTCCTTAGTTCCTTGAAGAATAAAATGATATGATTTATTTGTCTTTGGAAAAGTTAAATTTTACTCAACTGGAATAGAGATTTTATCGAGTCCAAAACAGGCCTCTACACTATGCAGAAAACTCTTCGAGGGTCAAGGTCGCGTTTCATCACCCAACTTTGTCGCATTTCGATTTATTTCCAGTTGTCTTGACCCATTTCGGTTTGCCTCGACCTACTTTCGATTCTTAAAAGCGCCTAAAAACTACTCGTGAAGAGGGCGTGGGGGATTTTTTTGGCGTTTCCTATTGCCTTTTTCAATTTTATTTGGTTTTGAGCTATTCCCAAAACGTGTCGGTATCTGTACCCGAGGCAAAGGATTTTTTTTTCGTAAATCTCAGTGAAATAAGTAAACCTAGACATTTCTAAAATAGCTGTTGTTGATATTTCGTTAATGACATCTCGTTTTATGTTGATATATATTCCTCAAGATTAATATTTGAACACGCGTTTATAATATGTAGAGTAGATATATAAACAACAAAACTTTTCACTCAATCTGCAGGAATATAATTACAATATGTTTATTATTTATTTATATTACAATGAATTAGTATATAAAATTGTATCTCCTAAGTCTTAATTTTTTTCGATTTATTATAATTTTCTTGCTTGCTAAAAGCTGCAAAAAGCAGTTGGAAGTCAGTGGCGCACAAACTTTTTAAAAAAAAATATTCCAGTGATAACGTATATACGCGTATGCACACTTTTCTAAAGATTGATTTTATGAAATAATTAAGTCTTGTAATAATATTTATTTCTTGTTGTTGCAGGTGATCGCTTTTATTTGTGGTCTGATCGTGATAGTCCTGATGATCATGGGCCTGGTGTCCACCGATTGGCTGATGGCCGCCGGATGGCGCCAGGGTCTCTTCATGCACTGCATCGAAGAAAACGCTCCCGAGCCGCTGCCTTTCAACACTAGGGGGAGCGCGGGTTGTTACACAGCCAGGGACGTAGGTAAGAAATTAATCCTAGATTTTGTTAACATTATTAAGAATTTAGAATTAAGTTAATCTGATGTTGGAGCTTTAGTAGTTTCGATGTAGATGCCATTTAATGATGGGCAAATGCAAGACCAAGACGTCTTGGTCTGGAGATGAAATGTATACCTATAATCATTTCTCTCTTTCTGATGTTTCTTTTTCTATTTTTTTTCTGTTAAAATAAAGAGATATCATTATTATTTAATACCCACCTCGGGTACTGTAGCACAATAATTAAAACCAGAATCAGTTTCTCTATCGCGCCTGCAAAACGAAACAAATTTAATTCCCTTTTTGGCGTTGGGCGCCTCAAATCCTCCTCTAGGCCCTTGAGGGTCCCATTTTAACGAGCAAACTTTGGCCGGCTGCTGCACAGTTGTGTTGGCGGTGGCGTGTGTAAGTGGGGGATGGGGGGCCAAAATCGCCCCCCGGCTCGAGCTTTGGCGCGGCTTAATTGAATATTTGCATAGATAAGGGAGCAGACGATTAAATAGAAAAAGCTGCGGTTGTAGTTGTCAAAATATTTAAGCGTGTTTTGGTTCGCTTCCATTCGTATTAATAGAGTATTACCTTGGCTTGGTTTTTATAATGTATTTGTAAAGCCCCGAACGACTTAACTCAGAGCTATCGGCGGTTGATTCAGTATACATAGAAATTAATAATTTTATAGATGTTTACGCATTTTTTCAGTTGCCACAAGGTTGAACGATCAGGTGCGGTCTCAATATCGTTAAACTGACCCACAAGAGAATTTCCAAAAATACCAGCCCGCGACGATCAAAATCGTCTTCGTTGAGTTCTTGTACCCAACTGAATTTTGTACGGGTGGAACTTGTCTTTTTTTAATATCTTTGGACACTTGTACGATTCATGCCGGTCTCATTGGCTAATTTTCTTGTACTCAGCATACTATCCATGGCAACTTGGCCCAATACGAATACCTCCATAGCTTCATTTACTACAGGATTTTCCCTCCGCCTCTTTTTTTATTCATAACGGAACCAGTTTCGCGAAATTTTTCTAACTCGCGAACAATTTTGCCATAAAGGTGTTTGTCAGGATGGCGTTCATTGAATATCTGCGCAAACCGATTGCCACATTCATTATTTTTTTAAAATAAAGTTCGATTATTTTCACTTTTTCTGCATGTGAGTACACCATAATTAATTGTAAAAAAGTTTAACGATATTGAGAAGAAACTTCAACGCACAAGTCACAGAACAGCTATCTAGCAACTACCGCATCTGATCGTTCAACCTTGTGGTAAGTGAAAAATGCGTAAACATCTAGAAATAATAAGAAAAAACAGCAAATTGGTCTAAGGAATTTATCCATATCATTTACTTTGGTAAATGTTTAAATAAACTTTTCAAATTTCAATCCGTCATATTTTCTCAATGACTCGACCGATTTTCAAAAACGAAGCTGGGAAATATAGAGAATAGAAAGCTCTTTTCATTACGGCGCCACTTGACCCCCCTTCCCATTTGAAAAAAGTTGGGGGATGACACCCCCGCTTACAGGGTTGAAGATTTTGCAATTATTTTTGGGGCAAAAGTTGTCCCCCTCACAAACAAAATTGACGTGTTTATGGATTTTCTGAAAAAAAATTACCCTGGCCGTTATGCCTTGCGGAACGTTTTCGATGGGCCACTCTGTATATAAAATAATGTAAACCGCGCACTGAATCCGGTCAGCATCGGCGACAGCGACAAATATAGGATAAAAAGTTAAAAATAAATAAAAAGTAAATATTTCCTTTTCAGCATACATCAAAGCTTCGGCAGCTCTCTGCGTCATAACGCTTTTGACAGACCTGGTAGCCACCGTTTTGACAGGTCTAGGACTTCGTACGAAAGACCACCACACCAAGTTCAAATACTACAGGTTCGCTGTTATAGTGATGGGTCTAGCCCGTAAGTATTCATCTGTGATTTTAATATCACTAATACTTTTAAATATGTTTCATATGATCCAATTTAATTTTTTTTTGCAGTGGCTTCTATACTCATAGCACTTATTATATACCCCGTATGTTTTGCGGCGGAACTAAACTTAGGTGAGTTTTATGTAGTGTTTAAAAACCAACTAACAACTATCATTATAACCATACACTAGCTCTGATCACTTCATCTGCCTGGTCTGTATTTTAATGCATGCGATAGAGATAAATATAAAAGACCGGTTGACAGACAGAGGGACAATATACAAAGCGGCATACAGTGTTGCAGGTTTCTACGTTTGTAGAAAGATGTGTGTAGAAAAAACAAACTATTTTAAAAATATACTATTATCTACAGCTGTAGTAAAATGAGTAACTAATTATGACAAATAAAGTTCCAACTCTAAATGCAAGATTTTTCATAAACGCCTTCTGGTGCTGTTTGAAATTTTGATGCAAAATCCGGCAATATTCATCTTTTTAATAAATTTGATTTTACATTAAGCTGCCGACATTACTGTCTTACGCGTTAATATCCAAACCACGCAGTTTCGGTATAAGTAAAGATTTTTTCCCCAAAAAGGAATAGTTTATTTGAACTACTCACCATTAATGCCGAGTCATTTGAACTACCAACCGTAAACAATCGCAAACGTGTTTATTGCTATATTTTATTGATGGTACATTTGAACTATTTTTCCCTTTTTAATGGAAAACAACCTAGAATACCTAGACGTCCCTAGCCTACAAACTAGGGTCGCGATAATATAGTATCAATGTTAATTCAATTCTATCTTCTGTTGTAGGCAACCGAACGATATGGGAGTTCGGCTGGGCGTACGGCGTGGGCTGGGGCGTGGCCATTTTCCTCTTCAGCGGCGTGGTGTTGCTGATGTGCGACAAGGAGAGCGAGGAGATCTACTACAAGGAGCGGAAAATCGTGCACGAAAACGATTCGCGCGCCTAGTGGCCGCCTAGTCTGCCCGACGTTGTCCTCTGATCGTAGGGGGTGGCGGACAAGCGCTCACCCTCTCCGTGAGAGCGGGACTGGTACGAACGAGAGATTCTTGTGAGTCGACGTGAGAGTGAATATGCGATAGAAAAAGGCGCTTTTTAGTTATATCTTGATCTTTGTTACGAAGAGAATAAATTAAAACATTGCCATTTAAAGAATTGAAAATTATAGGTCATTGTCTTAGAGAAAGTGTTCTTGAAGCTCTCTAAATAAAATCGAATTAAAAATCTAAGCTTAAAGTGACCAGAGACCAGAGCGGAATATTTTAAGGGATAGTTCATTTGAACTACTCACTATTAATTTCGGATCATTTGAACTACTATCCTTTAAACATAGGAAACGTATTTAATGCTGTATTTTATTACATTACGGTACATTTGAACTATTTCCCATTATAATTAATGGGACATTTGACCTACTCGTTAAAAATAATAAAAAGATTTATATGGATATTCTATTCTTTAAATGGTTAAAAGAAACCAGATTCTTTATTTCATACAGAAAAAAAATGTTGTTAAGTTTTGTTAAAACTGCAGAATGTAGCATTAAATGAGCATGAAATATGTACAACGATCAAGATACTATATTCTCCTATAAAAGGTTAATTAATCATTAATCCTATAATATGATTATCTTTACTTACAAAACTTTAATATTTCTTCCAAAAAAAATATACAACTGCATTATGTTCTTAATAACTTTACATAATAAATCTAATACATTTTATCTAAAACCAATGAAACTTTGACCATTTTTCTAAAAATTCGAGCGAAATAAGAACGCAAAAACCAAACCTACATGTTAATACACGTCGATTCTCAAGAATAAAGTGTGAATGTTGCTTGCCTGTAATTGAATGTTTACCTGGTCAGTTTGATATAATGGAGACCAATTTCTGTTTGTTCTGGATTTAATGTACAAAATAGTTTTCGTAGGACGCTCTCCTGTAATTAATAATTCAGCTTTATTTTTGTATATTATTTTTTTCCAATTTTTATGCGAATAAATGTGTAGTAAGTCGTTCGGACAATGAAAACGCGTTATTTAAACGAGTAGACATTTGAACTACTCTTCATTAAAACGAAGTATATGTACAAATATCGAATAAAAGGGATGGTTCACTTGAACTACTCACTATCTATGGCTATTTATTTGAACTGTTATCTAATAATACTAGGAAACGTGTTTATTGCTGTCTTTTAGTAGTGATACGTTTGAACTACTTCCTTTTATATGGATGGGTCATTTGAACTACTCGTTTGAAAAAATCGCGCTATTATTTTAGCGAAAGGTTGTTGAAACGATGCGATCTCCCGGTTTAGTTTTAGTACTATATCTCGTTCGGTTGTTCTTAATTGATTTTGAATAAAAATTTACGGTCAAACTGATTAGAACGTTTTACTTTTACACTTGTTTTAGTTGCTCGAGGTTATTATAGTGCGACACTTGTTTATTGTCGTCCATTACTGTACATTGTTCATTCGAAAATGTCGTGGCGCACTATAAAAATGCCGCACGGCCCAATTTTGTACCGTTATCATTATATTTTTGAGGTTAATCGGTTTCGACCACGTTTTTTTTTTCTGCGTAGTCGACACCGATTTTACCAAGTGGAATGAGTGACGTGAGTCTGAGAGGCAACCCGGGCAGGCTAGATGTGTGGAGTTTAATATTTAAGTCTTATCATTTTGATTGAATACTGAAAAAAATGTTTTAGTCGCTATACGGGCGGTTTTAACCTTTTTTACAGACATTTAAATCAGATTGTGTTGTAAATAAACCATTATTAACAGGAAAAAAATCTTAAAAACTGTCGTATTGTGGCTTTAACATCTTTTGAACTATTTAGACCGTAAGTTATCCATGTTTAAGACATAATATCGGACAGAAATTGACATATTGGACAGATCCGTCGTATTACTCTCAAACAGAAATAGAATTAATCAGAAAGGTTGCACGCTATCTAGTAGACACGGACAATACAACAAAACTAAAATATACAATCAATTCAAGATATCATTTTTGACAGGTTTCAACATTGAATAAAAAGACTAAAGAAGGACTATATTAACAAATAATTCGAAAACGCGAAGGGGTTTCAATATGGCTGACTTGTATTCCGGTTTACCAGTGGCGTTCGAAATTTTTTAACATTAAAATTATCCCAACCAACACAAGAAAATGCGTTTATTGCTGTATTTCAGTAATAATACATTTGAACTACTATCCACTTATATGGACTGGTCATTTGAACTACTCGTTTGTAACTAATGCTATTATTTGTATTATAAACGTTGCTATTATTTACGGATTGACTTTTTGGTTAAAAAACTGACTTTTTTTGTTTGAGAGGAACATGCATGTTTTTTTTTTTGATAGATGATCCTGAAAAAGAGGAATTACTTCTGTTATAGATTGTAAGGACTTAGGCTATATTTATCGTATAAATGTAATTATAAATATTTGTAATTAGTTAGGTTGTAAGTGAGATGTCATGGACCGACGGGCATTTTTTAATGATAACGATAGTTCTTTTGAATATACAAAAAAATCAAAACAAACAATATTATATATGGGACTTCCCCTTAACTTAAGGTATTTTTTACAAAAAAGTGTCAAAACTTCCAGGGTAACAGCACACAAACATAATACGCCATACGACCGAAAAAAAACGCCGTCACAGTGGCTTTTCAAATAACAATCAATGATAAATTCTGTCGTGCGACCCTTATATATTATTTATCACAAATTGATATGGATTTTTGTCAAATTTTTTATCAATTTTTTTATAGAGGTCCGCACGACATATTTTGTCATCAATTATTGTCATTAGACGGGCACTGTGACGTCGTTTTTTTTTTGAAAATCTTACTACTTTCCATTCACTCAGAACATTTTTCTTGTTATAGTTTTTAGGTACATATAATTATAACTATGTATAGTTAAACATGATATGAACTAGCATTTTGGTTTAAGTTTTTACAATTCGCAGATGAATTATTTTTCTTTTAATTTCAGCCAATTTATAACAATTTAATAAAAATAAAATGAATAAACTGACTGAAAAACTTGACAAGAAAATATAGTAAAGTTGAAACCAAAATGTGACTTTATAAGGTGTTTTAATTATATTTATTTATTATAATATTGTATTTGCTTTAATTCTAAGCAAGAATTAAACTTATTTTACTTGAAATCAAGTATCACTTTAGGAATTTCTTGCGTACACTACAATTTTACAAATTAGGCTTTACCCACGAAATTTTTGTGATAATTATGTAGAACTCATAATTTTTATTTTTTTTATAATGAAAAAGTAACTTTAAATCATGCATATCGTTAATATTCATTTATACAGGGTGATTAAGTTTGTTATAGCATCAAATTAGCAGTCCATAAAAAAATTTTTTAAAAAGTTCTCTTTTTAAAATAAGTTTTTACTATCAACTGTTAAAAGAATTTGCTACAAAAAATATATCACCCTGTATTCAACAATATATACTCAGAAGAGGTCTTATGTAATCTAGTCGCCATAAAAGTATTTTGTTTTTGTTGAATTTTTCACATAGGGCAGCTATATTGTTCCAACAAAAGAATACGGAAAAGGTTGGAGAAAACTGGACCAAATTTCCTTTAATTTTTTAGTTGTTTAGCGTTTATAATAGAACACAAATTGATCCGTCTTCAGTTATATTTTTAATGAGAGGGAAAAACTGTATAAAAAGAATAACAATTAGATTATATTGTAACTATTATTGCATTTAAAAGGGAAAAATTAAAGAACGTAGCAATGTGATATAATAGCTTGATATGTATATAATTATTAAATGTACACGCCTGTAGAATCTACAAAATAATTTATTAGTATTATCCCTAGTGGTTTTTTATTTATTTACCAAACTAAAAAGAATAAATAAAATCATTTGTTGGTATCAGAGATGTAGAGGTAGGGAAAGAATCAGTATAAACGTGCGTAGAAAAAGTTTTGGTTTATTTCAAATAAAGACTACACGGGAAAAACCAGATATGTCACATTTTCATAGAAACTAAGCACAACTTTATAGGTAGATAGTCCCAGAGATATTACAGCTTGGTTATTTTGCCGTACAAGGGAAAAACCAGAGTAGTCCACGCGTAAATGGCAAAAACCAGAGATGTCCTTACGTTTGGGCGACCAGCATGCATCTTGCGGTCTGTATTAAATGTAATGATCAGACTAATAATCACACACCTCTGCGCCGGCAACACCGAGAAGCAAACAGGGACGTATCACAAGCTTTGCCGCTATTGCTGGACAAGTGAAAATGGCGTTGTTGCCAAAGGATTACCCAGAGGTTGACCATCGACCAGCAAACAGCTCTAGAAGAGGCGATACTTGTTTGGAATAAAGGAAGAAAACTTTTGAATACGCACTCGTCGAAGTTCATTCTCCCACCTCTATATCTCTGATTGGTATATACTGTTGCTTGTCACTATTTTTTTTATTTTCTTTATGTATATTTATTTATTTATTTAATTAGTTCAACAAACATTTTGTAACATACCTCTGATAATAATCTTTCCTTCCAATTCGCAACAATTTATATTTAGTTTTAAGTTTTCCTAATACGTATATAAAAATAAATTAACTTTAGGTTCTTCTACCAAATACTTTGTATTTTTTATTCGTTCGAAATAATGAAATAAATCGTCATATTTCTATTTACGAGTGGAGTTTTATTTTAAAGGAAACGACGTCGTTCTAGGCATGGAAAAAGAATTTCAGTTCGGGACTTACTATATATCTGATGAAGTCAAAGAAGTTAGTAATTGAGAAAAATGCAGCCTGAAGCAAGTAATGACATGTTAGACAGTATAGAAATTAAAGAAGAAATAGAAGAAGACCAAGTAGATCAAGAGGATTCAGAGGTAGTTAAATAAATTTAAGTACCATATTCTAGAGAATGAAGAAAATACAGTCTGAAGCAAGTGTCAAACTTCTACAATTGGTTAGTTCTGGTATTTTATGCTACTGTGCATGTATACAGTGAAGAAAATACAAGAAAATCTTACATTTATTTGTTAAAAATGCAACCCGCCTATTCAAATTTATCCTTTGGCGCGCGTAATGGTTTACAGCGCCATATTAGTTTAGTGACAGTTTTTGGAACTAACTACTAAAAGCCTTACGGAAAATTTTAAAAGTAAGCAATTACAGGTTTCTATTTTTACTTGGTATGTGGCGCCATCACGAATTAAGAATGTAAAGTACTCGTTTATAGATTTCTTTAAAAAAAACTCAAATAATGTCCTCTAACGGTCAATAGCTGAACTTTAGTAATAATTTTTTTAGAATTTTAAAGAAATCTGCAATTTTTAAATCCCAAAAAGTTTTAAGTGAGAGCCATCTATGAATAAAATTTTATACTAAATTTAATTCTAACCCTAGAAAATACATTTTTAGAAGTAAAATAAATGAGTTTATTTTTCCAAATCTACTGGTTAAATTCAAATGTACGATCTATATTATACTTCAGAACTTTCTTTTCAATATTATTTAACTACAATTCGTATTTTTAAGTATAATCTGTGAAGACAATGGTAAGACGTAACATTTTTTTATTACAGGTACAAATATGTAGCAATACAGTGATAATAAAGGATTCTTATGGAGATAAGAAACGAGAATACACCAAGAAAAATGGAGAGAAATAATACCGATTTTACTCCGACTTTCAGTGAAAGTCTGGGCCAAGAAAGAGTAAAGCTAGAGCAACAAGATTCGAATCCACTTGAAAAAACGAATCCGTTAGATGGTTTTTGCTTATAATTATTGTCTTTAAAGTCATTCCTTCAAATACCTCTTCAGAAAATTATGCTGTCCAACATTCATATCCATGGACTCGATGCTGTACCTCCCAAACCTGCTTTTTTCTTTGATATAAAGATAATTTGAAATTACTCTTTTGGAAATGCATTATTATTATGGAGATATGATTGCAGTGTATAAGGTAAACCTTTTTTGCATTGTTTCAGTGTGTTTTTTATTTGATCCAAAGAATTTTTGCTTTAAAATTGTAGTTTGTAAATGGAATGCTATATTTTATTTATTTTGCTTTTAGATTGCATTAGATTTGTCATAAGATTGCCATTTCAAAAATACCTTAACATCCTAATTTATACCTAGTAGTTTTTGAAATATGTGTAACCATTTTTGTAATAATAATAATTATATTACAACTTCAAAAGGGCTTTAAATATGTTAAAAAATTTAATCTACAAATGGTCATATTTCAGTAATACTCAGTATAGTTTATGGTTATTTATGAACTAGGAACTTCATGGCAAATCACACAGTGAAAAAAATACAGCATGCCATTTAAAATCTATTGACTTCATTGTAAAAATACATTTGATTCGCCCTGTATATGAATATTATCACATTATATATTAATAATTAAAAATGTATGGCCACCATTGTCCTTATATATTGTAAAAAATATTCGAGTAATGAAAATCAAACAAGGACCTGGTATGGAGCGCTCTTTCCCACTGGACCACCCTGTATAAATACTTTTTTATTTTTGTTTCAGAAATGTTAGCAAGTTACTGGAAATATGAACATCCGGTATACATCAGAAAGAAAATTCTATAGAAAAATCAACGAGCAATCCAATGACATGCTATTTGGGCTGTATAATATGTCTAAAAATAAATTTATAATTAATTGTGTTAATTGTATTTATAAACTAATATTTTTCTAATAAATCTTAATAAAGTTTTCAAGTAGTTTCCTTTGAATCCTTTGAATAATATTTTAATTTAAAGCAACTATCTTTAAATATTGTTGTATTACTGGTTGCCAAAAGAAACAAGAATTAAAATATTTGAAAATAAATTCCATAAATATTAATCTAGTTGCCTTTAATATTGGTACATTAATGTAGACATATACAGTCTCTCATAGTCCAGAACCATACCATATTCTATAAAGATTTGATTTCTTTTACCTCAAAACAGTCATATCTAGTACCAAAAATGAGCATTTTTTAAAATATTTTTGTCATTTGAATTAAATCGGAAATTGTTGGCCAACGAGCTCAAACGGTTAGACTCGTTTACAAAAACGTTAATTGCTCAAAAACTAATTAAGATATCGGGGCGAGATAAGTCGCAATCGATAGGGAATTCAACCCTCTATCTGTACACAAAATTACAACCCCCTACGAAACACTTTATTTTTTGGAACAAAAAAGAGCAGAGGGGTTAACCTTAGAAAATTTTTGGCCCAAAAAATAAAGGGTGTCGTAGGGGGTTGTAATTTTGTGTACAGATAGAGGGTTGAATTCTCTATCGATTGGCGCTAAGCGCGCCCTGATAGCTCTTTTAGTTACGGAGTTATTAGCGTTTTAATTTCAAAAACGAGGTCAAAGTCTTAGAGTCAATAAATTTCAGCGTTTCTCTGTAGTGTTAAAAATTTGTTCGAAGTAAGAAAAATTTCACACGGGGCAACCAAATCTAGCTCATTTTTATCATCAAAAATTTCATTTTAACAGAAATGAGACGATATTTTTCACTCATATTTCTTAAAGCATAGATGTATGTATGCGATTATATTTTTAGTATGCCATGATATATTTTAGGTTGCTATTTTATTTTTGTTATATTCAATAAGAGCTCTAAGAGTTTTATTTTTCTTTTAATTGTTATAGTAAAGGAATTTTGCTATAAGTAAAACACATGTGTAGTATATTAAAATATTTATTGAAAAATATTCGAAAAGGACCTTCATATTGAATGTTTATACATATATCAAAAATGTTGCCATCAAGTGGCAGGGTAAATAATTGCTATACATAGGGTCTAATAATAAATTCTAATACTTTTATTTATATTCTGTTCTAATTAGACACAATCATAAGTAATTAATTATGGATTTTAATCCTAAAAAAATTATTCATAACATTATTTATAAAGCTATATATAAATTTCTTTACACTAGTACCAAAGACTTAAAGATTTCTTCGTTAACACGGTATTATATGTTTACATATATTTACTATTTTTATCTAATTAAAATAAATAGACTAAAACATATTTTTACACTAGGATTTTTCATAAATTATAAATAACAATTTGAACTTATTAACTAAAAATACCTACAAGGAAAATATATTTTTTTCTTATCATTTATAACCATTTTTATTTACTAACATGCTACATTTTTTTAACAATAGTAATATAAAAGTATATTAAAATCCAAGGTAGTGTTGGCGGACTTTCTGATCTCTATATGGAAGTAAATAAATCTTCTAGCTAGTCTACCCTTCTGGAAAGTCTTGATTCTGAAATATAAGTATAAAGAAAAAATTAATTATTTGTACACTAAGAAGCTTGATAAAAATCTTTCTATAATTTTAAATAACCCGTTAATTTCGTAAAATAAAGACCTTTTTTAATAGTAATTCAAAGAAAAACATAGTTGTAAGTGTAATTGAGAAATATTTTAATTATACTAATTAAAAAAGTGTTTAAAACTAAATTCAAAAATCAAACTCTTTATACATATAAAATAAAAATAATGGAAATGATTGATGTATGTTTAGTTGCCTATACTAAAAGTAAATAGCAGGCCAAAATGTTTTATTTGAAATTTATCTTTTAAGTTAAAAAATTATTTATTAAATATAGAGCCTTATAGCTTGCCAGAATTTTTTAATTTCAATGGTTAATTAGGATTAAGGAAATATTGTTGAATTATATCCAATATTGTAAATTTTAGGTTTATTTTTTTTCTATATATTTTCCCGTTTATGTAAGTAGACTTATCTAATTTTTGTAAAATATGTGTAATATGCTTTGGAATATTTATTTTGATGTTTGACGATATTTCTCTTTATGTTTTGTAACATAATTTGGAAATAAATAAATATTATTATTATTATTATTATTATCATTTATATCTCTAATATATTATTTACTTAAAAGTTTTTTTACTTTTTTTCTACATTATTTATAAAATACAATAAATTAGGCATTTCTTAAATATATCCCACTTAAAAACACTTTTTAGTATAATTTACCGAAAATGATTTTGTTTCCTCTTCAATGATGAATGACTTTCTCAATCTGCTGTTGAATGCTGAATTTAGTTAATCTAATGGCATCTCGAAGAGGGTGGTTGAACTGCAGCTGTCTTTGTTCCAAAGCAGTACAATATCCCATACAAAAACTCAATTTGAAAAGGAACAAAAAGAAAATCAGCAAAAAAATGAATCCAAAATTATATTCTTAGAAGAATAACAGTAAAATCAGCAATAATATGTAGAAATAAGAGAAAATATTTAAAAATATAAACATAGAAGAACAATAAATTTTATATAATGATGATTGATAACTCAGAAAAACATAAATTTATAAAAGATTTCTAGAAAGAAGATAATATGAGAGACACGCAGAAATAGAGATATGTGGAATTGAAAAAAAATGTATGAAAATGAGTGATTAACTTAGAAAAGGCTCAAAAGAATGATACAAAATATTATAATTTTATATAATTGATAATAAGAAGACTTAGAAATTTGATCAGTGGAAAAGTTTATAAAATTGATGAATGATGACATTCCCATAATGAAGACTATGGGAGACAATAGTGAGACAGATATGATGATTGAAAAAGATGGCATAAAAACGAATAAAAAATATAATTCTGTACAGGCAATAGAAATTTTGAAAAATTTTATGTCTTAGAAAAGGCTGAATAATATGATATAGAAAAATTATACAAGACAATCAAATAGAAGAGTGATGATATTCCAATAATAAAGAAAATATTAGTGAAAAATAATGAAACAGAGACATGATGAATTGGATAAAGTGGCATAAAAATGAGGGATAAATTGGGAAAATGGCATGAAAATGGACAAAAAAGCTATAATAGTCGATAAAATTAATATCTTAGAAAAGTATCAGAAGAATGGCACAAAAAATTTTGGAAGAGTTCATAGAATTGATGAATGATAATATTCCATTAATAAAGAAAATATGGCAGACAAAAATAATGAGAGGTCGGCCAGAAGCAAGATGGGGCAAAAAATTTTAGATGATATTAAAAAATAAAGAGGTATGTGGTCATTAAGAACTGGAAAATTGACAAAAAGCTCTGCTTAGCCTCCTCTCGGAAATATCTAGTCAATATTTGACATCAAACCCGTAAAGAAAAAATCCTCCAGAGCATATAGGTTCGCCCCCCTTCATCAGATTTAACCCTTGGCCGACGATTAAGCCTCACCAGTCAGTTCCCATCCCAGCTAAGCAGCCTCGTCTCGGGTCACCCTCGTCACCCATCGAGCGGACATCCACCGGGACCCCCTACAGGCGGACCCCCCTCATCATCTTCAATGTGTCCGATATCCCGCCCCCTCTACCGTCGAGACGTCACGGGATACGTGCACGAAGAAGTCTCGTAGCTTGGGTGCCAGGTCGTATCCGGCCGAAGCCTCTAGCGTTAGAACACCTAGCTCGTAAACCAGAGGGTGGTGACTCCCTTGGGTACCTATGCATGCTACATAGGTCATCGATGGCCGAACATCAAGGTTAGGGGGTGACCCAGGTCCCCTCCTCTTAGGGGAGGCTAGCTATGATGCTCTGGAGTCGATGTTATTCAGGAAAATTTATTGTGAAAAGGCTAGAAAAGCCAGAACTGGACGAGTAAGTTTTTTAAATAAATGGCGAATGCGCCAGGAATTAATTGGAAATTAGTCCTATTTGAGACTATTAAGTGCGTTTAAATTATATTTAAACCCATGCAAAATAAACAAATAAAATCCGCTACAGAAATTATAGAAATGCATGGCACATGATCTGAAAAAATTGACATGGAAATGAATCCATTAAAACTGAAATTCTGTACAAGGAATTACACAAGCAAAAAAAGTATTAGAAAAATGACCATAAGAAAAATAATACAAATAAAAGAAGACTTATAGAAATACAAAGAATGAATGATGTTATTATTCCCACAATGAAGAAAATATGGGAGTCAAGTTATTATGCAGAAATAAAAGTAAACCAAAAACAACATAAACTTTTAAGTAGATGGTATACTTTACCAAATATTAACAAATAATCTTTGACTTTACCAAACAAATAAGACCTATAGAAATACAGTCAATTATTAATGAATTATGGAATTGACTAAATGGTGATATTATTTCCACAATCAAGAAAATATGGCAGTGAAGATAGTTATGGAGAAATGAAATAAACCAATATGAAGCAACTTTCTGAGTAGAAAATTACCAAAAAAGAACAAGAAATAGTCGAAAAACAAAAATTGACCCAAATTAAAAACAGATAGTCTGAATTTTTCTATAATAATAATGAACAATAAAAACGTAACAGAGAGACCCATTGAAATATTTTTCCTAATTAACTAAATTTAAAAATAGTGAAATCCATTGATGAACATTAAAAACCAGTAAAAATATATGTATTTACCCAAAAGAAATAACATTTTAGATATACTTATGTCCTGATGCATTGTTGGTAATAATATCCATCAAAAGGATAAATGTACTGCCCTGGAACTGTACACATCCATCGATTTGTTGTAGATCTGTAAAAACGAAATAAATAAAATTAGATTTTCTTAACTATGCTATAAGCAGTGTTTATTTTGTTTCTTTTTTCATATTGATATAAAATATATCTTAAAAACTATTAAAAATATCTATACCTATGTGGCGGATTTATCTCTCCAAAAAAATCTTTTATGGGTATTTCGCCACTGCACTGCAAGAAAATCTACAAAATAAAATAGTTATTTTTTGTAAACACTTCGTCAGCGTAAACAGAACGTCAACATAATGTTTAGGTTTAACGCAGAACTGCTTACAAAAAATAACTATTTTATTTTGTAGATTTTCTTGCAATGCAGTGGCGAAATACCCATAAAGGATTTTTTAAAAACTATAGTTAGACTGTTAAGAAATATTTATTAAGGTTATTAAACTTACTTTCAATCAGATAATGGAAGACCAACTCTTAAAACAGAATGATGAGCAAATATCAGGATTATATAAGAAGTTACCCAGGTCTCTTCTATTAGATGGCCTTTATGTGCTGGTGTGCTGCTATAATTAAAGCCCCTAAAAGAGAAAACATGATATTTAAACAAAGCAAAATTGTTAACAAAAATATGACGCCGGTGTAATAGCACTGAATGTGTGTAAACGTATTTTACTTTATCTGAAAGTATTACATAATTCATTTAATGCCCCTTAGGTACACTCACTTACTTATTCTAAACAACGTAGAAAATACTTGTCTGTACGAATAAACACCTAAAAAATTATCTTTAGGAATAAAAAAAAACATCTCTAGGCAAAAAAAATAGTCCAAAATAATACCAAATATCTCGAAAAATTTCGCATTATTCTAAGTAACAATTTTTTTAATGTACAATAGGGTCATCAAGGAAAGTATTTATATTTCCATATACGCAATTTAGAAAAGGAAAACGATGAAAACAGGAAAATTTTATTAGGTTTTAAATGATGTAATTGAAACATTTGAAAGTGAAAAAATCTATAGAAATCGGACAAAATCATGGGTACTTACATTTTCAGGAGAGTAAGCAGGCCTTAAGGAACAGAATACACTCAAATAGTGTACAGAAAAATCACTTTTTCTATGAAAAACTCGGAAAATTTATAAGAGCAACATAAATAACGTCACGCCACTACCAACGGGAAATGTCACATGTCAACGTTGTCACTTTGTCAGTTTGAGAACATTTAAAATAGAATAATATTTTTTTGTTGCATAAAAATGATGTCTCTAAAAGAAAATATATTATTTATATAACGGAAACCAAGTTTCTGTTATATTTTTATTAGATTTATCGTGATTTTGTAATGGTTCAATTCATTTTAGACTTACAAAAATATTGATTTAGATTCGATTCAGGATTTTGTTAATAATTTGGCAACCTCGGATTCACTTTAGTTCAAAATTTACTCACTTTGTCTACAATGGCGCCACATGCGTTCTTCTTCTTTTTCGTATTTCAGGTCTTAAAAGAACAGTAACCACAGAATAGAAGTAATGTTCTTCTTCTTTTTCTATTAATGGTCCCCAAACACGAACAACCACAGATTTGACATAAAGTTTTTCTTCTTTATTCTTAAATGGTTTGAACGTATATAGGTCATCTGGCCTGTGTTCAGGAAAAAATTATCAAAAGGAGTCCAAATTATAATCTATGGATAATTATTAAACAAAGACAACAACAAAAATAAACAAGTATAGGAATCGTAAATAAATAAAAAAATAAAGTGTAATAAAAACTGAACCTAAGTGTTGCTAATTTAATAATTATTATGTCTATCTATGATTCGCATTATATTATAAAATATTACTTTTCTTGGTTTTCTGTTTCATACCTTTTTTTTCAGTCAGGTGAGAAAAATAAAATAAACGATATTTAAATATTATTTATCTAACAAATACATAGGGATACAATACAGAAATTAACTTACATTCATTCTTGAATACAAAAAGTGCTTTAACATTACTTAAAAATCGATAAAATTATCAGAAAAAAATAATACAAGCATTACGTTCCGTTAAGGGCCCATGTATGTAATCAACCCCATCTACTAAATGTTTATTTATGTACAAAGATACACAATTACACATCTTCCTAATAAAATACAACAGTTAAATAACATGAAATATATTTATACTTTAACATAAAGTATAAACAATTTTAAAATATATTCTAAGGATAAAGCAGAGACGTTTTCTCCGTCTCTGACGATTAAAATATAATATAGATTTCTTCTTTAAGCTATACATATACAGGGTGAACCATAAAATTAGCAACAAATTGTGATTTTTTTATTTATTGGGCATGCTGAAGAAATTAAGCATAAACTTTTTTCAAAACTCAAATAAAATAAAAATGTTTTGTATTTGCTGCAAACTTTTTGCTACATCCTGTAGAAAGTCAGATATATATTATCTACAATTACTAAATTATAGAAAAATATAGACAGTCTAGACTATCTTAATAGGTTACAACTTCTAGAAAATAATTTCCTATAGTTAGAACTAAAAAAAAGAAACTAGATATAGTCTGTCCAACAATGTAGAACACCTCGCAGTGACAGTTGTTGTTTGTCATCTGTCAAAATCTTGACTAACTCGTAGGACAGACTGTACAATTGAGGAAACAGTGGTCTGTTAGTTATAAAGAGCGTGAAGAAAATAAAATTAAAACACCTGTGTAACGGCGGTTTGCACTGGGTCAATCTTGGTACAAACATGGTGCAAGCCAAGCTTTCTGCTATATACAGGGTTTTGCAAAGAACTCATTCATTAAAAATTCGTTAGGATCTAATTAGATACAATTCTGGAGGACATATTTTATGTTATGACACATTATAGTCCCTAATTAAGTTCCTAGATGTTATAGAGTAATGCAACTAGTTTGTCAATTACTTTTGGAGTCAAAATGGCGGGTATTGGTGACATGCTGGCATAGATTTATGAAATGACGTGATTTTAAATACTTTTTGTGGGTTTATAACTATCTCTCATGCTAGATGGGTGTGTAGAATATCATAATGTAAAAAATATATTTTTACGCGAAAAAAATATTTATAAGAAACTGAAGAATACTTTCTTTCCCTCTTCTTTACTTTCAGTCAAATTCTAAACATTTTTTCAGTGTACAAAAGTGAGTTAAGTGTCAAAATAATATGTGATTTCAATGTCAAAAACATTGAAACACTATCTTCAAAAAAGCCGACGCTTATTGTTGTTTCTGTAAACTGTAAAGCTAAGGTATTTCAATAATTATTATACTTCATGAAGATTTTACAGCCAAATTTTGATACAAAATTGGATTTTGTCTCTATATTGAATGAAATTCTAAATATATTTTTTGTCATAATATAATGTTTTGTCAAGTTTAACCAAGTACAGTGTAATCTTTCAAAAAAAAACAGGCGACATGAATTTAAACTTCATTTTTGACATAACATTTAAAAACGGTTAAATTTAGGACACTATATACGTGGTCTGTATTTTAAAATGTGCGACAGAGATAAATATAAATGACCGGTTGACAGACAGAGAGACGTAATAAAAAGCGGCATACAGTGTTGCCGGTTTTAATGTGTGTAGAATAAATTTTTTTTTCAAACTTTCATATTATATACTACTGAAATGAAGATAATATATCTAAGCTAAATATAATCTACTACAGCTGTATAGTAAAATGAGTAACTAATTGTGAAAAATAAAGTTCCAACCCTAGATGCAACATTTTTCGTAAACGCCTACTTGTGCGCTTTGAAATTTTGATGGAAAATCCGGCAATACCGCATAGAAGAAATGTATCAACACAAAAAATAAGATTTTTATCTAAACAAGATCATAATAAACTTAATAAATGAGCTGTATGGAAAACCCCACATAAAAACATGGTTAGGATATAGTGTAGTGCCAGTTGCATACGTTATAAAAGTACCAGAGCTAGCAACGTCTGGATATCAAGTATTTTAAGAAAGCTGGCTCTTTGATATATCTTTTACTATGCTCTTTGGAACAGCGTGCGAGTCGTCTGGCTGCCGATAGACGTTGCGTTCACTACTGCGCATTGAAAGAAATTCCTATAATTTTATTTAGTCTTTTAAATACTGGTATTGAATATAAATCGAATAAGTCTCCATAGCGCAGCGCGAAAACGTTCAGCATATAAAGCGAGAAGTCCAGAGTTCAATACCGGCTCGGGGTAAACTTTTTTTATTTTATTTTCGTTTATATTCTAATAGTAAAGTATTAAATAATTTTGGTGTTTAAAAAAACAATTATTTAATAATTTACTAACAGAATATAAACGAAAATAAAATAAAAAAAAGTTTACCCCGAGCCGGTATTGAACCTTGGACTTCTCGCTTTACAGACTTGTTCGATTTATATTCAATACTAGAATTTAACGGACTAAATAAAAACAAATATAGGATCTTCTTTCAATGCGCAGTAGTGAACGCAACGTCTATCGGCAGCCAGACGACCCGCACGCTGTTCCAGAGAGCATAGCAAAAGACATATTAAAGAGCCAACTTTCTTAAAATACTTTCTCGAAAACGTTGCTAGCTCTTAGACTATAACCAATCAGAGACAGTGTTTAAAAATATTTTACAAAAAATACTCCCTACTCGAATTTTACAGCAATTTTGACCTTGCTCCATGCCGGTACCCAAAAACATCCAAACTATTTCACTATTCCACCTTAATTTCTGTACCACATCAAATATGAATGGGCACGTGCAACAGCAGCTGCGCGCGATCCGTGAACACCTCGTCGCACATCTCGCACTTGAACAGGTCGGTGATGTGATTGGCGTGACGCATGGAGAGCTCGGCCAGTTCGTGAAGGGCGCTGGGGTCCATCATTTCCTGTTTGACGTTGATGACGTTCGGGTTGCCGTTGGGTGTCCTTTGGTCGACCGTCTCTTCGGTTTGAAATTGGTCGTTGGTCGGTTGAGGCTCTTCTTGGGGCTGTTCTTCCTCGGTTACATTGGTTTCTAATGTATCATCATCTGTAAAAATATGCATTGATAGGGATGAGCGATACCGTAATTTTAAAAAATATTTATTAATTTTTTATTTTACGAGTATAAAACATTTCTTACACATAAAAAACTACACACACCGGAAAAGTCTAGGGATATTACAATTTTATCCAGCCATCGTCAGTAATTTGATTATTTGCATTTCTGATATAATAAAATTAAAATAAACAAATAGTTTACAGGACGTATTGGAAATAAAAATGCGAAATTTACCGAATTTTTCAAATTTACCTTGATTTTTATTGAACTCAAAAAAATACACACATTTTTTTTTATTCTAAACTGCGAATTAAAAAAAAAGATAAAACCATTTTTACTTAATAAAGGGTATGGCCTCCTCTACGGTTCATTACAGCCCTACATCGTGTCTCCATGCTCCAGATCAGGTTGTCGATCTCTTCCTGAGGTACAGCCTGCCACGCTGCATTCACGGCCCGAACCAGATCCCTACGAGTTTCACGAGGCCTACCCATTCTCAAAATTCTTCTTTGGACCGCGTCCCATACGTGCTCGATGGGGTTGAGGTCATGAGATTGTGGCGGCCAGGGTAAGATGTTTAATTGATGAGCATTGATAAACTCACTTACCACTCTGGCTGTATGAGGCCATGCATTGTCATGCATGAGAATGAAGTTTCACACGACAGGCTCCAGAATTAAATCACGATATGTGATTCCTGTTAGAAACCTTTCAAGAAAAACGAGATCGGTTTTTCGGCCTAACTGGACTCCTCCCCAGACCATAACTGTTCCACCTTGATAAGGGTGCACTTCCTGAACATGATCCAACCGAATAAGATTTCCCGGTTCTCTCCTTACCCTAAGCCTTATCGAATCCGGATGAATTCCAAAGCGTGACTCATCCGTGAAGAGAACATTGGCCCATTGTTCATTCGACCACTGAACATGATCTTGAGCCCACAAATATCGTACCTCTCAATTTCCTCTCGTTAAGGGTTGAGTTACCCAGGGGCGTCTGCTTCTTAAGTTGACCTCTCTTAATCTATTGCGAACAGTGTCAGGACTAACGGTTACATTATGTGTTTCCTGGAGAATTTAACTAAGCTCTGGTGCTGTAAGAGTCGGTCGGCGTCGAGCATTTAATTGTAAAAAATGATCTTGCTGAGGGGTAGTAATGCGATGTCGCCTTATGTGCCTTTCAGCAACATCACCACTTTCACGGTAGCGTGCACTTAATCGCGATATTACACTTTGCATTGTATTTAATGCTCTAGCTACGTCGATTTGGCGCATTCCAGCTTCAAGCATACCCATGGCCCTTAGCATTTCGTCTCTGTTAAGATGTCTACGCTCCATAATGTCGTTTAATACTAAACAGAGTTATTTGAATGAATTCTGGCCAGTTATCATAAAAACATAGCCAGTACAGGTTAAATTCGAACAATTGATGCTAGGTGCTTTTTATACATTTGACAAAAAATGCACAAACACTTCTGCAAATATCCCAAATTTAGAAATAACTAGTGTGACTACTTCGTTTTAATCAAAGTAGAAAGAATCGGCCTACAAATATGTGGTTGTTGATCCAAACATTTATTTTTAACTTTAATAAAATGATATCCCTAGATTTTTCCGGTGTGTGTATTTGTTATATGCAAAAAACTATTCAAATGGCTCAAAACGATATAAGTAAATAACCAACAGATATTCAGGCTGAGGCGACAAACGCCATATCTAAACTACTTCCATTTAAATCCCAAATAACTTATGAAAAGGAACTACTATGAATACAAAAATTTTCAAAAATTGAAGCAACTAAAAAACGTGCGAGAAGAAATAAAGTTTTTAACCTATCCTCGCTGTTAAAGTATAATTTAATCTACCCTTGCGGTTAAAGCACTATTTTATCTACTATTTTTGATAGATATAAGGGAATGTTAACAGTTGCTATGGAAAAATAAATAAAACTTACTTGAAGTATTAAAATGTTCCTCCTTAATATACACAGCAGCGGTGGGATTCATATCCGGTACTATAGTTTCCGGTACTATAGTTTCCGGTTCCAGCTGGCTCTCGCTGGATCTCTTCATTTTCGATATGATCATGCCTTCCTTCACCAACCTGACTTTGCTTCCTAAATTACAATCCCCCAAAAAAATCAAAACAAGAATTTATTTGCAACTGAATCAGAAAAAAACATTCTTTCCATCAAAAAGTAACGTTTTTGTTATATCGGATAGCAAGCAAAAAATATTTTTCCTAGTCCATTTGTGTCTTTTCTGAAATGATAAAAATAAGTTGCAAAAGGCGGTTTTGCTGGTCGTTGTTGCATTTTTTGTTCAGTAGTTTTCTACAGACTACAGATACAGACAAAAAGTTATTACTCTACAAATTAAAAAATATGTAGGTGATGCCTAAGAACAGTTAACCTAATAGGACTGCTCATTCAGTCAAAAGTGTCCGCCAGGTGCATGCGAAAACTACTCGCTTTGTGACGTCATTGTAGTCCTTGTCATGGTTATTAGTCCTTATCCGGCAACCAATAATACACACATGTGCATTATTGGTTGCCGAATGCAAAACGTTCATTATTTAGTTTATTTATAAAAAAAAATAACATGATGCCCCCTACACCTTATATGTATGCACTATAGAAAATTAACTGTATAAATCGTATTAAATACTCGGATAATGCATTTTTAAGAACAGCAGTTCCCAGCATCACCTTTTGCAAGCATTCTTTTTAGAGTACTTCCATGTTTTGCTTTAAAATAATTAATAAACAAAATCGTGGGCACTTAGTAAGCACTTTGTCACAATCCACAACACAAAATGAACGTATTTATACACTCTATAGCTCTAAAAACTTTAAAGACACCTTTTTCACATTTAAAATTGACAAAATAATTAACTCAAAATTTCTCAGCTGTTATTTTTATAACTTTGCCATAGGCAACTAATAATACACACTACCATGACAAGGCTTTCACAAGGACTACAATGACGTCACAACTGTCAGCTGAAGCGCGGGAAGAGGCGAACGTACGTCTTATGAGGATGAGCAATCCTATTAGTTTACAGTTCTTGGGTGATGCCCCCTACAAATAGGAGTCATATTAACATCAAAATCAAATTTCTCATGTCAAAAAACTCCCAGTCACCAATTTTCATCTAAATATTGACGTTACTTCAGAAATTATTTCGAAAAAATTGAAATAAAAATGAAACTTCTAAGCCCTGTATCTCCGAAACGAAGCACCTTAGGACATGCATTTATACAAACTTTTTTACTTATTTTTATCAATAGAATATGCGGCCGAAGATTCCGGAATACAGTTCGGACCACCCTGTATATTGGACACCCTCTAGCAAACAGTTTTTGGAATAAAATCAGTTTATGACAGCTTAATATGCGTTTTGTCAGCAAAACTTATTATGACCACATAACTTATATTTTTAACACATTTATTCAATAACTGAATTAGAAAACTTTGAGATTAAGTCCATTTACTTTCCATTTTGTTTTGATTAGTATCACATTATTATGAAAAACGAATTTAAATATCGTGAAAAAAATATTTTTGCTGTTTTTTTACGCTTATAACAGCTGATAAATATTGGAATTTCTTAAATTTATTGCCAACGAAATAAAAAATAATAACCAATTGTGAAAAAAAAATGATGAGAAATATTCACATACCTGGACCTATGACATTTCTGGTACTTCTCGCGCTGTTACGCCTAGTTCTGACCTCCACCAAGCCGACAGGTATCGGAACTTGTTCGCTTTCCACAATCTGTTCCCCCGCGACTTCAGGAGTTTCTTCCACGATCTGAAACAAAGATTTTCGCGCAAAAATCAATATTAAGCACCTATTTCTGAACAATTTCTCCTCGAAAAAAGAGAAAAGTGATTTTTTTCAGAATAAGACGATAAAAAATAACTTTACTTACTTCTTCTGTGACGATATTACCATTGGTAGGTATTTCCTCACTTGCTTCTTTCAAAAGACTCTCTACTGCTTCGTTGGTCTGTTCAGCTGATGGAAAAGTGGCGATTGGGAATTTTTCCGGGTTTAACACGTGGTAACTGACGTTTTTGGTTCTGGGTCTTATTCTTTCACCTTAATAAATAAAATAAAGGTATTTAATACTGTGCAATGTTCCTCCATGACAAAGAAAATACAAGTAAAATTTCACGTCTCTATTGGTATTCATAAAATTAAATTTAGTATGTGCGTCTAAATTATAAATTGAATCACAACATAAATGAATTTAAAGCCCAACATATCTACTCTACTACCAGTTTTACTTTACTACTACTACTAATTTTAGAACGTATTATTAACGCGTACGGAGTGTTTTTCAGAAATGGCTCTTTTATATTTTCACACAAAAAACAAGATTTGGTATGTTAGTATATGACATAAATTAGGATTGATTGGCGTTTTCTATATATCTATATATATTTTTTCGGTCACTTCCTGTTTCACCCCGGAAATGACTACAAGTTCTGATTTTTAAATGGTACCCTCGGTATTTTTTTATTTTATTTGATGCACATTAGACAAATACTACGTTAGACATTGACGTTTAAAAAAAAATAGTAGGTATATTAAAAAATATCAATCCAGGGTGCATTTTTTAAAATATGCTTTTTCCAAATATACTAATGAGCCATCCTCGTTCCATTTGAAAAAAACTGAGTTATGATTAAAAATACGATTGGATTCATCTTTAAATTACCCAGGACACCTCACAAAAAAACATTAGACTATCAAATGTATTTTTCCAAGGCTCCTTGACTAAAAATTAGTGGTTTTTAACACAGCCATTGCACTCGGGATTGAAATTTAAAATACTATTTTTTAACCAAAAAAGTCAAAGTTGACATATGATCCGTCGTTCTATTCAGAGTGTCCTTTTCTACCGAATAAAGTAAAAAAATACCGTCGTAAGTGTGTCGTTTCAAAAATGAAAAGTCGTAGTCGTTTCCGGTGGAACAGGAAGTGGCCGAAAAAAATTGAATACATCAATCAATCCTAATTTATGTCAAATACTAACATACCAAATCCCGTTTTCTCTGTGAAAAAATAAAAAAGTTATAGGGGTTGGCCATTTTTGAAAATCACCCGGTATATTGCGTAAATTCTTTCAAATACTGTTTCAAGAAAATACCGAGACTTACCGGTGACTGACTTGATTTCCGCCGGTTGTGTCCTAGTCACCAAAGTCCTTGTCCTATGTCTGACCCTCCCGTCCTCGCCAGTCTCCACAGGGACCCTAGTTTTCTGTGTGTGGATCATTTTAGGACGCGAAGGAACCGCAGATGCGTCGTTCTTGCCCTTTTTGGGTTTCGTTTTGGACGTGGGAGACTTGGGAAGGGTGATGCTCTCCACGGCTTCGATGGTACTGGCCGCGTTGTAGATGTCCGACATCGATTCGCTAACGCTGGTAAAAAATGTTCGTTTTGAAACACCTTGTATATATAGAGAATTTATTTGCCTCTATATAGAGGCGAATTTTGATGCACTATATCTCTCCCACACCTAACTTTAGTGAGTTAACTTAGAGCCTACCAGAAACGTTTTTGTTACTAAAAACAATTTTTACATTTTTATTACTAAAATTTTTAGTAATAAAAAAGCCAAAATTGTATTACTAAAATTTTTATTACTAAAATTTTAGTAATAAAAATTATTACTAAAAAGTTTATTACTAAAAATTTTTATTATTAAAAACAATTTTAAAATTTGCGGGAAATTAGTCACAGAATGCCTAAAGAAGTCGAATAAATTAAGCAAAGCAAATAAAGCCTTCCTACTCTGGGTGCCACACCAAGGGATAGAACCTGAGACTGAATGATGGATTATTTATTAATTTTGATGTATTATATCTCTGGTTCTGGGCAAGAGACCCACACTTAATTTTAGTGAGTTTTTTGCCTACCAGAAACATTTTTGTTACTAAAAACGATTTTTACATTTTTATTACTAAAATTTTTAGTAATAAAAAATGTTAAAACTGTATTACTAAAATTTGTATTACTAAAAAAATTATTACTAAAATTTTTATCACTAAATTTTTAGTAATAAAATTATTACTAAAATGTTATTACTAAAAAAATATTATTAAAAACAATTTTAACAACCAAATATTCAAGGAACATACAAGGGAAAGCGAGAATTAAAAGAAAAAGATGGACTATTATCAGATATTTATTTCGGATCTGCTATAATAAAAATCGTGTGATTTTTCATCATTACCTTGTTTTTGGCGAACTGGAAGGCTTCCTGGTGTACGAGCGTTTCGGTCGAGTTCTTCGTCGCTCCCTCTCTTCCTCAGAGTCGGTAGTGTTATTGGCGTTCTGCAAAAGGGCCTGGTCGCTGTTGTAGGACTCCTCGTTCTGAGCTGTCATCATTTCCAACTCATGGGGTTTCAGTTTTCTTCTTAAATACAAAACTTTGTCAATTTAAGTCAGACGTCTTGAATTCATCAAAATCGTCCATATTCAATATAGTTTGTAGCTAAACGATTAGATTTCTACAAATTGTAAGTTTTGGGTTCGTTGAAGGACTATTAAAGCTACAAATTAAAAGTATTTTTACAAGATACAGCGTGTCCCAAAGAACTAAAAAAATCAAAGTTGTTTTTTTTTAATGGAGCACCCTGTATATTACATTTTTAGTTTCTACGATTAAAATAAAGGTAAATTTGATTAACGGTTACCCCATTTTAATCTTACCGTTTTTGAAATATTTACGTTTTTGTCAAAATAGAGTAACAATTTTAATGCTTTATTTCTCTAGGCGTATTTAAGTTTTTAAAACCAAATATTCTACTGAAATTTTTCTATTTACTAAATTTTGTGTTGCAATAATAAAAATTATACTACCTTATACAGAGTGTCTAAAAATTTATTTTTAATAATTACTAGCTTTAAACGCCAATAACTTCGTTAATTTAAATGGAACACCCGGTATATTTTACGAGAATCAGATGCACAATTTAATTGCCTATCAAATTGTATTATAACATTTGTTACCTATCTCTTCAAGTTTTCATAGAAAATACATTTTCTTATTATTTAGACCTCATTTATCAATATACTCATGGAATATTGACATTTTAGATTATTTTTAAAAATTTTCGAAGAGTACAGATACTAATATTATCGATATAATTAGCTTATTTCATTAAAAAATAAAAAAAACTGCTTAAATATTTGTTTACGAAATAATATTTTATATACGAAATAATATGCATGTACTGATTTCTTTCGAAAATCGACAACTATGAAACTATGTATGAACTCTTCCTGGACACAAACGGTACATTGTGAGACAGAAAATTGTAGAGAGAAACAAGCCCTATAATGTAGGATACAACATTTTAATGAACAGTGCTTTTCATAAAATCAATAAAATTAAAAATATACGAAATAATATGCATGTACTGATTTCTTTCGAAAACCGACAACTATGAAACTATGAACTCTTTCTGGACACAAACGGTACATTGTGAGACAGAAAATTGTAGAGAGAAACAAGCCCTATAATGTAGGATACAACATTTTAATGAACAGTGCTTTTCATAAAATCAATAAAATTAAAAATATACGAAATAATATGCATGTACTGATTTCTTTCGAAAATCGACAACTATGAAACTATGAACTCTTCCTGGACACAAACGGTACATTGTGAGACAGAAAATTGTAGAGAGAAACAAGCCCTATAACATAGAATAGAACATTTTAATGAACAGTGCTTTCCATAAAATCAATAAAATGAAAAATATACGAAATAATATGCATAATCTACGAAAACTTGACGAGATAGGTAAAAAATGGTATGATATAATTTGATACAAAATTAAATTGTGCATCTGATTCTCGTAAAATATATAGGGTGTTCCATTTAAATTAAACCAGTTATCGCCGTTTAAAGCTAGTAATTATTTAATATAAATTTTTAGACACTCTGTATAAGGTAGTATTATTTTTATTATTGCAACACAATATCTGATCAATAAATAACCTTCGGTAAATAAACTTTCATACCCTTGGAGAAATGAAGCCTTAAAATTTTTACTACAATACTTTACCTTCGTTTGTATTTTCTGGGCCCGATCTGAGGCTGGCGCTTCATCGCCGTGTTCATGTCGCAATGGTGGATCAGATGGAGGATCAGATCCTGAGATGCGGCGAACATGTCCGAACACACGGCGCAGCAGTACGGCGTCATACTGTGTGAATATTTCGGATCTGGGCCCGAGTGATGTGACCTAATAAAAGAAGTATGTTACTTATAAAAGTTATAAATTTAAATACAAAAATAATAATATAAAAGTTAAAAACTAAATAATAAAGTTAATTAAAAAGGATATTAAAAAACAAACTACCGCAACTGGATTCCGCGAAGTTGCTAGAATAAATTTAGGAATATTCACAATACAGTGAAAACACACCAACAAATATTTGCTGAAAAAAACTCACACAAGTAGAACATTAGCCTTATGGAAAAGTAGCAAAATTAGCGTTCGGCATTTAACGTTTTATGTAAAACTGGCTAGGTATTTTTACATAAATGAAGAAGGAAATAAAAGATAAAGAATTATACTATATCAATATTATAGCACATTTTTAGACAACTTCTCTATTTTTAAGATTTTGATGGTCAAACTTTCCAAATATTCCTTAATATGTTTGGACTAAATTTTCTCAAAAATAAAGACATAATTTAAAATTCCGTTACAATTAGAAAATAGATTGAAGTTTTGTGATTACAGTGATATATAATTTATATGATTTTGTAACAAATTGTTCGCTATTTTATTGCAAATGCTGAAGCTCTGCACACCTTAATCAAGTCTTAATCAAAGCACGTGTGTTTGGAATTTTGGGTGTGGCTTAACACGACAGGATCGGGCTAAGCCTTAGGCAGATTTCTGAAATATAATATATATTTCCTTCGGCCACACACCCGCTTTACCCGACGCCTGAAAGCGGCCCAAAAGTACAGCGTAATACTCTTAAAACAATGAAATAATTATAATATTAACAAGACCCTTCATTCTCTTACCTTATATGTTCCCTGAGCACCACCCTCTGATTGAACGCCCTTGGACACACCGCGCACGCGTACGGCTTCTCCCCAGTATGGATCCTCTCGTGCTTCCTCAAAGTCCCACCGTCGGCAAAGGCCTTCCAACAGAACCGGCACCCGTAGGGTCTCTCGCCCGTGTGGATGCGAATGTGGATCTGCTGCGAACTCCTGGAACCGAACGTCTTGCCGCATTCCCGGCACGGGAACTGCCGTCCCGAGACGCTGCTGTGGCTGTGCCGGTGGTTCATCAGGCTGCGGCCGTCGGGGAAGTCCTCGCCGCACACGTCGCACGATACCACTTTGTTCCTGGAAAAGGGGATTGTTATAGTACCAGAGCTAGCAACGTCTGGAAAACCAGTATTTTCAGAAAGCTGGCTCTTTGATATATCTTTTACTATGCTCTCTCGAACACCGTGCGAGTCGTCTGTCTGCCGATAGACGATGCGTTCACTACTGCGCATTGAAAGGAGATCCTATATTTTTTTATTTAGTCCGTTAAATTCTAGTATTCAATATATATTGAACAAGTCTCCATAGCGCAGCGCGAAAACGTTCAGCCTATAAGGCGAGAAGTCCAGAGTTCAATACCAGATTGGGGTAAACTACTGGGATACTAGAATTTAACGGACTAAATAAAAAATATATAGGATCTTCTTTCAATGCGCAGTAGTGAATGCAACGTCTATCGACAGCCAGAGGACTCGCACGCTGTTCCAGAGAGCATAGAAAAAGATATATTAGAGCCAGCTTTCTCGAAAACCTTTCTAGCTCTTAGACTATTATTTTTTTAGTCGCATATAATGCAATTTTTGAAAATATCAATATAACAAATGTATTTGAACGATATACCTTGTTTCCTCGATATTCTTTTGTAATATAGACACTATTTTATTAAAATAAACTTATATAATTCCGAATTTATAAAAATTCGAAAGTTTTATAAATGACATTGATTGATGACAGGGTTAAATTTAAAATCGGAAATGTCTAATTGTTTTTTCAATTTAGAAATTTTATGACGTCATACTTTTGCAACCGAATTATACACGGTGTTTTGAAAGTGATTTTTGTTATCACGCATATGAAATAAAAACCAAATATAAAATATAATTTGTAAATTATGTTGAATGAAAAAATAATAATTAAGTTATTTACCTGTGAGAAATCATATGTCGTTTCAATCTGGCTTTATTGTGGAAAGTTTTCGAACATTTTGTACAAGCAAAACATTTTTCCTGAAAAACAACAACAAATAGAAAAATTTTTATTCAAAATATACTGAGTGAGTTAAAAACTACACTATATATGTGAAATATCCCAGAATATATTATTATTTCACCTTAGAATGTTCCCAGGAATGTTTCATCAACGTTCTGTTATCTTTACACGTTCTGCCGCACAGGATACACGTGTGCGGTGGTAGATTCTTGTGAGTACTCTGTACATGACCCGCTAAAGTAGTCTCGTCCATACAAATCTCTCCACACACCATACACCGGTATTCCGAGCCTCTAGCGTGGATTTCCGCATGGGCAAGTAGATCCAGAGCTTCCTAGAAATGATAGTAGTAGAATCTATTAAGTTGTTATGCTCTGGTTTTTTTTTCTCATGTAAGATTTCGACAGACGATGACAGAAGAAAAGCAGATAACGTCCATACCAATCTATTTATTTTACTAAAAAAATTTCTAATATTTTTTAAGTTAACTATGGATGGGTTTAAATATAAATCCGTCATACGTAGTCTCTTGTTGTTTTTAACCAGTTTTATTGGTTTATTTTAAAAATGACAGATCATATTTTGAATATTATTGGAGTGACGGAACGATGAACGAATCTCGGACGCAGATGCGTATGAACTCGCCTTTAGATTTTTGAGGCTTGTCAAAGTTTTGTCAAATGAGAGGTTATCATTTTTTGTCAAATTATGTCAAATACACTGCGTTTTGGAAGATGATGTATTTTGATTCGTGTTATTACGTGTGTTTTGTGTCTTTTGAAGTTAAGTGAAAGAAAAATTACGGGAAAATTAACTGTAGACCCAGAGCAGAGTTTATAGTAAATATTCAGTGCCCAGGCAGAGAGTTTTATACACCAATAAAGTTATGGTAGGATTTCCTAACTGCGTCGAAACGTATGCGTTCGACGCATGCGATAAACGCGAGGTACTGGTTCGGTGCAATTATGTACAACTGATTTCCTATGTGAGCGTCTGACGCTTCAGTGCCCGGCAATCGCAAATTTATAATAAAAACGTCGTATCGAAAATGACCTCTTATTAGCAAATTTGCATAACCCCCAGTTTCCCTTTTTTTCGGGGTTTCTTTTTTCCTGTATTTCTTCATTCTCCTCTTCTTGTAACAATAATAAATTTACAATATTCTCCATGTTCAAAACTACCCAAGTAGCATCTATTTGACTTCAAACTAAATCTGACCTGAAGCAACGTCAGACTTTGTGCAAATTTAGGTCGGGTGCTGGTGATACGACCGGTGACGTCGCTTTCCTATTAAAAGCGACGTCGTTGAATCCGAGTCGGTAAATCCAACGATCTGTCGACGTACAAAATAACAACGTACCATTTTTATTAATTTCCCAACATCGTTCCCACGTTGGCTTGCACGACGTACATATACCTGAACTAGCCCGACGTCTACCCGTTGTCCGAATAGGATACGTCTCACTGATAATCCCTAAAGTAACGTCCAATTATATTTTGTTGTATTTTATGTTCATATTTATAACCTAATTTACGTATCTATATTTACGTCCGTAAATACAACCCATTAAGTAGCATTTGCGGCCTAATGAACATCATGAACATAACCTAATAAACAGTTTTTGTAAACAAAGTTAATTTTTTTTATTATGCCTAAAAAAACACTAAAAAGGGATTTAGACATTCATCTACATTTTACAGAAAGAGGTCGAGGCTTTTGCAAAATAATAATAGTAGTAGTGATGTCTTGCCTTCACCCACGAATGCTTTTTATCCAGAAGAGATGCTGCATTACACTGGTGCATCTTAAGTTGATTTTTTAGCTTAGGAAATCAGCAGACCCCATCCTCCTCCCACATGTGAGGTACTGGTTCCAATTCTTTTAAATTTTGTATATATACTATCTTAAAAAAGTAGCTGTCCATTTTTTTAAAGGAGAAAACAAAAACTAAAATATAGTTGCACAAATCAACAAATCACTGATACGCAAAGTGAGGTTACGTGGCGTACGTTGGAATTATATACGTCATAATACGATTGCCGGTCGTCCGGTTTGATGACTTCGGTTGTGTGAGACGACTAATGTTGGAGACCCGGTCGGAATTGGTATAGTTAGTTGGTATTGGTAGTTCATATTAAGTCGGACATAATAATCCGCCATTCTTAACAAGTATCCGATTTTCAGCCATTTTAAAATCGTTTTTTGTTTTTAAAATTTATATTCACATTCCGATATCTAATAGAATAATATTGATAAGGTTGAGTTTGGGGGGAACCACAGTATAGTTTTATGATTAAACCAGCTAGAAAATAAAAAAATATATTTTGCGAGTTACTTTTTTATAAATATTTTTATTTCATAAATCTACCTAATTTTGAAGGCGCTCGTTGTTTTCCGGAGTATTTTAATCAAATATATCAAAAATGTCTGGATTAATGATTCAGAATTATTATAATATGAAATTAGGTAGGCACTTATAGTTATATTCGAGGAGTGATTATGAATCCATTTGTAATTAGGTAGTTTGGTTATGTTTTTATGTATTCTAGGTAGCGAATATGAAACCAAACGTAACGTAAGTGCTTAGCTACGAATTTTAGGTAACTAAAATCCAACGTAATATGACGTTGGTAATTGGTAGAATTACATTCCCTATTAGGTCAGATACCGACGTCGAGGCGACCCGAATCTGTATTCCCCATTTAGGTGCAAATAAGGGTCGTCAGGCGGTCGAACCGACGTTGGTACCCGACGTCGGGTTTATTGAACGCGACGTATACCTGACGTTAGATAACGTCCAAATGCTACTTGGGTACACACGCTTTAAAATATCAAAATTTGGTACAACAAATTTGCATAGCAACTAAAATATTTATTTGGTGGGGTTGGTTGGTTTTTACTAATTTATATTTGTTTTTTATATTTTTTACAAGTGTCAAGGTTAGTTGCGTTGGTTAAGTTGGTTATTTGGTGGGGTGGATAGCGTTGGTTAGTCCTTATAAAATTCCTATATTTCATAAAACCGTCAAGTGCGTCTCATCAACGACGTCATACCTATTAACGGCATTTTAGTAAGCTACCGTTTAACGGCAGTTTAAGTACAGCCTTAAAAAAATTAAGATTAAAGTTAATTGATCAACTTTTAAGGTATAAAATTTGGCAAGTGTTATTATTAATAAAATATTTTGTTTTATTTATGTTGTTCTATTTATTTCTGTGGAATATTACAAATTTTTATTTATACATAAGTTATATGTTATATTGATAAATATAATAATAAATGCAGGAAGTTTCTTGAAGCTAGAAAGTAAGAAATAGTTCTTTTTGATATTTTTTTGGTATGTGGTGTTTTGTTCTTATTTGTTTTGTATTAACACATACCGTAATTTTTTTTTAAATAAAATATTAGATTTTTTCAGTTTTATACAGTTTTTTTTTCACAATATTTTGAAGTAATCACTTGTCACTCAAATTTTAAATATATTAATTTCCTGCTATGCGTTCCAATTGTACCAACTTATTTTTTTTAAAAATAAAATTAACTACTTTGAAATTAGAATGACAGACATATCTATCACTGTCAAGGATTTTGTCGTTGGACAGACTATAACCAGAGCGAATTGAATTGTTTTACAAAGTAGAATTACCCCTGTAGCAACTTAGTTACCACTTTGCCTGACGCTAGCTCGCGTGTCACGGCCTTGAATATTTACTCCCATCGTGCGTAAAGAAGTTTCACACAAAAAAATATATAACAAACTATCAAAAAAAATAGAATAACATTAGAATCACAACAATAGAATACCTGGAAGCATTCGCCACACACGTTACAGATGTGACCGAAACTTTCGTCGTGCACGAACTCCTCTTTGACGTGGATTCTTTGGTGGCGCTTGAGGTTGTCCTGCCGATGGAAGGACAGGCCGCACGTGGGACAGTAAAACGTCCCGTATTTGGCCTCCTCGGAGTCGGAATAGTCTTCATCCTCGTCGTCGTCGATGTCCTCGATTTCACCGTGTTTGGTTCTAGAGTGTTCCTAAAACAAATATGTTCCGCATTTCAAAAATTGAAAATACCAAAAATATTATTTTTCAAAAAGTTCAAAGTGGTGTTTAACGTTAAAATGAATATTTTTTTTAAACAAATTAAATGTAATCAACTCGATTTTTTCAGTTATATTAAGATTTTTTTCAGATTATACTACCTAATTCTACGCTAAACTTTCTAAAATATAAAATAAATTTTCCAATATAACCCCGTATATTATTTTTTTATTAGATGAAGAATTAAAAAATGAACATTTTTTGTATGCGTTATTATTTCATATGGCTCTTTCAACAGTAAAATACGAGAGAAAAATAATTTTGGGGGCTTGGTAAAAAAAAATTTACTGTGGAAAATGCCATATGAAATATAAAACCGCGAATATCTGCAAAACCGTTAAAAATTTTGAAATACTCTAAATACAAAAAATGTTCGTTTTTTAATTCTACATCTATTGAAAAAATAATATACAGGGCGTTCCATTAAAAAAAAACTAAGAAAAATTATTTAATATTTTAGAAAGTTTGGCATAGAATTTTAAACACCCTGTATGATTTACAATTGTTTTATAGAAAAGTATGTACAGACCATCTAAAGTAAATAACTAATATAGTTTTGGTTTCAGGACAGTTCTTGTATTTTTAATATTTTTTATTTATTTATTAATATCTCTGAAATTATCGAAAAATATTTACTCATATCTTAGGATTATGTAAGGTAATCTGAAAGGAAGCTAAAAAGCAATAATATACAGGGTGCTCCATTTAAAAAAAAATTATCCCAATCCACTTACACTTTTTTGAGTCACCCTGTAGAAGTTAAAATATTTTCCTGAAATACATCCTCATACATACTTTAGGAGTGCACTTAAACAAAATTCCCAAGTTTTTTATTCTAGGAGCTACAAATGCCCGGCGCACTTTTGCCGGACCCCGTATAAAGAAAAAAAAATTCAGTGTACAAGTGAGTTTAATTGTCAAAATATGTTACTTTAAGTCAAAAAATTTAGAAGGAGACTTACTATCGCTTCTGTATAGCTACGTATACTGAAATACATAAAATTGGAACGCACTCATTCAGAAATTTCGGAACGTACTTAAAAACTTCTAAAAATATGAACTAAATGGCAAAAACACACTCCCAAAGAGACATTAGATTAATAGCGATGAAGTAACGTTCAACGATCGTTGTACAGGCTATACATTTTGAAGTTTCGCGATCTTTGTAGCCAAAATTTCTTAGCCATGTTAAATAAATATTAAATATTTTTGTTTTCTTGTGCTTAAAACATATTATATTTCACAAATTCAACAAAAAAAACTTATAAAACCATCCCATTTCCTGATAATATTTGAACTAACCTGCATAAGGGAGATATCCCAAAACATCTCACCGCATTTCTGACATTCAAAAGGACTGTCACCACCATGTACCCTCGCATGGGACGCCAATGCCTTCTCCCTGGCGAACGCTACGCCACAGTGCTGACAGACGAAAGGTTTCTTTGGATCGATGACCGGGTACCTGATCTCTTCTTGACTGGAAGTAGTGAGGTAGGTGGCGTCCATGTCGCCTATATATTTTTCGTCAGCTGAAACTAAGAATTTAAAGCTTGAAAATCTGTGGTTATAGAGAATATTCCTTATGTAAGGTACAACAATCTACGGTAATCGTAATCGTAATATCGACATTGACACTAGAGTCTACAAACCTGACTAAATAAAATTTTGGTAAAAGTGTTTAAATTTGATGTATAATTTAAGATACCGAGCAGCTCTTCATTTTACTTTACAGAGAAAATGATTGTAACAGATATTTTCTTTAGATTAAAGATCTAAAAATTAGTTTAAACCGAATATTATTATCGCTATGTTGGTCACATTGCGTCGTGTTCAGCAACGTTGTCGTTTATTATTTGACAATTATCCTAATATCAGTCATTATTTTGTATAATATCATGTTGTTGTTGAATCTTTATGAGTAATTCTCGTTTTTTGCATATTTTCATAATCCTTTTTAAAAAATTGTACTTTTAAAAGCCGCGTCCAAGCTACTCGAACAAAACGTTCGCGAACATATATAATTCACACTATATACTCGTAGCAGCAGGTCGTAAACGACGGCACAGCCCATCACATCGGTGCCGAGGACTGAGGTGCGGGGAAGAATGCGACAACCACTTTGCATCTAGGATGCGTTTAGGTAGTCGCTGTTTTTTCGAGTGCCCGGATTTCGAGTGCAAGCATTTTAATAAATAAATTAACCGGTAAACAGTTTAAGAACTTTTGTCGTTGAAGAATCAATATTTAGCAGGCGGAGGGTTACAGGGGTCTTTTGGTAGATTATTCGTTATAGTGTATTTTTAAGACCTGTATTCATTTTCAGCCGATTCTACCAGGTGTTTCTCAAAAGGCGCTCACTTTTTTATTTTTTCAGATAATACAACGAAATTTGGTTTTTAGTATATGACATAAATCGGGATTGATTGACGTATTCAATTACCTTCGGTCGCTTTCTGTTTCACCGGAAATGACTACAACTTTGTATTTTTAGATTGTATCCTAAGTACTTTTTTACTTTATTTGATAGAAAATGACATTCTGAATAGAATGACATACCATACGTCAATTTTAGACAATTCCAATTAAATAAAAATAGCATTTTAAATATCAGTCTAGAGTGCCAAGACTGAGTTAAAACTATTAATTTGTAATCAAAGAACTTTGGAAACATATATTTGATCGTGTAATTTTTTTTCGTATCCTTTCATGACCGCTTAAAAGATGCCCAAATCGTATTTTTAATGATAACTCAAATTTTTCAAATGGGACGAGGCTGGCTCAGCATATTTGGACAAAGCATTTTTTACAAATAATTTAGTAACACATACTTAATATTTGGAGTAAAATTGTCGTTACGTTTATTTATGGCCATTTTTAAATTGAAAACGTCAAAAGTTGACATATAATATATCATTCTATTTAGAATGTCATTTTCTATCATATACGGTAAAAAAATACCGAGGGTACCATTTAAATCAAAAGTTGTTGTCATTTCCGGTGAAATAGGTAGTGACCGAAAATAAATGAAAACGTCGATCAATCCTGATTTATGTCCTATACTAACATACCAAATCTCGTTTTTTATCTAAGAAATTAAAAAAGTTATAGAAGTGAACCACTTTTCAGAAACACCCGGTATATTTATTTCTAAAAATGTAATGGTAAAATTTCATTTCCGGTGTCAAACTTCCTATCAAGTAGTTTTTAATTTCAGAATCCCATAATAATTACTTTTTTTAATAAAAATAATCATAAAGGTCTTTATTAACAAAAATGAAATTATATGGACGAAGTCTAGCTACATAGCTATTCACACTCAACCCACAATAAAATTAAAATTATAAAATCTTTTCTTTGTGTAAACAAATTAGTTGTAAATGTTTTTCACGATCCCAGTCAATAACTGCGTCCCCCATTGTCGAATACTATGTAACAAGTAAAATAAGCTATGAAACAAATAAATCAATTAATTACTAAAACATTAGTTATTAATTTAAAAATAAAAGGTAAAAATCTTTAAAAAATGATATAATAAATATATTGTTTGTCAATTTTAAATTGAGTTTAATCTAATTAATCCGTTACAATCTGGCAGCGCTGTCGCCATCGCTTGTCACTCAAAGTTTATCACGTGCATAGGAAATTGTTTTGCGATTACCATAGATGGGAAATCATACCAGATAAACGTCAATTTTCTTGTAAAATTGTAAGATTTTATTTTGTTGAATGTGAAATTGACATTAAAAAAAAATACTGATCAAAATCAGAATAGATCTGTAGAAACTTCTCTTCTTAATAGCGTTTAAAATAAATATCTTTGAAATGTCTAAATATTACATAAAAACATAATAATTAAAAAAAAATACCTGGCTCAGTTGTAAATAAATTCTCATACTCTTCTTTCACGATTCTCTTTTTCTTTTTCTTCACCAAACTTTTTACTTTCTTTCTTCTTTCAAAACCCTGATGTCCCAGTGACAGATCCTCATCTGAAAATTTAAAAAAAAACAACCCATGTACCTATTTTTTTTCTTCAAAAAACAAAAATTGACTGAAATTTTACCTTCAATGGGTTCAGATTCTGGTATATAGGCGTGACTTTTCAGGTGGTTCATTAAATCAGACTTCCTCAAGTACCTCACCCCACATAGGTTGCATCCGTGGGGTCTGTCTGTCTGATGCGCTACCATGTGGTTCATAAGGTTGGCCTTTTTACGGAACCTAAGTAATAAAAATTTAAAGAAAACAAAATAGGAGAAATATTTTTAATAATCACACAATTATTTTCATAATTTCATTTATACTAAATTGAAAAAATCCTAATTTATTGTAAAAAATAAAATATACAGGGTGAGTCTTAAATAAATGCAAATATTTTCAGGGCTGTTCTTTTACTTTGAAAATGAGGACCACTGGTAAACCGCCTGTTGATATTTTCACTGCCAACTGAGATACGGGTATTTTTTGAATTTTTTACCATTTTGAAAATTGCTCATAACTTTTTTATTTTGCAGAATAATAAAATTCTGTAAAAACGTTCTTAAGGCACTTTTTTAAACACAATCCAGTGGCGTAGTCAGTTTTTTTCTATGCTTGCTCTTTTTGTCACAAATAATGAAAAATATAATTTTTAAATGGAAATCATGGTTGGCTATGAACTTAAAAAATGCTGGCGTTTAACCCCTTTCAACGATATAAAGTTAGGGGTGTCTATTTCTAAGAATGAGAGAAATATTAGGTTTTTTTTTATCTTTATATCGAAGCGGGTCTTGATTTTTTTGTTGACCCATGTGTTTTTATCACAATTTAATATTCAATATTATTATTTATGTGCATTATTAAAGACTTTTGGAAAGGTAAATTAACATTCTATATTAGTATTAGTAATTACAATTATTGAAATCGATACAATAAACAAAGAACAAGACTAAAAAAACGTATTTTTTGTGTGGCGAATATAGTTTTCTAAAAAAAATCATCAAAGATTGAAAAAAAACTGACTACGCCACTGGAATGTGCTTAAAAAAGTGCCTTAAGAACGTTTTTACAGAATTTTATTATTCCGCGAAATACAAAAGTTATGGGCAAATTTCCAAATAATAAAAAATTAAAAGACCCCGTATCTCAGTCAGCAGTGAAAATATCAACAGGCGGTTTACGCCATTAGACGTATCTCAGAAATCGAGCTCATGACATCTATGTCGGTTTTGCTCTATCCAGTCAGGAAATAGGTTTTCTCTGTTAAAACCGACCAATTTCGACCACCCTGAACAAGCTTAATAGCCGCAAAAAACTCATCGCAACTTTATTAGAATATTACGAACGGGAACGCGGTAGTAATGTCCCTTAAGTGCTATTAAGAAGGTGAGTTTTGTTGATGTAAATCATAACTGTTTATGTATTTAAAACTTATTTATTTTGTTTCATAAAATAATTTTGATTAAAAGAAAATATATAAAAGCCGGCAACGTTGTGCCGGTCAAGCTTAATCACGTGACTAAAAGTTTATTTGGTCTAATATATACCTTCTACTGCAAAAATCGCAAGGGTATGGCCTGGCAGCCGTATACTCATCCTGGTCGGTAGGCAACGGTATATCTTCATCTTCAATTGCTTGACCATCCACAGCTCCCACAGCTTCCTCCGACCCAATGATCATCTCTTCTGGACACTCACCTGCAAAGCCTTCAGCGTTAAATTTTATAAAGATAATCGAAGTTAATTAATAATCTACCCCACTGATCTGTTATAACTTCTTCCGTAACTTCCATGAGTTGATCTTGTGTGTAAGGAGTGTCCTCGTTTGAATCCATAACTAGTACATTGTCTTCTAAAAATAATTAAAAAAAAACAAAGATAAATATAACTACCAGATCTATCAAAGATGCTAAAGATCTTAATAAAAAATTATAACATATGATCGAAAAAAAAACGGCGTCGAAAACGACTGGGAAATGACAATCGATGATAATTTTGGTGAGGTCAATCTCTAGAGGTCATTTAGTAAAAATCGACATAAATCTTCAAAAATTAACACTAATTATCGAAAGATTAAAAAAAGATAGAACGTACGGGCCAAGTAAATGGCATCTGGGGCTTGACCTCGGCAAAATTATTATCGATTGTCATTCCCCAGCCGTCTTTGACGCCGTTTTTTTCCCATCGTATGGTAGTTTTAAATTAGAGCACCCATTTTATTATAGTAAATAAAACAATAATACTATATCTATTAAACCGTATAATTTGATTAATTATTATTGTTTTTGAAGTTCTAATACTAATAATATGTAAATAAGCAAACAAAACAACGATTTTTAAAATAATCTATCCTAAATAATTATTATAATTTAATCTCGTATAAAAACTCTTGTTGTATTCTTAGAAATTTATTTATAACACTTTGGTAAGCTGGAAAAATGTATTATTATGATAAATCTCTCATATACTTAATAAAATATGTGTGATCTTAAGTATATTCAATTTTAAGAGGCAAATAATTAATTTTATAAATAAAATACCACAAAAACCATAAAAATGCCTATTTCTGATTATTTTATATCCCAATGACATAACTGATTTGACCGGAGCTTGTTAAATATAAATTTATACATTTTTTCAGACAAAAAAAACTTTCTATAAAGTATAATGTCTGAATTAAAAACATAAATATTATTGATGGTTATGTATAAATGGTTTTAAAAACAATATTAATTATTCTGCAGTGTAAAAACTTTATTTATTCTGTATTGTATTATAAAATCGAAAAAAAAGGCTTCATGTAGTCATTGAGATGAATATTGATGAGAATTTTAGTCATATTTTGAAGAAATTGATGTTTTGTTCCCCTGTATGCTGTTTAGTTCATTTTCTTTAATTAATTTTCAAAAAAAAATGATGCTAATTTTTAATAAATGACTTATCAGTCATCAGGAGTAAGACTGACAGAAATTATTTTAATTTGAGAGGCTACTATGACACCGTTTTTTTATCGTATGGTATATACAGTGTTGCCAAACTGCCACAAAAGTTTTTGTACTTACTGAAAATAGTTTTTATCATAAATGACGACCAAAGCAAAGACCAAAGCTTACAGATGAGTAAACTTTGTTAATACTAAGACCTATAAAAGTGTTAACTTTATTATTAGTATTAATATTATTCCTATTTTTCAGATTCATTCTATGTTTATCATTGCAAAATACTTCTTGAATTTGTAATTATCAACTCCACTGTCATTTTTGTAGAAAAAGAAACGCATCATATAGGCAAAATGTAGATGCCAGCTTTAATATACACATAAGAAATTGTAAATTTATTAACAATGTATGGTCTTCAAGGTCATTTTTATGCCAATTTTTAATAAATGATTTAGCTATCAGTCATCAGGGGTAAATCTGAGAGACATTATCGTCATTTCAAAGGCTACTATGACACCGATTTTTATCATACAGTACGTTCGTTGTTGCCGAACTGCCAAAGAACTATTTCATTTTAAAAAAGAGAGAAAATTACCAGAAAGTGTGTTTTCATAACAGTAATGCTTCCATAAAATTTCATTGGTCTATCTCTTTTCGTTTTCAAGATAAAAAATTAAAACATTATTTTTCCGCCATCTTGGTACCGCGATATCTCCCTAATGGTTGACTTTTGACCCAACGTATATGAAGCAAACTATCCTTTATTTTGAACAAGGAATCACCCCCTGAAGTTTTTCGCATTTGTTTTGAAACACATTGTATACACACATAAGATATTGTAAATTTATTAACAGCATATGGGGTTTCAAACTGTAAGTTAACATTAGCAATAATAAGTACCTCAATAAATGGATAATTAAATGGAAAATAAATGGTATTTAATGCTAAGAAATATTAGCAGCAAAAGATATTTTTTTAGACAGGTTTCTCCAAACAGGAGACTCTAAAGGTTTTTATTACTATAAGTAGCCAAAAAACACTATTTTAAGTACAAAACAATCATTACCAAACACGTTAGAGTGGTTCAAAAACGAAATCAACTTACCAGTCAAATACATAAGGCCCCCATCAGCTTGCTGGTTCTCCAAAGTCACCTCCTCCACACTATCATCTTGAACCACCTCCTCTTCAACAACCGATACTTCATTCAACGCCAACTCGGCATCATCTTGGACATTTTCCACGTAGGTCTCCTCAGTTTCATCCCCTATAAACTCTTGAGACTGCGAAGGTATAATTTCATTCTCCATGGTGATCACTTCCTCTGATTGGACCACCGTGGTAGCGTCCTCCCAGGTTATACTAAACGACCCATCCATTTTAGCTTTTTATTGGTCAAATGGGACCAAAAAACATCCTGGTGAACACTGTATTTCACCTAAATTTAATACCATCGCATAATATAACTACCATGTTAGATTTTATTAATATATATTCAATAACAAGAAGTATTTGTGCTTTAAATGTATAAATGAAAGTATTTTGAACAAGACAAATTCAAATAGGATCAAAAATCATTCTGGCATATACTGTATTCCACCCAAATTTAATACCATTGCATAATATTACTACCAGATTAAAAGTTATTAAAATATATTGAAAAACAAGAAGTAATTATGCTTTTTAATGCTTAAATTAATGTATTTTGCATAAGACAAACAATAAAATACAAGCTTGCATTATTTTCTAGCAATTATCTTCTTTAATTTATAATTAAACCAATTAGTGCATTTGACATCACTCTAATAGATCCTACATTAACAATAAAGCAAAAAACAACAAAATCAACGACATTTGGCTGAAAAGATTATAAAAAATTAACCATTTCGTTGATCATTTGAAGACAAAGAACGCCTCTCCAGCAATCTGCTTCCAAAAGTATTGATTTTTTTCGCTCCTACTTGCAACGATTCAAACAAAATTACTGCCAGACGAAAGCTTATTTATGCTTGTTATTTTATAAGTATAATAACTACCGATAAAACTTTATTTTTACTGCAAAAACGGCAACAAAAATGTAAGGTTACAGGGACGAAAATCTTTGACAAGTGAGGTTATGGGGGGTTTGAGGTTACCGTCGTTTTGATTTTCAAAAAACGTAAACAAAAAACTATTTTCCTTTAGAAAAATCCGTCGAAACATGTTAAATTGTTGGAGAAACATAGGGTGTGCCGCTAGCTAATAATTTTTTATTACTGCGTATCATATCGTCCATTACGTAGGATCTTCGTGAAAAGAAAGGCAAAATCTAATTACATCACAAGCGAATAACTGCGATAATGACGTTTATTGGTGATTGTTGCATCCGTTTTATGCACCACGGACTGTTTTAGATAAGAACTAATCACTAAATAATGCACTTACCGCAAATAAATCGGAAAAAAAACTGGAAAACCTAACCAAGATCCACAAACCCAGCCAGCGTCGACCTTAGCTGTGCACAGGCAAATGGCTGCTCGCGCTTGACATCTTTATTTGTCGAAGGAGACTTCCGTAAGGCACGATTTTCCAAAAGGTAAGTTTCCCCGGCGGGCCCCCTTACCACAAAAATCGCCTCGAACAAATTTCCAATTTATAACCTTTTTTCAGCTCGAAAACTTCGAAAAATATAGGTTAACTGGAGAAATAACCTAGAAACCCGCTCAGCAACAGCCGCCAAAACAGCTGCCATTTGTTCGACGCGAAACCAGTTCCGGTCGCGCGCCAAATTCAAATTCGATCTAAAAACAGCGTTTAAAAGTGGGAGCGATAATTTGAATTTTAAATTACGGTTTATTTAGGTTGGTTTAACTAGTTGTTATTAAACTTTTTGAAGAGTATTGTTAAGAATAATCTTCGAAATTTTGTGTAATATTGAGTAATAACTGAATATTTTATAAAAGAAAAAAGAAGGTGTAGTAATTACTTTATGAGAGATTAGGAAGTCGCATTAAATCACCATTAAATTAGTGTTTATAAATAGGAACAGGAAAAATAAGTAGCGAAGCGTTTCTATTGGTTGTCGTCTTTTTGCGTACATCCGTTAAGGCGGGAGATTTAAAAATGAGCACTTTCCACGGACAAATAAAAGAAATACCCGGAATAAGCGTGGATCGATTTAATGAAGAAAATTTGAACTCTTGGGTGTACTTTTTGTCACACTGTCATACCGATCATATGGTAGGATTATCCAGCTCAGTTTTTAAGGACAGACTTGCTGACAAAGGGTTGTATATTTATACCAGTCCGATTTCAAAAGTTATTTTAACACGTCTACATCCAGATTTGGAGGGATCTATTAAAGAACTTGTTTTGGAACATCCCACTACAGTTTCCATAGGCGATTTTAGGGATGTTTCTGTAACGTGTGTTCCCGCAGGACACTGTCCAGGATCTGTGATGTTCCTTTTCGAGACTAAAACATCCCGAGTTCTTTATACAGGGGATTTTCGAATTAGTCCGTCTGATATTAAAAAATTCAGATGTTTTTATGATATTTTCGATAAAGTAAAGAGTATAGATAAGGTATATTTGGACACGACGTTTTTTATGCGAAAATACACATCGTTTCCGAAAAGAGAGCATAGCTTATTTCAAGTATGCGACCTTATATCCAAGTGGATATCCATGGATAAGGATAACGTGGTTAAGATTTTTCTAGTAGCTAACTATGGATACGAATACTTGTTTAAAGAAATCTATAATACTTTAAAAATGCCTGTTCATGTAGACTCCAATAAATATACATTTTGTTCCATGATACCAGAACTGGATAAATGCGTTACAACTGATAGCGAAATAACTCAAATACATTGCTGCAGTTTGAGGGGTACCCTCGCTTGCAAGGAGTTCAAATTGGAGAATATCAGGATGATCAAAGTCTCAGCTTACAGATGGGAGAATTTTGATTCGACCAATGAAAATTCATATGAACTTGACAGTTTGGGTAATTTTTACGTGTGCTATTCCACTCACGCCTCGTATGAGGAAAGTATGGCTTTGATTGAGTTCATTAAACCTAAAGAAATTCATGTTTGCGTGGAAAGAGACCATCCATCAGAGACTGTAGAAATTTATAAATTGGTTGAGGAAACTCTTAATAAAATTCATGGAAGAAATAAACATGAAGCAGCAAAAGAAGAGGTGAAACTTTTTGAAGTTAAAGAACTGAGTTTGGAGCAAAAGGAAGCTCTAGAGGAACCGCCTTGTAAGAAAAAATATTCTGGTGTTCTGGATTCTCCTCCTAGATGATGAAGAAGTTGACCAAAAAAATCAAATATTATATGCACTTAAAAATGTGATATTTTTGATACAAAAACATTTTTTAAAAGCTAAATATTTTTATTAAACTTATTTAATTTTAATATTATCCTACATATCAACTAATTGTATAGGTTTTCTCGCGTAAATGCTCTTTGTTTTGACATCTTGTATGGTAACCAATTTGTTAAAAAAAAATAACTAGGTAGTAAATATAAAAATATCTTCTGGGGGCTTATCCCGTGACTCTTTAGTAAATTAATTTTTGAATTTTATACAGTTTTAAATAAAACTTCAATAAAATTATATTTTCTTTGAATTAATCTGAACTATAAGTCCGGCTTTGTTTTTACTCTACCACATAATATTTAAAAAAAATCAATTTTAATTGTTATAGCCGATCGTGTTTTACCATTTTGGGAAAAATTACGCGAAAAGAACTATACTTATTGGGGAAATCGAGACAAGAAGAATTATTACAGTTGAGGGTTGGAACCTTTGGTGTTACACAGCAAAATAAAAACACTAAATCACCACAATACACCAAAACACTTTTACTTTTACACTGGACGCGCGTTTCGCTAACCATGTTAGCATCATCAGCAGATGATTATAAACTAAAGTACAATCTACAAGTTGAGCGTTTATATACTCGCTCAGTGGGCACCGAGTGGGCGTGGCAAAATCTAGCCAACCGAGTCAGAGCCCACTGAGCGTAACAGTTAGATTACCGCCACTAGAGTAGTAGGAACAAAGAACTTGAAGGAATTGGACCGTTGACTCTGTTCATACTATCTTTACATTTCTGATGCTTTCATATGCATCTAATTGCCTGTAATTTGAGACTTGGTTAATTAATTTTAAATTATTAAGATCTATACAATGTTCTTTATCAACAATATGTTCGGCAACGCAAGATTTATCCGGTCTACCATATCTTATCTGAGCTAAATGTTCTTTAAATCTAATTAATATTGATCTTCTAGTTTGCCCAACATATTTCTGATTACAATCTTTACAAGAAATTTCATAAATACCCGACCTTTCCAGTGGAGGTGTTTTATCTTTTGGATTACCTAATAATTGTTGTAATTTATTATTAGCACTATACACAAGTTTATAATTGACATTCTTAAAAATTCCTTTTAGACCACGGCATAACTCTCTATCTAACGGTATCGAAAAATATTTAGACGTATCTTTCTCCACTTGAAAAGTCGAATTTTCAGAAATCATTAACCTATACCTACGTTTTCTAATTAATTTATCAACTAGAGAAGGAGAATATCCATTACACTCAGCTACATTCCTAATGTAATCTCTTTCTATTTCATATCTTTCGTTGGAAAGTGGGAAACTAAGTAATCTATGAACTAAGAAATTTAAACTAGCCATTTTATGTTCAACACTATGATGTGATTCATTAGGAATATATCTGCGTGTGGTCGTATTTTCCTATAGATATCAAATTCCAGGCAATTATTAGTATTTCTAATAACTAATACATCTAGAAATGGTAATCTGTCGTTGTTCTCAATTTCATGCGTAAATTTAATGGAAGGAAAACGATTATTTAACTTAGAAATAAAATTATATATGGTGTCTGAATGTGTGTCAAAAACAGCAAAAATATCATCCACATACCTAAACCATACTCTTGGAAAATACTCAAACTGATTCTTAGCCTCCACTTCAAACCTGCTCATGAATAAATTAGCCAAAAATGGAGACAATGGATTACCCATTGCTGTACCTTCCCGCTGTTCAAAAAAGTTGTTATTAAATTGAAAACAATTTTGTTTCATACATAACGATGTAAGCTCAATATATTCACTCAGAGTTTTGTTGTCGAGACCATTTGCGTTCAGTAATTCCTTCAAGTAGCCTAAAGTATGTGGAATTGGAACACTTGGGAACAACGAAGATACAACATGGTTAGCGAAACGCGCGTCCAGTGTAAAAGTAAAAGTGTTTTGGTGTATTGTGGTGATTTAGTGTTTTTATTTTGCAAGAAGAATTATGTACTTTTATATAGTTTTGTAGATATTTGTGTAATGTACAGGGTGAGCCAAATTGGATGCTTTTAAAGGGAAACCCCCTTTTCTATAGGAGATAGACGAAAACTAATATTAATGTCTGGAGCTCAATTTTTATCAAAAACATGATTGTGAAAACCGCATATCGATATCTGTTACCGTTTCGGAGTTAAGGGGTGTTTTTCAAAAATGTGCATTTTTAACAAATCAGAAAATTTTATTTTCATTTTAAAATCAGAAAATTTGATTGTATATATTTTTAATTCATTGAAAATAATTTAAAATTACCTTTCCAAAAATATAGCATACTATAAATATACAACATTTTCCGTAGTAAAAAAGTTACAACAATTTGTTAAAATGTACATTTTTGAAAAACACCCCGTAACTAAGAAACGGTAACATAACAGATATCGATGTGCGGTTTTTACCGTCGTGTTTTTGATAAAAATTGAGCTCCAGGCACTGATATTAGTTTTCGTCTATTTCCAAATAAAAAAAGGGTATTTCCCTTTAAAAGTGTCCAATTTGGCTCACCCTATACAGGAGTAAATAGAAAAAATCATAGTTTTTCTTCTAGATTTGTTGAAACAGATGTGATTTATAATAAAACAGTAATAATTTATAGGACAAAATTTTGAACAAAGAAGAACAATTGTGATATTTTTGATAAAAACTGTTAATTTTATGTTTTGAGTATTTTCTTAATTTTATTTTTTATATATTTTAATATTACTCTTCAAATTGTCTATTACACTTCTCAGAAATTAATAGACAAGTAGAATAACCAACCATTATTTTAGTTACAATATAAATATTTGTACAAAATAAACCATAACAAATTGATAAAAATATGTATTGTTTTTCTTAGAAAATAATGAATATTTGTTAATTTTATAAAATAAACCTCAAACAATTAAATAAAACTCCATGTTAAGTACGTTTGGTTTTTATTTTAACAACAGTTCATAAAACAATATTATAAAAAAAATTGCATCAAGATATTTTAGCAGAGAAAAATAGGTCAGTGATAAATTAATCGATCCAGATGATATAAAATATAATATACCTTACATCAGAACTAATCTAAACCTAAAATATACAAGAATATAAATAAACAACACATCAGTCAATTCCAGAAAAAATATTCTCGAATTTATCAGATAAAATATATATCTGAAAATATTTTTAGGAACCTAATATGTATAATAAAATCTATTATCACATATGGATTTAGCTAATCATTAATTAAATAATTAAGAAGAGTTATAATTCTTAAAAGGAAGAAAATATATTACTTAGAAGCATTGTACTTTTTTAATTACCCAACATACAGGGTTGTTCACCACATACGACGCTACAATACGAGTTTTGTAGCTAAAAACGATTAGATTTTTACAAATTGTAAGTTTTGGGTTCGTTGAAGGACTATTAGAGCTACAATTTAAAAATAATTTTACAAGATACAAAGTGTCCCAAATAAGTCCCCTGTATATTATTCTATTTTTAGATTCTACGATTGAAATAAAGGTAAATTTGATTAAGGTTTATCACACTTAAACCTTACCGTTTTTGAAATATTTTCAATTTTGTGAAATTGCAGGAAAAAATTTAAGGCTTCATTTCTCCAAGGGTATCAAAGTTTTTAATACTTAATATTTACTGAAGATTATTTATTGATCAGATATTGTGTTGGAATAATAAAAATTATACTACCTTATACCAAGTGTCCAAAAATTAATATTAAATAATTACTAGTTTTAACAAGGTTTTAACCGGCAATAACTTGTTTAATTTAAATGGAACACCCTGTATATTTTACGCGAATCAGATGCACAATTTAATTGTCTATCAAATTGTATTATACCATTTTTTACCTATCTCTTCAAGTTTTCGTAGAAAATGAATTTTCTTATAATTTAGACTTCATTTATCACTATACCCATGGAATATTGACATTTATTTTTTTAAAATGTACAGGTAATAAATATAATATTATTGCTAGTCCATTTGTTTACAAAAAGAAAACTACCTATTTAAATCTTTGTAAAAGAGTATACCAATTTAATATACCACCATTTTTTCCGGCCAAAAATTAGTTAATTACATACGTAATTGTTTTGAATACTGGGATCATAATTGGTGCACTTTAACAAAAAATATTTAAACAGTTTTTTATTTTTTAATGAAATAAGCGAACTATATCGACAATATTAGTATCTGTACTCTTTGAAAATTTGTACCTCTTTAAAAATAATCTAAAATGTCAATATTCCATGGGTATAGTGATAAATGAGGTCTAAATTATAAGAAAATGCATTTTCTACGAAAACCTGACGAGATAGTAAAAAATGGTATAATACAATTTGGTAGACAATTAATTTAATTGTCTACCAAATTCTGATTCTCGTAAAATATACAGAGTGTTGCATTTAAATAATTAACAAGTTATTGCCGTTTGAAGCTAGTAATTATTTAATATAAATTTTTGGACACACCGTATGAGGTAGTATAATTTTTATTATAGCAACACAATATCTGATCAATAAATAATCTTCAGTAAATATTTAGTATTAAAAAGTTTGATACCCTTGAAGAAATGAAGCCTTAAATTTTTCACTGCAATTTCATAAAATTGAAAATATTTCAAAAACGGTAACGTTTAAATGTAATAAACCTTAATCAAATTTACCTTTATTTCAATCGTAGAATCTAAAAATAGAATAATATACAGGGTGTTCCATTTAAAAAAATACAACTATAATATTTTTTACTTATTTGGGACACTCTGTATCTTGTAAAAATATTTTTAAATTGTAGCTGTAATAGTCCTTCAACGAACCCAAAACTTACAATTTGTAAAAAACTAATTGTTTAGCTACAATACTCCGTGTCGTATGTGGTGAACGACCCTGTACAGAAATAAAATTAATGGTGGTGTACTTTTTTTATTGTTAATATACCATGGATCCAAGGGCTACCGTAATGCCTTTTTTTCGATCATACAATACAGGGTGTCCCATTTAAAAAAAAACAAAAGTTTGAGTCATATTTCAAGAATGACATCTCCCAGCGAAAAATGAGTTATGCCACTGGATTCTTAAGAGTCTACTTATTCTGTACTGTTCGGGTTGCTCTCAGGGGTCGGGTAAAGCGGGTGTGTGACGAGGTGATATACGAGGGGAGTCAAAAAATGCCACAATTTCAAATTGGCCCAAATTGCAAATATGCATACCAGAAGAATTGATCTTAACCCATTAGTGCATAAAGTTATTTTTTTCTGAAATTAGTTTGGAAAATTAATTATATCTATTAGTTTATGTAATATAACAGTGAAAATAAATAGAGAAATTGAACAATGTATGTATTTTTCTGAAAAATGACTGTCCATTATAATGGACTTCATGCATTTCTTATCAACTGGGTAAAAAAGTCATATAAAAAAACTTCATATTTTGTAAAAAAATCTTTTTATTTTATGTTTTTATTTAAACTGTTTTTAGTAAAATAAATTTCAATGCTTATTTAATATGATATGTTTTGAAACAACCTTTGGGATGTAGACCGACATTACATTTCTCACAGATGAAATTGGCTTTTTTGTGCATTGTTTACATCTTCTGTGAGTTTCACTATACACTACGATGTGGCTAGTGTTGTCAAACCTCACATCATTCGTGGTAGTAGATACTCTACCTCTTGATGAAGGTGTCCCATAAGTTTGTAATAACGAATTTGCAATGTACCTACGAAAAACCAGTAAACTTGAACAGTTTTTATCTTTTGGTAAGTGTTTCTTCATGAGTAGCCAAGCATTAGACACTGAAACGTCAACTAAATATGCGAAAATTGGCCAGTACCATTTGCGTTGCCTAATTCTTGTTCTATAGCCAGCCACTAGACTGTCCATTTTATCAACTCCTCCCATTGCAATATTATAATTCGCTATTATTTCTGGTTGATCAATTTGTTTTTTAGTTTTGGTGATTCTGCACCATCGTGAAGTTTTAACAATACTGTTGGAGGAAAAGTTAGATGCTGCTGTAACGACTTTATTGTCTTTCCATTTAACCATTAGAACTGATTCGCTAGCCATAAATTTATAAGCCCCTCTTGGTTTTTTATTCCACTCTTTCTTGTTGGGAAAGGGGCAGCGGTTGGGCTTGTTGGGAAAGGGGCACAATTGAGTCGGATACTATTATAAATAATTTTTGGGACATCTTCAGTACTTGACCAATACATGCGCTTGTTCGGACATTTGGTGTATCCCGATAGCAGCATAGCTCCAAGAACTACGTAAAATTCTTCTCTGGTAATATTTAAAGGGGCATTCTTCTGCTGAGCATATTTATTTGATTGAGTCACTATATGTTCAATAATAGTTTCACTCCAAAACAAATTAAAAAATTCAAGAGGCGTTTTGGCAAAAGACGCCGCTTCAGAGGGCGCTCTGGGAGTACAAATTTGGTTTATGTTATACAGTGGTATATTTACGGACCAATTGTATTGTCTACGCCTTTTAGGATTTGATGTGTTGACAGTCGGAGTCATTGGTAAAACATATTCTTTAGATGTAGATGCTAAATTATTTCTATTAACTGATAAAGGTATATTATCATCTTCTTCATCAAAATCTGAGTCATTAAACCGAACTTCACAGGACTGTTGTAATATTCCTCTGGACAGATGATTTGGATTAGCAGTTTCTTCGTCAGAATCATCGCTATCCCCTTCTGTATCAGCCGACTTCTCCTCTGGTGGCAATATATATATTTCTGACGGTGGGTTGTCAGTACTCTCGTCCTCAATTATTTCTAATAACTGATGCAGAGAAAGTCTATAAAATATTATTTATCAGAAACTGTCTTGTACATATTTTTTTATTTTGTTTTGCTACATGTACCAGTACGCATAGCGTCCATTATAATGGATCACACAAAAAAATAAGATTTTGATAAACTTATAAAAAACATAAATAACTGTGAAAACGTAGAACTATTCTAACTATACATAAAATACTATATTCGACTTTATAACAACATAAGAAATATAATTTATTAAAAAAAACATAAAACATACCCGCTGTGTCGTGTGGTGTATAAATCGGGATCCATTTTTAATAAAGCAGCACTTATCATATGGATGTTTATGGCATACTGCTTAACACGACTTTTTATAGATTCCATCTACCCAACAAGCACAAAATATCCGTATTTGTATCGATAGTATTATGCTGACAACCAAATATACATGTGTCCATTAAAAGATACATTATGCACTAATGGGTTAATTTTTAAATTTAAAATTGCTTGTTTTTTACCTAAATTTGGTTCTTTTTTTAAATCGGTTTGATTATTTTTTTAACCTGTTACATTTTTTGTAACTTCAAAATTAAAGACTTTAATAAAAAAAAGAAAAAAACTTTATTGTGTTGGTAAAATGTTAATTGCAGTTATTTAATACATCCCCTTGTATTGACGCCATGCTACGCCGCTGGTTAGTAGCATCTTTAGTCTTTGCTTTAGTAATGTAAAAACCGCATCTTTGTATCTCTACTCTTAAATGAGAAACCCCGTAAAACACACAGAAATGGGACACCCTGTACATTTTATCCTCTATAAGATTTTTAAATACTTTAATTTAAAATTATGCAATTTCTAATAGTTATAATCTAAAAGGTCACTTTATGGTGCTGTGATAGAAAAATAATCCAATAAAAAACAGTCATTTTTTAAAAAATAAACACAGTGGCACTTCTTCTAATTATTATTGTTCATAAACCAACAAAATCTTTGTTATAGAAAGATAAATACTGTAAAAAAGAAAAAAATGTATAAAACATACTTTGGCTAAGATTATAGTGCTTAAGAACTATAAACTATGACCTAAACACTTAGTAATATATCTCACTAAAAAAAAACAATGTTCATATCGGTACTATTATACTAAACAGTGCAAAATCACAAGCTCTATTTTTTTTTGGTACCTCAAATCTACTGATATGGTGTTCTTGGATTCACATTGATCATTTCACTAGTACTAAAATATAGATGTTAATTTAAAGAATTCACAAAAAAAAAACAGTGTCACTTACCCCCTGCCACATTTTATATGGATTAGCAACAAAGCTATGCCCAGTAATAAACATAGCACTCCAACCACTATGTATGCTATGCCCAAGAACGGATTTTTGCCACCCAGTAGCGAGGTAGTGCTCAGAATCATTTGTTTTTTACCATCAAAGGTACTCACATCGTAATCTATATGAAAAGAATATTTTAAATAGGGTTATTTTGTTTTTAAAACATCTGTTTTGAATGCCATCTACACTATGTAGTTAAAAACAAGCGGTATTATTGGTTTTAAACAAATAAAAACTTTTAAACCATAAAAAAATATGTTTTTTTAAAAACGATTTTAAATTATAACAAAATAAATAAAAAATTAGGTAATTATTGGGAAAACTGGAAATCGCCCGATTTTCACCAAAATTGGTATACACTCACTCTATTTTGAAGTCGTAGATTACGAATCTGAACTTTTTTTCTGGCGGTCTCTTACCGTTTTTCAGAAGAACGAAAAATTATTTCAACATCGAATTTTTCTTAATTTCTCATATTTTTAAGGTTTTCTAGCATATATTTTGTTAGGTATTGAATAAACAATGATGTTTTTGCTATTTTCTGTTACTTTTTTAACTAATTCTATGCATATAGAAGAAAATTTGCTAAAATAAATTTGTAAACAATCTGAAAATGTTGGGTTACGTGTTTCTGGCATTTAAAGCAACGTTGCCAATGTTAATACCTAAATTCAGCGTGTTTTTTTCGCTCATTCTGGGATTACGAAAGGCGGCCGCCAGAAGAACGGCTCCTTCCCATAACTGCTATTTTACCAACGAGATCTGACTATTTATAACCACGAAGTTACACGAAAGAGTTTTGATTGCATTGGTTACAACTTCCATGCGGAGGGTGTTAATCTTTTGTTGTTATATTATATCAAAAAAAGATTAACCCCCTCCGCAAAGAGGTTAAAACCAATGTAATCAAAACTCTTTCGTGCAACTTCGTTGTTATAAATAGTCTTTATATAACTTCTTTGCGGAGGGGGTTAATCTTTTTTTAGTATAATATAGCAACAAAAGATTAACACCCTCCGTATAGAAGTTGTAACTAATGCAATCAAAACTCTTCCGCGTAACTTTGTGGATATAGGTAGGTATACTTAACTATTGTCAGATCCCATAATAGGTATTATAATTTATTTAAAATCCCTAATCACCCGAAAAAATAGAAGATATGACAACGTCCGTAGCTACAGAACGGACAGACGTACTGTATCTAAATATTTGTAAAGGGAATTTTTTAATTTTGCAACAATTTACTTATTACTTTCTTTATAGTAGAGGAATAAAATCGAATTACCGATTACTCGATTAAAAAATTAAAAAATATCGATTTTTCGATACTCACGCAAAAATCGATTAATTGATTTTTGAAATCGATTCTTTCCCATCTCTATTATATAATTATGAAAAGTGTTTTTCAGTAAAATTTTGGACATTTTCCTATCCTCAATCAAGTGTGGCTTTTAGATAAACTATAATATAATGAAGATATAGTGAAATTATTACTTTATAGGGCCGAAATAAAGAAAAATTCAATGTTGAAATAATTTTCCGTTTTTCTGAAAAACGGCAAGAGATCGCCAAGAAAAAAGTTCAGATTCGTAATCTACGAACTCAAAATAGGGTGTATACCAATTTTGGTGAAAATCGGACGATTTCCAGTTTTCCCAATAATTACCAAAAATAAATCTATGTACCTACTTACTATATTCAATAGTCAGCAAATATTCCCCTTTCTTCAAGCCATCCCTGAACCCTTCCTTGGCATGATTAACCCTTCTGTACAGTTTCCTAAAATTAGGCAGAGCCGCTGTACGCATCCAAACGATAAAATCTTCATTCTGGAATCCATTATTATCTGGATTACTGGGATCCAGTTCATACAACGCCTTTCTCCAGGCTTTCGGCTTAGCATAACCATAAGAAATTATCATATCAGTTAAGTTTCCTGGTGGGTTACGGAACTTGATATTTTTATCTGAATCCCACGCTATACCTGTGTTGAGTAGGTCAACTTGTTGCCAATCGTTGTTGTCGTTTATACTTGAATAAAGGTTCAGGACATCTAAAACAATATTTTTTTATGAAAGTTATTGTTTAATGTTGTTGTATAAAACCACAAACCGCTGAACATAGAGTTTGCTATAGCTCCACATGGAGCGATGGGCCTTTTTGTTTTATTCTCGTCCACAGTATAATCAAATGGCATGCACTCATGAGAAGGATCATTACGTAAATTCCCTAACAACTGATTATCGTCTCTAGATTTTACATATCTTCTATGGTTCTGGTAAAAGTTTGTTAAACCATAATACATATAGACACTACCCTATAAAGATTTATAATACAACAATACTTATAAAATGATAAATATAACAGTAAATACCTGAAAATCTTCTTTAAGAGTTATCTTTTCTCTACAAATACAGGTATCGTTGGGTTTATTTTGTAGAACACTTATACAAGTCTGATTTGTGATAGACCAGTCACTGGTTTCGCTGGCTTCATTTGGTAGGGTCTGGTTACAATGGGTGTAATCAAGCACGAATTCCTTAACTTCATCTGAGAAATATAACAGGCTGATTCCAACAGGAATAAATGCAATTCCAATAACGAAAAACGTAGGTAAAACTGTACCAGCAGTTAGTATAGGTTGCCATGCAGGAAGTTTTTGTTGCTTGAATGCACTATCTAAAAAAGAATATAAGAAATTTCACGTTTAATATAAAGAACGTCACTTATATCTTCTTGGCTGTATTAAGGAAACATCGATAAAAAGGTGGATTCATATGGGAGTGTTTATCAAAACAAATGAAACTTTAATTTATTGAGACTGTTGGTAAAATGGCTTACCAGACGGTTTTTTCGTGGTTCCGTTCGTAGAACCTTCACCGGATAAGGACATTTCGGGTTATTTAATTTATATTTTCCGTATTTTATCGCAATCTGGTACTGTTTACGAAAAAAAAAAAAAATTCCCAGCTGTCAAAATTTTTTTAATGATGCGTCAAGTGTCAGATTTAAGATTGTCAAAGGACCTTCGTTCTGATTGGAGGAAAACAAGATAATTTGAAATCAATTTGTCAGGCGCCACATTTAAATAAGCGCTCTTTGGAAAAATATAAAGGTAAGTTTTACGATTATTAATGAATTGGCCATTATGAAGCTTTTAAGGATTTTACGTAAGTTCGTTATCCAAATGATTGTTTTGTTTGCAATATAGAGTGTTTGGAATAGGTTTAATTCTTGGATTGAAATAAAACTGAAGATAAATATAAAAAAAATATTTAGTAGCCATGAAGAGCTCTTTGGTTTCAATCATTTTCCTAGTTACCTTGTGTTTTTCATTGAAAATACGAAGTAAAGTTATAGAGAAAATGTTAAAAACTAACTTAAAACATTTTTATCACGTGTGTTATCACGGTGAATATAACGATATTCCAGTAATGTGTTTCCGAAATAATATACCCCTTAAAAATGTGAATTTCTCTGTTACTTCTTTTACGTACTGTGACATTTATGTTTTTGACACAGATTTACCTAGCTCACTAGACGCGAGCTATAGATTGGAACCTCATAAAAGAATAATGATTTTTTCGAGAAAAGGTTATAAGATCGAAAGTTTGAATAATAGATTAATTTATGAGCGAGGCTTAGATTTGGTTATGATCGATTTACAAAGCACACCTGCTCAAGTAACCTATCTATTGATAAATAAATCGCAAACTTTAACAAAAAATCTTTCGAAACACGAACTTTTACCTCAAAAATGGGAGCCTCAAGATTTTTTCAAGTACACTGGAAGAAATATCATCGTGAGTACGTTTGATTGCCCTCCTTTTGTGGAAATATCAAAAAACAACGTTTTTGGAGGCGTAGAATACGAATTTTTGAAGGATTTCACCAAAAGTTGGCCAGTAGAATACAAAATAATCGAAAACAAAAATACAAGCGTTAGAGTAAATCATTTCTTGGAAGTTATAGAAAGAATTAAACTCAAAAAAGCTGATATTGGAGTTTGTTTCATATGGCAAAGAGCTCTAATGGAAAGAAACTTGGATTACTCTTTTCGCATGTTTCCCACGTGTTTGACTTTTCTTGTTTTGAAGCCGGACCTGCTAAAAAGCTCTTTATTCTTGTTTCAACCCTTTCAAGACAATCTTTGGGTAGTTTTTCTTGTGATTTTCACACTTTTGGTTGTTTTATACAAAAATTTTATTGGTTTACCTAATTTTCTTAGTAAAGAGGTTTATCTAATATCTTCATTCGTTTTTTTGGGGCTCATTTTCTCATATTATTCCGCTGAATTGACCACACAACTAAATTTTCCCCGATTTTTACAAAACTACGTAAGAAACTTCGAGGATATGATCGAAAAAGGTATTAAATGGGAAGAACCAAGGAACGATATACAGTTATGGTTTGAACAAACTAAAGATCCACTTTGTACAACTATAGCGAAGAATTTTAGACAAAGTTCTGACAGAATATCGATGAATAAACATGTTTTGACTGGAAAATACGGGTTGTTGGTGAAGATGACTTCAAGATCGATGGTGGTAGGGTCTGAAGAATTGGATGATCAAGGTAAAACACGTTTGAGACTCTTACCAGGGTGTTTGGCTTGGTTTTACAGCTCTATAGCTTTTCCCAAACATTCCCCACTGAAGAAACACTTCAACAGGAAGATAAATTTATATTTTTCCAACGGATTGCTAAGTTTCTGGGAGTCTATGACGATAAGGAAGTCAAATTATCGGTATATGAAGAATTTTAAAGAGATTTATATGGAGGGAATGGTTCACAGAAAAATAGATATGGAAAAACTAACAGGGATATTCTATTTTCTGATATGCGGGTATATTTTCAGTGTTATTTGTTTTATTTTGGAGTATTTAAGTGTTTGGTTTAGTATTCGATTAAAGACAAATATAATATTTGTAAATAAATAAAGTATTAGAAGATTAACAGTTAAGTTTTTTCAATTAATCAATACTTAATTTTGTTTATGTTTAATTTATTTATAGCTGTTTTATATACAGGGTAGCCGAAAATTGTCTATATTGGTTATAAGGCACTCATGTTTTTGAATCATTCACATACCTATATAAATATGATATACCAAATTATTTATTTGCTCAAAATTATTGTTTTAATTTATTGTAAATACTGATTTAATATAATACATACTAAGTTAAAAATAACCTGGTTATTTTATTTTGAAAATTCTCCAAAAAATGTTTTGCTTAAATTGGATCTTTTTTTAATTTTCTTTTTTGTAAATTTAATCTACAATTTATATTGTCATATTATCAAGATATTGGGTATGTCTTTTAACTAAAAATTAAAAAAAATCGCGAAAAAACTCATAGACGTGTTTCTGGGGTCGAAATATATCCCTAAAACTATTTGCATTGATTTAGGACTCATTCTGTATATTAAAAAATAACAATTTTTATTAGACAAATATTATTTCTTTCCTTTTAATAAGTTTCATTTACATTAAGTTACTTAAAATACTATTTATTTAAAGATTTTTTTATATAGAAAGTGCCTCTAGTAAAAATTTATTAAAAAAGTTCAAGACTTGCAAGAGTCTTACAGCAATACCAAGACCAAGTGAGTCTTGATCTTGCTCTTGCATTTGCCCTTCACCAGTTTTTAATATACCGGGTACGTCTCAAAAGTGGATTACCCTACTTTTTTCGATAGAAAATACACCCTCAAAAGAATGAGATATCATATGTCAACTATTGAAATCTCCCAATATTTATGGTTTATTTGAAATTACAACATTCATAAAAACAATTTGACTCGAAATACCAATGTGTGGTACCAAATTATTCGTAAAAAATGCTTTTTCCAAATAAGCTAATGAGCCACCCTCGTTCCATTTGAAAAAATTGAGATATGATTAAAAATACGATTTGGGCATCTTTTAATCCAAGACAAGACGCTAAAAACATTAGACGATGAAATCTATTTTTCCAAGGCTCCTTGATTAAAAATTAGTGTTTTTAACACAGCCATGGAACTCTAGATTGAAATTTAAAATATAGTTTTGTTTTAAGCAAAAATATCAGAAGTTGACATATGATATATGTCATCATATTCAGAGTATTATTTATTATCGAATAAAGTAAAAAAATACCGAGTGTGCCATTTAAAAATCAAACAATTTGATTTTTGATGAATACGCCAATCAATCCTAATTAATTATGTCATCTACTTAAATACCAAATTTCGTTTTTTTTTTATCTGAAAAAATAAAAAAAGTTAGCCACTTTTGAGACGCACCCGGTATAGAATTTGGACTATTATTTCAAATAAAATGAAAATGGGTAAAATCAAGAAACACATTTTTGCTGTAAAAAATACACTGATACGTTTTGTTTAAATCAATTAACTGTAAATTAGTAGGTATTATCTCATTATTGATTAGGTAGATAAGTTATTATATTATAGTTTTAGAGCAATTGACTTACAGCCATCAATAATGCTTTCACAAAAATAATCCATAGAGATTTTGACACACATTTAAGAAAAACCGGACAAAATATACTTAAATTTTAGAATCTTATCTTATTCTTCTATCTATACGCGTCCCGAACTATAGCAAATCTTTCTCAAACTAAAATACTATTATATTATTCACCAAACTGAAATATTTACCGCTAATCAAAATTTGTTGTAATTCATTTAGCACCATTTGCTATTGAGGAATTTGAGAAAAATTTAGTTTACTCTAACACAAATTAACTAAAATTCTATATTTGTTCTTATTTTTAACCGTAAATACCTATTTTTATTTAATTAAAGCGATTATTGTTATAAAATCAAAATAACAGTGAGTGGGTACAATTTTCTACTGATGTTATAACATGAATTGATCTTTTTTTCTCATTCTTCAAATGAAGGTCAGTTGTTATAAGTTCACCTTGATATAGCTAAACAAGGAAGTTTCGTATTGTGTGTAAAAAAATATAACAAAATAGCGGAAAGTGGCAAAAATGTTTAAAAAAAACTAAAATTATATGCATTCCCCCGGAAAATCATAACAATGCTCTAAAAATCGGAGAAGAACTCTTGGATTATGTAGCGGAATTCAATTACCACGGCAGTTTGATTTCAGAAAAGGCCAATAACGACTCTGAAATTCAGCACAGAATTAGCAGCGCCTCAAGAGCATTTTGGAAATTAAAAGACAGGGTTTTCTATAATCATGACTTGAGCACAAAAACGGTACTTGCAGTGTACCGAGCAATAATAATCCACACCATTTTATATCGAAGCGAAACCTGGGTGCCGTGAACGCATTAAACAAATTGCAACTGAGGCACCTTAGATAATTGTATCGGTCCTTGAAAAATCTAGCTGTGAGAGCACTGAAGTCAGGATTACTAAATCCTGGTTAAGATGGGCTGGTCACGTATGCAGGATGCAAGAAAACCGCCTACCGAAATCTCTTATTTACGGTGAGCTTGTATAGGGTAAGAGGAAACCGGGTGGACAACTCAAAAGGTACAAGGATATTTTCCATGAAAACAAAATGGAGAAAAATTGTAAACTCAGTTAAAAACGCCAAACCAAAAAGAAAAGAGGCAAAAAAGCAATGAGATTTTTGAATGTCCGGAGTGCGGCAGGCAGATAACATCACGTATCGGGCTTTTCAGTCACTGAAAAGCTCATGAAAGAAAATGCCTTACGTAAGTAACCATCTTGTGAAGCGTGTCAAATACTCGTCAGCGAGTAATGGCAGTAAGTAAGTAAGAGGGAAGCTTGTACAGGTTTTCGAAAATGTAAAAAAGTCACAAAGAAATGCTTGTGCGTTTCAGAAATTAATAGTGTATGCGCCCTACGGGTTTAATATTAATCTGGCAGTTTGCATGGTGATTGTGGCCATACGAAGGGATAAAAAAATGTTCGAGAGCGCCAGATTTTCAAAAGGGATGTTAAGTGAACCCTAAAGAACCTTCTATTCAAAAGACTGAGGATTTGGACGCCACCAAAACTCATGGCAGATTTTTTTCAAATACCACACTTTATTGATGGTTTTAGAATGGCTTGTGGAAATTGTCAGAAGAAGGAAAGAAAGCAAAAAAAAAGCAAATTGTCATAAGAAGGAAAGAAGAAGGAAGCTTGTGAAAATTGTTTAGAAGGCTTGTGGAAATTGTCAGATTCTTGAAATATTTCCTTCAAAATGAAAAAAAAAAAATAGGAAATATCCTCGCTCAAGAATATCCAGGTGACTTTTTTTTGCAATTTTGTGACTTCCAATTCTTCCTTTCTTATACAGGGTGGTCCGAACTGTATTCCGGAAACTTCGGCAGCATATTCTGCAGATAAAAATAAGTAAAAAAGTTCGTATAAAGTATGTCCTAAAATGGTTAGTTTCGGAGATACAGGGTGTAGAATTTGCATTTTTATTTCGATTTTTTCCCAATAATTTCGGAAGTAACGTCAATATTTGGATAAAAATTGGTGTTTGGGAGTTTTTTGACATGAGAAATTTGATTTTGATGTCAATATGACTCCTGCGTGTAGAGGGTGCCACTTACATATTTTTAACTGGTTTGAAGATTAATAACTTTTCGTTCGTACCTGTATAAAACTACTGACGAAAAAATATACATTTACGACTTTTTTTACGTAAAAAAAGTCTCTTGGTAAAAATCGCTACGAGTAATGGTTCTCGAGATATTTGGAATCGAAATTACCAATACCTGTCATCATTGACAGAAATTAAACACGTTGACTAAATAGTTATTAGACTGAAATCATAAATTTGAAATGTTTTTGTGCCAAAAGTTCAACAGAAACTGTTTTATCATTATTTTTTCGCAGAAAAATTTATGATTAATTTAAAAAAATAAAAATGTTTCAAATTTATTATTTTAGTCAAATAACTATCTATTCAACGTGTTTATTTTTTGACAATAAATTTCTCATGTCAAAAAACTCCTAGACATCAATTTTGATCCAAATATTGAAGTTACTTCTGAAATTATTTGGAAAAAATCGAAATAAAAATGAAATTTCTACACCCTGTATCTCCGAAATTAAGCATTTTAGGACATACATTTATAGGAACTTTTGTAGTTATTTTTATCTGCATGTTTGAATAGTTCGGACCACCCTGTATATACGTTCTTAATTTCCTTGCCTTCTGTATATGTATGAAAAATTGTAAGTAAAATTACTATTTGCGATACAATTGTTTGTAATTGAGACTTATTATTTTTAAATTCATGTAATAAACGAAACTGCAGCTGTCAGACTGTCGCACTAATGTGAAATCTTGAGCATAATGACCATTTATCAACGTTTGTTTTTAAATTGGTAATTCGTATGATTGATTCGTTGCTTCTGGAACTAGTTAAAGATTGAAATGCGTTTTTCAATGCGCTTTGAGTAAAGAAAAAACAATGTAAAGCTTTGTATACACCTAACGTTTTACCGTACGTTTTGTATGTCAGTTAAAACGGAAAACCGAGTAGGTAACTGACAGATAGGGTTTATACGTCCGGATTATTTTTACGATATTGTTCGAAAGAACTCATATCTATCTGGTCAATTTTTTCGGTTTTGATGCATTAAAAAAATATAATTCCGGAAACTTTGGTAGCATATTCTGCAGATAAAATTATGTAAAAAAGTTCGTATAAATGTATGTCCTAAAATGCTTAGTTTCAGAGATACAGGGTGTAGAAGTTTCATTTTTATTTCGATTTTTTTCAAAAATTTCTGAAGTAACGTCAATATTTGTCACGTCAAACACATGTCACTCTTAACCCCATAGCACAGTTTGATACTCCTAACACAGCTTGGAACAAACTGAAAGAAAACATCGGCAAAGGTGCTAAAGAAGCTTTAGGAACACGTACTGTATCACACAATAGAAGACCGAACATTAAACCTTGGTTTACATTACAAGTCAAGAACATTACAAGGGAAAAGAAGGGAAAATATTTACAATACAAGAAATCTCCAACACCGGAGAACCGAAATATCTATACCGAAATAAGGAACAGGACTAATAATAGAGTACGAGAAATTAAAGAAGAATATTGGCAGCGATTTAGTAGCGAAATGGAGGCGGATATATACGGAGCACAAAAACGTATTTGGAAGATGTTGAGGGGTTTGGGAACGAGAATGGGAACAAATGAAACAATACAACTAAGAACAATTGCAGAAGATACGTGGGAAAAATATTTCAGAGACTTATACGCAGAAACAGATGAACCAATGGAAGCACAAGAGACAAGCCAAAGATATAATACAGAAGATCATCCGCAAATCACTTACAAGCAAGTAGAAGAGACAATAAGGAAACTTAAAAATAGAAAATCTCCTAATCAAGATAAAATACCAAACGAGCTAATAAAAAACGCAGGCGCGGCTATCATAGAGGAATACACAAAACTGTTTAAATTATATTACAACATAAGAAAATACCAGAAGAATGAAAACAAAGTATAACAATACCCATTTTTAAAAAGGGAGATAAAACAGACCCAGCAAACTATAGAGGAATAACATTACTGAGCACCTCGCTAAAACTTCTGACTAAGATCATTGCGGACAAAATCTCCTCAATAGTGCCAATAAGCGAGGAACAACAAGGATTCCGAAGAAACCGATCAACTACCGATGCACTATTCATACTCAGGCAACTAGTTGAAAAATCCTTAGAATATAACTCTCCAGCCTATCTATGTTTTATAGATTTAACAAAGGCCTTTGATAGAGTCCAACTAAAAGACATCATCACCATCTTGGAAAGTAGTAATGTCTCGAAAGAACTCACACAACTTATCAAGGACTTAAACACAAACACAACAACCCAAATAAGAACAAACTTTACCTTAACGCAGCATCTTCGAACTACAACTGGTATTCGCCAAGGCGACAGTCTCAGCCCTCTGTTATTCAACACAATCATGGATCAAGTAATAAAAACCGTCAAGAATACTGGATTAGGATATCGAATGGGAATGCATAAAGTAAACATATTATGCTATGCCGATGACGCAATACTTATTGCAGAGTCAGAGGACGATCTCCAAAGAATGCTACAAGCTTTTAACAGACAGGCAGAAAAACTTAACATGCAAATTTCCACAAATAAGACCAAATGCATGACCATTACAAAGGAGCCTCTACGGTGCAAATTGGTAATAAAGAACAAAACTATTGATCAGATAATGTCATTCGAATACCTCGGATGCAAAATTACAAGCTTAGGATTCCTGGAAGAAGAAGTAAGGAAACAAGCCAATAAAGCTGCCGCAATATCAGGACATCTTAAATGTCCCATATGGAAAAACAAATATTTGAGTACAGAATGTAAGTCAAGAACATACAAAACCTGCATACGGCCAGTGATGACATGGTGCGGAAACCAGAGCTGAAACATCAGTAATAAAGAGAATCCTACGAACTACTGAAATGAAGACCTTAAGAATGATAACTGGATACACATTGAGGGACAGGCAGAGAAATGTAGACATAAGAGAAAAGTGCCAAACAAACGACGTTGTTAGATGGATAAGGCAGAGAAGAAGAGAATGGAACCAGCATGTCAATAGAATGGGCTCCGACAGAATGACCATAATAATTCGCAACAACGTACCCCATGGCAGAAGACCTACTGGACGACCACCTAAACGTTGGCAAGACAGTTGGCAGTCAACCTCGCAAGAGTTGCTTAGACGAGGAGGAAACTGGAACTAAGCAGGCGATACGCCTTCTAAAAGAAGAAGAAGAAGAAACGTGAAAACGTTAGAAACGTAAAAAAAATGTGTTGTGTGGTGTGAATATTTTATATATGTAATTTTTTGGATTATATTCGACACTATTTTTTTAATATTACACAACACTGATGAAGGCTAATAACGTTAGCCGAAACGTTTGTTTTTTCTCTTAAAAACCAAATAAAGATAATGAAAAACCAAATGAAAACTTAATCAGCGTTGTTTTCCGAACCTAAATCCCAAGAAAATCAAGAATTTTAGAATATTTAGAAACAAGGTTCACGATTATCAAATTTTCCAAGTATACAAGGTGTTTCAAAAAGCATGTGCCATCTCTCGTGGGGAGATTCCTCACGTAAAAATATGATTTATTTTTTATATCAACATAGGTCCGATTCTGCTTTGTTTCGTAGCTACAGGGTGTTAAAGTCTTAATAATCTTTCGATTTATTATAATTTTCTTCCAAGTATTTTTAGTGATTCGAATTAAATTTGGATGGTAAAAGTTACTATAAGTGCTACATATTTTCATGCTAAAAATATGTCAATAAATTTATCAGGGACGTGCATATGGGTTATCACTGGAATATTTTTCAAAAAAAAAAAACATGTGCGCCACTGACTTTTTTCTTTTGATGTCAAAATTGTGTAAAGCGAAAAATTATTTCTAGATATTTTGTCGAATTCGGCCTCCTTGATGAGATAAACGCAATTTTATTAACAACAATTAATAAAATTAATATAAAAATAAAATTAATAAATTATATATTTTAACTAATTTATTATTAAATATTATTACTATTAGTTATTATTTCTATTAGCGCAACCTACAGCAATTTTAAATAAAAAATACTGGTATTTAAGATAATTACAAGAAATCTAATTTTAAAAAGTTTTAACACCTTGTAACTCTAAAGTTATGCATTTCCATACCCATGTTTATAGGAACATTTTTTCATATTTTTCGATGAGGAATCAATGAGTACTTATTTAAAACTTTCGCAAGTTAATGATATTAAATTTTTTTAAAGGTTGCTATTAGACTTGGATCAAGGCAAATTAATAAAATTTGGTTTATTTCATCAAGGAAGCTGAAATCGACAAAATATCAAGAAATAACTTTTAATCGGCATTAAACTGCTTACACTATTTCGCTATCAAGGAAAAAAAAGTCAGTGGCGTACATGATTTTTTTAGAAAAATATTCCAGTGATAACCCATATGCACGTCCCTGGTGAATATATCGACACTTTTTTGGCTCCAAAATATGTCGCATTTATAGTAACTTTTATCCTCAAAATTTTATTCGAAACGCTAAAAGCACTTGGAAGAAAATTAAAATAAATCGAAAAAATATTAAGACTTTAACACCCTGTAGCTACGAAACAAAGCAGAATCGGACCTATGTTGATATGAAAAATAAATCGTATTTTTACGTGAGGAATCTCCCCACGAGAGATGGCACATGTTTTTTTAAACACCCTGTAGATCTGATGCTAACATGGTTAGCGAAACGCGCGTCCAGTAAAAGAATTTTGGTGTATTGTGGTGATTTAGTGTTTTATCTTGCTATATTACTAATCTTATACTTACACCCAGCGCATCCCCCGTTTCGTCCACCGCATCCAGATCTGGCGGAACACATCGCCACTCCACAGAACCTGTTCTATCCTGTTCCGAAATCTCTGGAAAAGCCGGAAAAGCCTTGCACCGAGCGCTGGCCACGACCCGTGCACGACCTTGACAATAAGCTGACTGGTCTCACTATTAAATTCGACAAAACAAACAACTGGGATTAGTTCGATTGACCGATATGTAGTGGAGTCGATGGCGCGATGTGGAAAACAATTATATTTCCTACGAAAGGTAAGTATTGCGCTGAAATTTTCTTCTCATCAACTATTCATGGAGGGACAGAGAGAACCAACGATTATGTCGATGAATAAAGTTTTTTCTACTTCCTTGTATCGAGCATATTATCGGTTTGGGACTTTCTTTAACCATAAAGTGTTTTTTGCAATTTTTTTTCTAGTTATACAGGGTGCTACAAATTCGAGGTACGAGCATTGGTATCTCGGTAACCGTAATAGACACGAACATGGTTAAATCGGGGCAAAGTTGCGCTTTGGGATGTTCACCAAGATGTCGTCAAAAAAGTTTTAAAAATTTCAAGGATTGCTGAGTGTTATGGAAAAATCTGATTTTTTTGAAAATCAATTTTATTTTTTCCTGTCGTTACTTTTTAGAAAATCAAAAAACTAATTGCACATTCTCATAGCCACTTTATTAGGGCTATCTGGTAGTATTTTTAAATTTTCAAATTAGCTCATAATTTTTGAAATACAGAGGCAAACTTAATTTTTTTAAATACGGACCTGCATTTTTTATTTCAGATTTTGAAAGAACTCGGTCTCGTGAGTACAATGATATGCCACATTTAATTTTTTTTTGTTTTGACATTTGAACGCAATTTATTTAAACTAATTTCAAGTCCGGCTCTGTTTTTTTTAAATATTCAATCTATTCATCGTTACAATGTTGATAAGCTTTCAAACTTAACAATGACGTGGGGTAAAACATTGAATACGGAAAATCAAATGCAATAAAATAATTAATATAAATATAAACGATCAAATCATTTTCCCGGAAGATGGAGTGGAAATGGTAGATCAGTATAACGTCCAGCGAGGTTCCTGAACCTATCGCCAAGGAGCTACATTATTTGATGTCGTTTGTAAAAGTGAAATCAATTCATCTCAATTTTTACAATAAAGAGTACAAAATGCATTCGAAAGTATAAGAAGAAAGTTCAAAGAGCCATAAATAAAATTGAGCAAAAATAAATTTGTGCAATAAGGAGGGTGGTAACTGGTAACCCTTTCTAACATGCAGAACATTAGAAACTAGTTTGTTGAAGTTGATTTATTTATAATATATATACAAATCAGTTTATAACGTTCTTCGACGTCTTCTGATTTCCAGTCTCCATTGGTCTCTGTCTGTCTAGAGGTTTTCGTCTATTCCTCTTGTTCTGATGTCCCCGTCTATTCCTTCTCTCCAACTCCGTCTAGGTCTCCCTGCGTTTGCCTTGTGGTGTCCAATTGAGTATTTTTTTCGGGATTCTGTTCTCTTCCATTCTTTGTACGTGCCCGTACCACCTGAGTTGGTTAATTTTGATGTCTTCTGATATTCGGTGTTTAACGCCTATGATGTTCTGAATTCTTTCATTTCTAACTCTATCCAGTTTCGATTTTCCGGCCGCGCGCCTCCAAAAGTCCATTTCTGTAGCTTCGAGTAACTTAAGGTTTCTTTCTTTCAAAGGCCATACTTCACTACCATAACTAATGATACTTTTAACTATGCTGTTATAAATTTTGTGTTTGTTTTCTTTTGATACGGCCTTATCCCATAAAATACTGTTGAGTTGTCTAATTGCTTGTCTTCCCTGGTTGTTTCTGCACTTAATTTCTTCATCAAAGCTACCATCGTTGGTAATGTGCATGTCAAGATATTTATATTTTTGGCAGTGTTTTATTTCTTGCTGTTGCTGTTCTAGGATTATGTTCTGTTGTGTCGCCGCCGATACACATATATTCCGTCTTCTTAAGGTTTACCTCCAGCCCCCACTTGTTATACTCTTCAATTAGTTTGCGGGTCATATTCCAGATCCTCGTAGTCTTGAGCTAGTAAATTAAAAAGCACAAAATTCATCTTTTCCCTACCTATACCATAAATATATTCGGTAATTTTAATGGTATCCCCATCTGTTCACACCTCCTTTTCCACGTTTTCAGAGCTTGTTCCAAATAGATTTTAAACAGTGTGGGCGATAGACAGCAGCCCTGTTTAAGACCTTTGTTTATGCTGAATCCCTTTGATACTGTTTGTCCTTTCTTTATAATAAAAAACACAAGTGTTGTATTTTAATAATATATTTAGGGGCTAAGTAAAAAATATATGTATAATATTCTTACTACATTTACAGGTTCATATTAAATAAAATATTGTAGCCTGAAAATCAAATCTTTCAAAATCTGAAATAAAAAATGCAGGTCCGTATTTAAAAAAATTAAGTTGACCTCTGTATCTCACAAATTATTAGCTAATTTGAAAATCTAAAAATACTGTCAGATAGCCCTAATAAAGTGGCTATGAGAATGTGCAATTAGTTTTTTGATTTTCGAAAAAGTAACGACAGGAAAAAATGAAATTGATTTTCAAAAAAATCAGTTTTTTCCAAAAAACTCAGCAATCCTTAAAATTTTTAAAACCTTTTTGATGGCATCTTTGTGAAAAATCCTATAACTTTTGTATTTAACTTTTTGCGGTACCTCCTATATTTTATCTAATGATCGACCGTTTCCATACATAAAAGCGACCCTGTATAATAACATCACAAATATTTGCGAAACCGAAAACATTTTAAAACACTTTATATACTAAAAAAGTTTATTTTGTATTTCTTCATCTGACAAAAAAAATAATATACAGGATGTTCCATTTAACAAAACGACGAAAAGTTAGTTTATATTTTAGCAATTTCGGCATTGAATTTTGAATACCCTGTATGATTTAAGATAACCATATTTATGATAAAGTAAGTACAGACGAACTATAGCAAGCACCTAGCATAGTTTTAATTTCAGTACATATTTTATATTTTTAATATTTTTTTTTAAAAAGGCTGATTTTTTTTAAACGTTTTGTATTTTATATATTTGGCGGGGTATACTCAGATTTTACCTTATTGAATCACCGAGAAATTGTTAACAGTAATGAGTAACAATACTAATAGTCATACCTGCAAAAAGAAGTTTTATGAATAATTGAAAGTTTGTATCGACCCCTAAAAACACTCACAATTTATTTAGATACGTTTTCAGCTCTATGTCCGGTGCAATAACACAAACTAATATGGTGGTACTTTGGCAAATAACATAGAAATACGTTATTTTCCTTATCAATTTGATGGGGAAAGCCTTGCGGTATGCCAAGTCGATTTTGAATTTATGACCTTAAGCCTTATCTCGACCATATAAATGTTTTTCTAGGAATAATATCTAAACTAATAGGTAGGACTAACTCGTTTTTTTAGGTACATCTATATTGAATCAGTAGAAAAACAACTAGATAACAACAAGTATAATTTTAAATAGCGTGTACCAGCGACTTCGTTCGCGTCGAATTAATCATTTGTAATGGTGATGATAAAGCAAAGCAAGAATTGCCATTAACATACAAACTGGATAAAATTTTCTCGCATTTATGTCAGCATAAGAAAAAACAATATGGCGATATTATTATATAACTTGGTAATATTTGAGGGGTAGTTTCATCTCGCTGGAATTTGACTTTCGAAAAATCCGTTTGCCAAAAATAAGCTTTTTACGTCAAGCAGTTTAAGCAGAATCGTGGTTTAGAAATTACCCAACAAAATATGTAAAAAAAAAACAAATAAATTATGCTTGTCCAAGCGTTTTCCCGAAAGACTAACCATTTTTTAAATAACAAATATTGTAATATTTGAGGGGCGTTTTTACCCTCTTGGAATTTGAGATTCGAGAAACCCCTCCTTATCGAACCTCTACACCCCACAGTCAATCCGTTTGCCAAAAATCAGCTTTAAACGTCAAGCAGTTTAAGCAGAATCGTGATTACTCGATGGTCATATTATATGAAACACCCTGTATAAATTTATAAAAAATCTTAAAATATGTAAAACAGCAAAATAAAATATACGTGTTTAAGAGTTTTTCCGAAAAGCTCACCGGTTTTTAAGTAAAAAATATTTTAATATTTGAGGGATAGTTTCACCCCTTAAAACTCGAGTTTCGAAAAATCCCTTCTTATCGAACCTCTACACCCTAAAGTCAATCTGTTTTCCAAAAATCAGCTTTTTACGTCAAGCGCTTTAAGCAGGATCGTGATTAATCAATGACCAGATTTTTCGAAACACCCTGTATACATTTTTAAAAAATCTTAAAATATGCAAAAAAACAAAATAAAATATACGTGTTTAAGCGTTTTTTCGGAAACTTGACCGTATTTTAAATAAAAAATATTGAAATATTTGAGGGGTGGTTTCATCCTCTTGGAACTGGAATTTCGAAAAATCCCTTCTTATCGAACCTCTACACCCTAGAATCAACCTGTATGCCAAAATTGAGCTTCTTACGTTGAGTGTTTTGAGCAGGATCGTGATTAATCAGTATGTCAGTCACTTAAGGATTTTATATATTAGTATAGATTATACAGATTGTCTCTGTTATTGAACATTTTAAATTTTTTGGACTTTTCCAGGATAATTTAAAAAACAACCTTTTTAGTGCTTCAGGTTTATTCCTCTAAAACCACCAAATCTGCAGAAGGACGTATTTTACCTAGACACAGATACACCTCTGCGATTCCCATGATGAAAATTCGAGAGTTACAGCTTGAACTGCTAGGTTATCCTCCGTATTCGCCAGATTCAGCTCTAAGCCACATCTTTTTAAACCGAATTTCAACGGCAAAAACTCAGAAATTATCAATATAATATAGTTCACACCGCCATGTTGATCGCATTAAAATAATATTGAAATCCTGGTTTTGTCACAATATTTAAGTATTTTAGTTTTTTACTAGTGCAGTTATTGAGACTATAATAAACTGAAGTACGAGGTTTGTGTGATGTAACGCTGTTTCAGGTGGTAAAAAATAAGTGAACAAGAATTCGAACTAGGCGTCGTTGTGTTTTGACAATTTCAAATGTTAATGAAATTGCCCCAAAAAATATTAACGCGTAAAGGAGAGCGTAATTAAGGCGTTGTTAGGTGCAATATCATTCAATAACTCAACTTTCCAGGATATTCAACTCTCCTGAAACAACATTTTATAGCTTCATAGTTTCTCACACCGATTTGATCAATAGCAAAAATGGATTCAAGCAGTTCGATGAAACAAGCGAGTAAACAAAGTTTAATAAAATTTTAACAAAGTTTAATAAATTTAAACAAAGTTACATAGTCAAAAATTAAATAGACATACTATGAGAGGATAAATATAATTTGCAATATTAATGGTATACATTTTTTAATCAACTAGTGATTAAATGTTTTATGAACATCTTCTAAAATTATAATTATATACCTTTAAAAATTTCGTTATAGCCAAAATAGCTCCAATAGCAAAACCGGTGATTGAAAGAGAGAAACAAGCCTTATAACATAGGATACAACATTTTAATGAACAGTGCTTTCCATAAAATCAATAAAATGAAAAATATACGAATTAATATATACATGTACTGATTTCTTTTGAAAATCGACAACTATGAATCTGTGATCCCTTCCCGGACACAAACGGTACATTGTGAGTCAGGAAATTGTAGAGAGAAACAAGCCCTATAACATAGGATACAACATTTTAATGAACAGTGCTTCCCATAAAATCAATAAAATGAAAAATATACGAAATAATATACACGTACTGATTTCTTTTGAAAATCGACAACTATGAATCTGTGATCCCTTCCCGGACACAAACGGTACATTGTGAGTCAGGAAATTGTAGAGAGAAACATCCCTATAATATACGATACAACATTTTAATGAACAGTGCTTTCCATAAAATCAATAAAATGAAAAATATACATGTACTGATTTGACATGTACACAAACGGTACATTGTGAGATAGGAAATTGTAGAGAGAAACAAGCCCTATAACATAGAATACAACATTTTAATGAACAGTGCTTTCCATAAAATCAATAAAATGAAAAATATACGAAATAATATACATGTACTGATTTCTTTTCAAAATCGACAACTATGAATCTGTGATCCCTTCCCGGACACAAACGGTACATTGTGAGTCAGGAAATTGTAGAGAGAAACAAGCCCTATAACATAGGATACAACATTTTAATGAACAGTGCTTTCAATGAAATCAAAAAAATGAAAAATATTCGAAATTATATATACATGTACTGATTTCTTTTGAAAATCGACAACTATGAATCTGTGATCCCTTCCCGGACACAAACGGTACATTGTGAGTCAGGAAATTGTAGAGAGAAACAAGCCCTATAATATAGGATACAACATTTTAATGAACAGTGCTTTCCATAACATGTTGTTTTTAGATGAGGTGAACTCATCTAAAAAGTTTTTTTAACTGAAATAATAAATTATAATACAAGTTAGATCTTCTGAGATATTAAAATATTTACTTTTTTATTTTTATTTTTAGAATTTCCACAAATTATACTTCTTCGTATACTCGCTACTTAAACCCGTGTATTTGTATATGCTAGTTGTTTACGATGTTCTCCGATGGTGGCAGCACCAGCGGAGAATGCACCAAGCCTATAGGGCTAAAAAAATAACATTTTAAGCTAATATTTTGAATGATTCTATTAAATTAGTTGATTGTCAAATTAATAAACATGATTTTTCTATTAAGGAACAATTTTTGTCAGTATCTGAACGTTTTAAAAATTCTCATATTTTTATTTTTACAGATGCATCTAAAAAAGATAAAAGAACAGGATTTGGAATATATATTCCATATATAAATTTTAAATTTTCTTCGCGACTACCTGATTCTTTAAGTATTTGTAAGGCAGAAACCATAGCTATTCATGATGCAGTAAAGTTTGCTATTAAAAAGAACTTGCGTAGTGTTATTATCTTTTCAGATTCCAAAAGTTCAATTCAAAAAATTAGTAAAAATCTCTTTAAAGCATCTGCTGATTATTGGACCTTAAGAACCAAACGTTTAATTTGTTTAGCAAATTCTAATGGTTTTGACATCAGGATTGCCTGGATTCCAGGTCATTCCAATATCTTGGGAAATACAGAGGCAGATTTGTTGGCTAATATTGGAAAAGATTTAAATATTCCGAAATCTATGGAGATGGATTCGATAGATATTTTTAATTCAATTAAAACTGATATTTTGTGTAATTATAAAGAAAATTGGAAATCTCGTATGGAAGGAAAAAAGCATGTGTATTTTAATATACAAACAATCTTCCCAGATAAACAATGGTCTAAAAATTTCCAGTATATAGATAGAAGACATATTACAACGTTAATTAGCATGCGTACAGGCCATTGCTTAACAAAAACCATTTATATAAAATTAAAGTGAAGGAAGATCCATTCTGTGAGTGTGGCTCTGTTGAAGACCTAAATCATATCTTTTTAGAATGTCCTATAAATTTTTTGTTTAATTTGGATTTATATCAAAAATTTATTGAAATGAATTTTCCTACTCCACTATCAATATTTACAGTTTTGTCTAAGCCAAGTGAAAAATTAATAGAAACTATTATGATATTTTTAAACACTAATAGAATTAAATTATAATGCTCAACTTTCTATTTTTTATTTTCTTTTTGTTTCAGTTTCCGAATGCAGTCTGTTTGTGTGACCTCTATCCTATGTGCCTTTGTGTGTGATATAATCTTCCTTTCAGCACGTCATTTATATATTTAATAAATAATAATAATAACATCTTACAGTCACAGGTCACAGGTTACCTTCATAGAAGTTAGTTATATTCAAATTTACCCATTATACATTTTACTCAGATAAGAATCAGTGGCCTTGATATGGTTTAGAGCCAGTCAACATCTTGGTCACTCCCAAATTGAGCTGGCGGTTGCCTTGTAGCAGAGCCATCATAAAAAAAAAGAAGAAGAAAAAAGAACATTTTAAGCTTGACCAAAAATTGTTTCGTTGGTTTTTTTTGCATGTAAATCCACAGTTACCAGATATAAAAATAAAAGAATCATTGTCTATTATAACTCAATAAATTTTTATACTTTCTTAAATATAAAAAACATGCACTTTTTGAACTATTTATTCCCTTTACTGTCGATATCCTTCAGTTCCTGTTCCAATTTCTCCTTCTGCTTTTCCAACTCTTCCCTGATTTTCTGTTTTTTCTCGTGGGATATTCGTTGCCTAAGTTTGTTTATTTGTTCCTGCGTAATTCTTCTTATATACTCGGACTCGAAAGCCAGGCCTCTTTTTTTAAACGAATCTTCGTCGCCGTTGAGTTTATAAGCATTTTCTACACTGTATATCGGTACATTTGTATATCTGTAGCTTGGTTCGTTGCTTAATATCTTCGAACATCTCCAAATACCGGAACAAGATTTTATGTTTGTAGATTTTGACATTCTTCTGTCTTCGGATTTTTGGCAATTTAATTGACAACGTCAGTCACATGTCAGTCATTAGAAAATATTATATACGCATACAGGGTGTTTTAAAAAGCATGTGTCGTCTCTCGTGGGGAGATTCCTCACGTGATTATTAAGATTTATTTTTTATATCAACGAATGGATCTAGACAATTTTGCTAACAAGAGAACAAAGTCATACACGCACTTTTTGTTTTAGAAAAATATAATTTTAACATTAAAATATGTCGCACATACGGGTGCGTCTCAAAAGTGGTTGTAGTAGTAACTTTTTTATTTTTTCAGATAAAAAAAACGAGATTTAGTATATGATATAAATTAGGATTGATTGGCGTATTCAATTGTTTTCGGTCACTTCCTGTTTCGCCGGAAATGACTACAACTTTTGATTTTTAAATGGCACCCTCGGTATTTTTTTTTACTTTATTTGATAGAATATGACACTCTGAATACAATGACATATTATATGTCAACTTTTGACATTTCTGCATATGGTTTATTTGAAATTGTAACATGCGGTTCATAAGGACAATTTGACTCAAAATACCAAGGTTGTAGTAACAAATTATTCGTAAAAAATGAGTTTTCTAAATATTCTAATGAGCCATTCTCGATTTGGGCATTTTTTAACTGCTTAGGACAAGACACTAAAAAAATTAGATGATCAAATCTATTTTTTCAAAGTTCCTTGATTAAAAGTTAATGTTTTTAACGCAGCCATACGATTTTTTTAAGCGAAAATGTCAAAAGTTGACATATGATATGTCATTCTATTGAAAGTGTCATTTTCTATCGAATAAAGTAAAAAAATACCGAGGGTGCCATTTAAAAATCAAAAGTTGTAGTCATTTCCGGTGAAAGAGGAAGTGACCGAAAACAATTGAATACGTCAATCAATCCTAATTTATGTCATATACTAACATACCAAATCTCGTTTTTTTATCTGACAAATTAAAAAAAAGTTATAGAGGTGAACCACTTTTGAGACGCACCCGGTATAGTAACTTTTACCCTAAAAATTTCATTCGAATCGCTAAAAGCACTTGGAGTAAAATTATTTGGACTGAAAATTTCACATGAGACATTTACAAAAATTGAAAAACTTAGAGAAACACTAAAATGTCGAGAAAAAATATAACAAAAAATAATAGAACGAAAAAAGAAAAAAACTAGAAAATTAGATAATTTTGATACAGATTATACGAAAATAAAACTCATATTTTTATTACAATTTTATTTAACAAATAACATTATTTAAAATACGTTTACATTTTTACATAATAAATAAATAAAACAACACAGTAAAATCACAATATTAAAATGAGGTTCTAAGTAATCATATAAAGAGAATTAAAAATATAAAATAAAAATAAAACATAAATAAAGCTTTAAGGCACTATCATAAGACTTTTAGATTTTTTACCTCATTAATTGGAAGTAATTTTTTTACATAAATATATTGGAAAAATGTATAACAAAGTATAAAACAGAAGTAATATTTTATTTTTTCCATAGCAACTTATGTCTATCAAAAATAGTAGATAAAATAGTATTTTAACCTCAAGGGTAGATTAAATGATACTTTAACAGCGAGGATAGGTTAAAAACTTTATTTCTTCTCGCACGTTTTTTAATTGCTTCCATTTTTGAAAATGTTTGTATTCCTTTTCATAAGTTATTCGGGATTTAAATGGAAGTAGTTTGGATATGGCGTTTGTCGCTTCAGCCTGAATATCGTTTTGAGCCATTTCTGGCTCCAATTCAATCGGCAATCGACACGAAAGAGGATTAAAAATTATTGACTCAAAACTGACAACTAAAGAGACAGCTTTATTTATTTGTCAAATTACATAGAAACCAACGCCAATCCAGCACAATATTTTTTCTACTCGTAATAAATTCCTTGAAATAATAATTTCTGAATATTTTTTAAAACGTAACTCGTTATGGAAAAAAATATTGTTTTATACACGAAGATAAAATGGTATTTTATCGTCTTGTATAAAAAATAACTATTAATTGACGGTTTTAAGTTGAAATTTGTTTTGATGTTTGTATTTTAACTTTTGTTATAAAAATGGTTTTTCATTTCCAAGATTTTTTGGAGTGAAACTTCTTTACGCGCGCTGGGAGTAAAAATTAAAGGCCGTGACACGACACGCGACACAACAGGCGACAGGAAAAGTGGTAACGACAGTCTACGGCTTAGAAAAAATCGTCCGATTTAAATGATATTTGCTTTGTCGATAGATTGGACCAAGACCAACTTGACCGTGTACGACACATGTCACTGTGACAGTTAGTTTTGACGTAAGAAACGTCAAAAGTTGATGTCGTCCGATCGCGACCAAATTTGGTGGGTAGGCTATATGACCGACGGTGTACACCACAAGTGTACACTGTCCCACCCTGCAAAGTTGGATTCGACGTTTCGTTTACATCTTCATCAGGGCGGGAGTAAGGATTTGATATTGAGAAAAATGTGGGTCGATTTCGGCATAATTGGGGACGGGCTACAGGATGACGCCCTCGACGTTTCGAACTGATGCCTCTAAATGGATGGAATCATCAGGATTGTTCTTAATTATCGGTCGATTGGAACCAAACTCGGCACGTGGATAGAGGTACCCGAATGGAGTTCTCAGAATTATTTATTAATTTTTAATTTATTACTTTTTCAACGTTTCAAACTACACTTTTTCAAACATATCCTTCAAATCCTTCAATTTAATAACGGTCAATAAGAAGTTTCACTTCAAATGGGCGCACATAGTGCACACACATTTTTTTTTATTTTATCATAACTACTGTAACTATGATACACACATTATGCTTTAGTATGTTATACCGGGTATTGCATCGTCGTTGGGAACATAGGAAATCCCATGCAAAATTTAAACTGTCCAGATATTAGCTCCCCTATGGATTGATGGAAGATATGGAGCCAAAATCTGGACAGTTCAAATTTTGCATGGGATTTCCTATGTTCCCAACTACGATGCAACACCCGGTATACATTCAATACTTATTGTACTTTATTTTTAGTATTTTTTCTTAAAGCTTTATATTAAAAACGTTTTTACATTATTAGTTAAATTAAAAACACATAATGATACATCCTGTATACCTCTCTTCTAAATTCAATTAGTTACAATGGAAGACCCGTCAATATTGCCTACCTACATAGAATTCACTGAGTATTACAAACAAAAAGATCAGAGAAATAACTAGACATAGAGTACCTCTAAAATATTTGTCAAAACAACCTTCACGTTTTATGTTCCCCTATAACTTTTTTATTTTTTCAGATAAAAAAACGAGATTTGGTATGGTAGTATATGACATAAATTAGGATTGATTGACATATTCAATTGTTTTTGGTCACTTCCTGTTTCACCGGAAATTACTACATATTTTGATTTTTAAATAGCACCCTTGATATCATATGTCAACTTTTGACATTCTTGCTTAATAAAAAATTGTATTTTATATATTATAATTCAATCTAGAGCGCCATGGCTATGTTAAAAACACTAATTCTTAATCAAGGAGCCTTGGAAAAATAGATTTGATCGTCTAATGTTTTTAGTGTCTTGTCCTGACCAGTTAGAAAATGCTCAAATCGTATTTTTAATCATATTTCAATTTTTTCAAATGGAACGAGGGTGGCTCATTAGCATATTTGGAAAAATCATTTTTTTACGAATAATTTGATACCACACACTTGGTATTTCGAGTCAAATTTTCGTTACGAACTACAAGTTAAAATTTCAAATAAATCATATATGCGAAAATGTCAAAAGTTGACATATGATATGTCATTCTATTCAGAGTGTTATTTTCTATCGAATAAAGTAAAAAAATACCGAGGGTGCCATTTAAAAATCAAAAGTTGTAGTCATTTCCAATAAAACAGGAAGTGACCGAAAACAATTGAATACGCCAATCAATCCTAATTTATGTCATATACTAACATACCAAATCTCGTTTTTTTGAGTGTAAAAATAAAATAGTTATAGGGGTAAGTCACTTTTGAGACGCACCCGGTAATATAATAATATTTAATTGACTATTTGACTCCATACTCCATTGTTATTTAAATACCGGAACCCCTCTATATTTACTTATTTCTCTGAGCCAACCTCTTGTGTTATTGTTTTCTTCGGGAGAATTGACTTAAATAATCTATGACGGCCCTATGTCTGTTGTGCTCGGCCACTTGCCTGGCCGTGGCGCCATCTTGGTTTTTGAGGTTAGGATTCGAGCCTGCGCAAATGAGTTGCTTGCATACGGATAGGTTGCCCGAGAATGCGGCTGCGTGAAGAGCGCTTTCGCCATTCTACAAAATAAAAGGGTTTAGTTGTAGTCCACGGAGTATTGGGACACCCTGTGTTAATGTATGTTATATATAAGTTATGATGTATTAAAATTAAGAAAAAAACTCAGTACAGTGCCACTAAGAGCTATAGCCTTATAATTATCTCCTGATATGCTTATTTATTTAAACCCTGTATTAACCTAATTATATTAGGTGTTAATATAATAATATACAATTTTTTACTTACTTGTAATAATCCTAAACAAGGTCTATACTTCAATAATTCTGATATGACAGCTGAGTGTCCTTTGTGGGCAGCTTTGAACAAAGCTGTTGCACCATCCTGTATAAATAATAATGTATATACAGGGTGGGTCTTAAATAAGGGCAAATATTTCTAGGGGTGGTATATTTCGACCACAGAAACACATGAGTTTTTTTTCGGCAAAAAAAATTTTTGATGTTTTTTAATTTTAAGTTAAAGAACATAATATCTTGATAATATGGCAACATAGGTAGTAGATTAAATTTACAAGAAAGATAATCCAAAAAAGATCCAGTGGTTCTTAAAATTTAATAAAAAAAAACATTTTTTCTTTAAATTTTCATGGTAAAATAACGTGGTTATTTTGGAGTTATTTGAAAAACGGTAAAGAGAAAATATTTATCGAGATCTACCAGCCCTCAAAATATTTGCACTTATTTAAGACTCACCCTGTATAATAATCATTATTAAGGATTTTATTAGAGTAATATATATAATTTAAAAATATTTTTTGTTGTAATATGCAGAAAAACCAAAGATGTTAAAAAACTATTAAGGTACTTAAAAAATATTATGTTATAAATAGTTATATACTTTACATTAATTTTAATAGAGCAGGAACTCCAAAAATGTTTTATTAATATACAGAATGAACGCATCAAATGACTTAAAAAAGTCTTACATTTTTGGGACTATCTACAAAAGCTCCTGCTTTCAACAGCAAAGCTACCAAATGATCGTGTCCCATTTGGGCAGCTATCCATAATGGAGTGACCCCATCACTTCTCCTAGGGTCTGGATCAGCTCCATGAGCTAATAAGTAGACTACAATTTTGTAATGTCCATTCTGACTGGCTATAAACAATGGCGTAGCCTTGTCCTACATAAAAAGAGAGAATTATTAGCATTTATGAATATACAGTATGTCCTCGAATTAAATTTACAAGAGGAAAAGCTATTTTATTATCAACATTTTAACAAAAATACATGCTTTATAAAATTTTCATTCAATTTTAGAGAAAAATAAAATTTGGTTGAATTTTTTTCGAAAAATTAAAACGCGTTTCTATGGTAATACAATATAATCGAAAAAAACGGCGTCAGCGATGACTCTGTCTGATTAAAGCACTTTTGAATAGCGGTAAATTGTGTTAAATTAACTTTTTCTGAGCCCAAAAATATGTGCTGTATATAGTTGCTTTTTCACCTTTTTTATAATTGACTGAAAGCATACATACTTTCATTTTGGCGTTGATATTGGCACCTCTGTTGACTAATTCCTTAACTACATCCATGTGGCCACATTGGCATGCCACGAACAGTGGACTACCCCCATCCTAAAAAATAATATACAGGATGTACACAATAAGTAGGGGACACTTGAGCCAGACAGCAGTCTTTTTTGCTCTTTTTACTGCCTGCTTTTCATACTTTTTGACGTCTGTTTTACTGTTTTGGCTCTCTATTTATAGAGATATAAAAGCTGACAGCATAAAGCAGCAAAACAGATATAGTCTATAAAATGAATAACTTTGAATTTTGACCGTTACTTTTTACCAACATGGCAAATATAAAATCCCTCTGTCAAAAAAGTTACTGATATTCTTTAAATTGAATGCCTAAACAAATCAGATAGGTAACTCTTTTTACTTTCGTGAAATAGAAAAGGAAAATAATAAAACAAGTGACAGTTCTTCCTCTTCTTGCAAAAATCAACACGAAATGTCATAATTGACAAAAGTAAAATGTCATCAGCTTTTGACGTTTCTAAATATTAGACCAATGCCGTCTCTAATAGAACAGCCACGGAGCAATATACAAATATACAAAATGAATAGGTGGTACATAAGATAATGGGTAAAATGTAAAGTATATTTTAAAATTTGGGGTTTGAAAATCGATCTAATTTAACAAAAAACATTCAATATCTACTAATAGTGATGTATTATTATTTGCATTCACAAAATTTATTTATATATTATAATGTTTACTGCAATTAATAAACTAATATAAACTTGTCAAAAGATGACCAAATATTTTTTAAATTATTATTCTTAACACAAAACTATCTACATTGACTATGGAGTACGATTTCAGCCATTCATTATTAACTGTATATTATGTATATTTCATGTAAACTATATAATTTTTAAAATACAAACCAAAAATATGAGGAATAATTATGTTTTCCATGTATTCTACAACATATTTATTAATCCGTAGTATCTAACTAGCGTGACATCATAAATCTCGCCCGAGGCTGTTCTATTAGAGACGGCACTGCGTCAGCATAGCCGGAAGTTGCTAACTTAATAAAATTAACATTAGAAAAGCCCGCGGAAACTGTCAAATTCAAAGTTATTCGTTTTACAGACTATAGCAAAAATAGAAAATGAAACAGTAAAAACAGACGTAATATATTTTTAGTGTATGCATTGTTTATTTTAACAAAAATCTAAAATATGATTTTAGAGAAGACCATAGAACACAAAACACCGGTTCCCGTAGATCATCAAAGTTAAACGACGTCAAACGATTCGAGTGGATGGACTGGTGAACGTCTGGAAACTCTGTCGTGCTGTTGTTCCATGGCAAAAGTGTAAAATCTATTGGCACAGTGCTCATTCACGCGGGTTCGGGTATTTTAGACACTTATTGCCAAGTCGGTAGGCCATTGACAATGACATGGCCGAGTACCGCGGTTCGAATTCCGTGTAAACAAAGTAGGCCCTGTCCAGATTAGTCTTTGCAGCAAAAAAGGAGACGTTAAACGCTATTTTTTACTGAGAAAAAAATCGTATTTATTATCAGTCCCTCGTAAAAGTTCTTTTATGATGGGGAAGTAAGAAAAATAGAAGTATCTTAAGTTTTTGCAGGCAAACTATAGCTAAACACGAAGCAAAAAGCATTTCCTGTACATCCTTTTTATTGTTAAGCATTCGCGTGTACCAAAGGACTTTCACACGCTCATTTTCAGACTGATGAGCGCTTCATTTAATCACAGTTTTCATTATTTATGGTTATTCTCATCCATAAAATACCTGTTTATGATGGATTTAAATATAATGCAGTTTTAAAAGGATTGTTCTATAAAAGGAAATGAGTTTTAAATCTAATTAATCAACGTTAGAAGTAAACTGCTATGGATATTGCTTCATGAATTTTAATTTATTTTTTTTTAATTGTTTATGGAATAAATAACATTTTTTCCATAACAACTGTTAAAATTGCCTTATATCTATCAAAAATACTAGATAAAATAGTACTTTAACCGCAAGGGTCGATTAAATGATACTTTAACAGCGAGGATAGGTTTAAAAACTTTATTTCTTCTCGCACGTTTTTTAATTGCTTCCATTTTTGAAAAATTTTGTACTCCTTTTCAAAAATTATTCGGGATTTTAATGGAAGTAGTTTGGATATGGCGTTTGTCGCCTGAGCCTGAATATCTGTTGGTATGTAGTTTACTTATTTCGTTTTGAGCCATTTCGGGTTCCAATTCAATCAGCAATCGACACGAAAGAGAATTAAAAAATATTGACTCAAAACTGCCAACTAAAGAGACAGCTTTATTTATTTGTCAAATTACATAGAAACCAACGCCAACCCAGCATAATATTTTTTCTACTCGAAATAAATTCCTTGAAATAATAATTTCTGAATATTTTTTAAAACGCAACTGGCTATGGAAAAAAATATTGTTTTATACACGACGATAAAATTGTATTATCGTCTCCCGAAATTAATTCTTTTTGGTCGACGATAAAATGCCATTTTACATTTGATCGTCTCACATAAAAATGCATTTCTAATATTTGTTTTTGTTTTCATGTTACTGAAACGATATACAGGATGATCCCTTTTATGGCAACAATACTTTGTTCAATATACTCCTCTTTGAAGACTGACTGTAGGCATGTAGATAATCATGTTGACTTGACCATTTTTAGTTAAATCAACATCATGTTATGAGGTCGGTCTTCCCCTAGGAGATGCAAGACCTTGTCGTTGGTGGGGAAGCTCCTGGTCAGGTGCTGGGGGGAATCCCCTCTAGCACTTGGCTTGGTCTAAGAAGCATCTCACTCATCGTCTTGTCCCTGACTGTAGAGTCGTGGCCAGGGAATTGCACCAAGACATATAACGATAGCGGGCGGGGCTACGGACAGCCTCAACCTTGGGGCACCCCATTGTATTTTACCCCTTACTTCTACATGCGGGGCTCTGTAGAAGTGGACCGACTGTCCCTAGCGACTCATAGGAACACTATGAGATCTGGTAATAATAGTAATAAAAACATCACCGGGTGAAGCTCTGGGAAACCCCCTAGCACACTGGGAACAGTAACAATGAAAGTTCCAAGGGGCCAAACCCAAAGAGAACTACAGGAGAGGTGGCTGACACTTGGGTGAGACCATCCTCCGCAAGTGGCATACAAGCTACCACCTCCTCCAAGGGTCGGGAGCCTACCTTCTACCTCTAAACCCAACAGGCGACACAAGCTACCGTTTCGTCTACCCGGCTTGGGTCGTAGCTCCTCGACTGTGAGGGACACGGGTCTCCGTAGGAAGTCCTAGGACTGTATAATGAGTTATAACTCAAGAAAGGGGGACACAATAGATCTCTAAGGTCGCAGAGATTAACCCCCCTCCCACTTATTCTAATTCTAATTCTATGAGGTCGGTGGCTGTTAAATGTCGCGTACAGTATGACTGTTACGAGGGGCATTTAGAAAATATTACTTACTTGACTAGTGGTGTCTACATGAGCTCCATTTTCTAGTAGGAATTGAACTATATCCAGATATCCTCCTTGGGCAGCAAAAAATAAGGGTGTTGTTCCCGTCTAAATAATAAAAAAAGAAAAAAATATATAAATTTCTGTATAATATACCGGGTGCGTCTCAAAAGTGGCTCACCCTTATAACTTTTTTATTTTTTCAGATTAAAAAACGAGATTTGGTACGTTAGTATATGACATAAATCAGGATCGGTTGACGTATTTAACTGTTTTTGGTCACTTCCTGTTTCACCGGAAATGACTACAACTCTTGATTTTTAAATGACACCCTCGGTATTTTTTACTTTATTCGATAGAAAATAGAGATATGATTAAAAATACAATTTAGACATCTTTTAACCGGTCAGGACAAGACACGAAAAACATTAAACGATCAAATCTATTTTTCCAAGGCTCCTTGATCAAAAATTAGTGTTTTTAACACAGCCATGGCTCTCTAGATTGCAACTTAAAATACGATTTTTCAAACGAAAATGTCAAAAGTTTACATATGATATGACATTCTATTCAGAGTGTCATTTTCTATGAAATAAAGTAAAAATATACCGAGGGTACCATGTAAAAATCAAAAGTTGTAGTGAAACAGCAAGTGACCGAAAACAATTGAATACGTCAATCATTCCTAATTTATGTCATATACCAACATACCAAATCTCGTTTTTTTAAGTGACAAAATAAAAAATTTATAGGGGTGAGACACTTTTGAGACGCACCCGGTATACTCTGTGATCAAATAAAAATAATGTAACACAGTCAAAAATTATAGAGCTTATAGTCAACCATAAAGAAAATATTAAAAAAATGCCCAAATTAGTGACATAATAATTAACATAAATATATTCAAATAAATTTGAATTAAATAAAAAATCATTAGGTATCTTATTAAAAAAATTGAAAAATTTACAAAAGTTTTAAGGCCTTTGTTCTCATCTTTCAGTTTCACTAAATCAATCACTGCTTCAGTGAGTCTTAGAGAAAATTATTTTCATTTCAAAATTTCTATTTAATTCTAATAATTATACCTACAATTCTTTTGATGTTTGGATCAGCACCTTGATCTAACAGTTCCCTAATACAATCAAAATGCCCATTAGCAGCTGCTAGTATCAAAGGAGTGGTACCATCCTAATTATACAAGAAAAAAATAAAGAAAAATTGAATTGGTAAATATTTTGGTCTTTTTTACTTTGTCTCTGGAATCTACATGGACCTTTCCACTATCCAAGATCCTGGTAAGTAGAGGTAGGTTTCCGTTAAGAGCTGCTAGATGGAGCTGAGCATCTGATAGAGATTCTTTCTGAAAAAAGGAAATTATAAATAACTATATAGCGTGTACCAGCGACTTCGTTCGCGTTCAATTAATCATTTATAATGGTGATGACAAAGCAAAGCAAGAATTTCCATTAACATACAAACTGGATAAAACTTTCTTACATTTATGTCAGCATGAGAAAAAACAATATGGCGATATTATTATATAACTTGGTAATATTTGAGGGGTAGTTTCATGTCGTTGGAATTTGACTTTCGAAAAATCCGTTTACCAGAAATAAGCTTTTTACGTCAAGCAGTTTAAGCAGAATCGTGGTTAAGAAATCTTTTTGGAACACCCTGTATGATTTTTTAAAAATTTTCAAAATATGTAAAAAACCAAATAAATTATGCTTGTCCAAGCGTTTTCCCGAAAGACTAACCATTTCTTAAATAACAAATATTGTAATATTTGAGGGGCGTTTTCGCCCTCTTGGAATTTGATATTCGAAAAACTCCTCCTTATCGAACCTCTACACCCCACAGTCAATCCGTTTGCCAAAAATCAGCTTTAAACGTCAAGCAGTTTAAGCAGAATCGTGATTACTCAATGGTCATATTTTATGAAACACCCTGTATAAATTTATAAAAAATCTTAAAATATGTAAAACATCAAAATAAAATACACGTGTTTAAGAGTTTTTCCGAAAAACTCACCGGTTTTTAAATAAAAAATATTTTAATATTTGAGGGATAGTTTCACCCCCTTAGAATTCGAATTTCGAAAAATCCCTTCTTATCGAACCTTTACACCCTAAAGTCAATCTGTTTTCCAAAAATCAGCTTTTTACTTCAAGCGCTTTAAGCAGGATCGTGATTAATCAATGACCAGATTTTTCGAAACATCCTGTATACATTTTTAAAAAATCTAAAAATATGTAAAGAACCAAAATAAAATATACGTGTTTAAGCGTTTTTTCGGAAACTTGACCGTTTTTGAAATAAAAAATATTGTAATATTTGAGGGGTGGTTTCACCCTCTTGGAACTGGAATTTCGAAAAATCCCTTCTTATCGAACCTCTACACCCTAGAACCAACCTGTATGCCAAAATTGAGCTTCTTACGTTGAGTGGTTTGAGCAGGATCGTGACTAATCAGTATGTTAGTCACTTTTAGCAGGATTTTATATATTAGTATATAGATTAATATGTTTTATTATATTTATGAAATGTATATTCTAAAGTAATAATAGGAGATCAGTAATGTTTGCGTTATACTGGGTGTCCCATTAGTGCGAGGAAGTCCAATATTGTCGTAGATACGAAAAAAAGTGTCAAATAAATACACAGATAATATAGGTAATATGTTATCATCAATAACAAAAAAAAATCATTTTAAAATAAATTTATAAATAATTAGTAGTAGTAAAAAAATAAATCACTCTGTATATAAAGGCAATTTTGGGTCACAATCTGCTGATGGAAAATAAGATTTGTACAAAATTAAATATGAAAGCAAGTTAATTATTTATTAGTTGCTAATAACGCTGCTTTTTCTCTATACTGGTGGTCGTAAAAATGAAGACGTCCGGTATATAAAAGTCGTATTTTCTCTTTCTGTGTTTATTTTAGACACGATTTTAGACATTCTTTTTAACGGTCAAGTGGTTTCGTTATGCTCTAATTGCTTGCTTAAAGTCGAAAGATCTTTCAAAGATACGTTTTTATCTCATTTTGTTGTGTTTATTTTTTCTAGTAATTGTCGTTTTTAACTGCTGAAAACGAGGTTTTCAGAATAACGGCACTCTTTTCAGGTTTTTGCCGTTGTTATTTCGGGAAACCGTAATTTAGTTCGATTATTTTTAAAATTGGAAAACAAAAAGTTTTAAAAAGAATAATACTTGTGCTTAACTTGGTGTTTGTAATGCTGAAGCTCAACATTTTAATGTATTTTTAACTGTTTCTTTGTGCATACAGGGTGACAATTTGAAAGAGCATTTGAATCTGCTTCGGTTTGTTTTAAAAAATACAGGGTGTTGCATTTGAAATAACGAAGTTTTTATATAAAATAAATCCTTAAAATAGATCAGCAATTTTTGATACCCCTGTATAAAATTAAGGAAGCAAAAAGTTTATTTCTCTACCTTTAAATTCAGCACAAGAATTAATTCTTAAAAGTAATGTACAGGGTGTTAATAATCTATTCTACAGTAGCGTGCAAATTTAAATATCTTTAAATATCTCAAAAACCAAAGACTTTAAACATATTTAACCCTTATAATAAATGCCTTTTTTGGGCCGAGGAATCCAAAAATGAAATAAAACACCGGGTGTTCCATAAGAAAAAATATAACTTTGGTATGGATCTTAGTTCTGAAACACCCTGTATATTTCAAAATAATTTTAAATTGTGCACATTGCCTCCCCACATATACCCATTTAGAATTTAGAATTTAGAATGAGTGGGAGGGGGGTTAATCACTTCGACCTTACAGATCCATTGTGTCCCCCTTTCTTGAATCATAACTCATCATACAGTCCCAGGGCTTTGACAAAAGCCAGTATCTGGGACGGTTTTATAGAGGGTAGTTCTCCATCTCCAATATCAGTCGTACCAAAATTCATGGCACGAATGGTTGTCGTCTCGGCGCACTCAGTGATGAGGTGTACTGGTGTTTCACCATCTTCCCCACAGAATCTGCATTCGCCGTTTCTTCTTAGTTTCAATCTACTGAGGTGTTCATTGAGGAGACAGTGTCCTGTTAAAAACCCCGTGACAATCCGAAGATTGTTCTTACTCAGACCCAGGAAGATCTGTGATTTTTCTTGATCATAAGCCCTCAGAAACTTCTTCGAGTGTCCTAGACCATTGCAAGATTTCCATTCCAGGTTGCGGATGGAATCTTCCAAGTTCTTGAGTTCCGCCTTGAGTTGGTTACCACTTGGAAAGCAGAACGGTTCTGGTCCAGTTAGTGGAGTGTTCGCTCCTTTCCTAGCTAGATTATTTGCTTTTTCATTGCCTTCTATCCCTTGGTGAGCAGGCACCCAGTTAGGAGGACTTTGTTTTCTTTGCCTAATTTATTCAGCTTCTCTATGCATTCTTTGACCAATTTCGAATGGATTGATACTGAGTTGATCGCTTTTAACGCTGCTTGACTATCAGACAAGGTGGCTATTTCTTGTTTCCGATAGTTCCTATCTAAGATAAGTTGTATGCATCTTTCGATAGCGTAGATTTCTGCCTGTAGGATACTAGGGTAAGTGCCGATTGGTTCGGAGTATTTAGCTCTCGGCCCAAACACTCCGATCCCTGTTCCCGTATTGGTTTTGGAAGCATCAGTATACCAAGTTATGGTATGGTCTTTTAACTGCTGGGCAAGCGTTTCGCTCTTCCAATCCTTTTTATTGCTCAATACTACATGGAGATGTTTCTCAAAGTTGTACGTTCTTAGCATATCGTCCACTGGGAGTTGCAGGAGTGGTATTTCCTTTATGAGGGTGTTCCAAGCCCCTGATCTGACAATTCTCCCAGTACTAATTCCGTTAGTGACCATTCTAATCAATGTCGCATTGGCATATCTACCAATGACAATGTGCAGTGGTGTTAGATCTAGAATGACCTCCATTGCTGCTGTTGGACAGGTTCTCATGGCTCCTGTGATGCAAACACATGCTAGTCTCTGGACTTTGCATAGGTTTAGCCTTGCCGTCCGTTGCTCTAGTTTTGTGTACCAGGCAACTGCTCCATAAGTAATCATGGGTCTCACTATCATGGTATACATCCAACATATACCCATAAAATATTTTGTTTATAGATCTTTCAGTTTTGGTATAATCAACCGAGGCGAATGAGGTGCACCACCCTGTATATTAATAAAAATCTATAAAATATTTTTTTTTAAAAATCTATTTTTCAGAATCTTTTTATTAGACTATCCGAAGTATATCCAAATTTCGAAAAAAATATTGTCATAGTTTAGCCATTATCATTTCCAGCATATTCAACCATTTCTAATTTATACTGTAGTTTATGATTTTAGCTAGAACTATTTTTTTTTCAATTGAAATAATACAAAAATGAAAAAATATATCCATTCTGTATATTTTCCTTACAAAAAATAATTCATTGCAAAATACAGGGTGTCAATAATATTCTGCGGACATAGAACTGCCACGTATTTTTGGGATTTACCTCTAGGTATACAAAAGTGCTTCGTTTGTCCGCTAAGGGGCATCAAACTTTAAAAAAATAAACACATTTATAAACACACTGTATATTATTCGATTTTAAATTAATTTCAATGCTACATTGACTGAACCCGAGGCATTTAAAAATAGAAAATTCTCGTTGAACTTGAACATATACACTATTATTTTTAATTGAAAATTCAATTAATTGAATAACAAAATGAAAAAATAGGTAGGTATTATCGTTAATAGAATTAAGCATCAATTACCAACTTTTTCTATTATATTAAAGATCGTTATCAAAAATTAACAACACTTTGACGAAAAATATCTTTGAGTAAATAAATAATAATGTTGTTTATACAAGTTTATTATTGTTATTTAGCATCTCCTAGTAATATACTGTAGCATCGTAATAAATTTTGTTATATTTTTCACGTGATTTTAAAATTATATTGAAAAAATAAACATATCTAAAAAAATAAATATATTTCAAAGTCTATTATTATTTTTTCTAAAAAAACTCATTTACATAATATCCCATGACTGCATTTCACTCATAATATAATACAAAAAAGGTCCTCTTACCTTTAAAGACATTTTGCCTGACCTACATTCAAAATCCGCGCATCCTCTATATAATTTATTTTATAATTCACCACCCCCACAACACTTTACCTCATTTTTCATAAAAAAATCGTGGGTATCGCGATCAAAATGTTCAATTTCGTGACGTGTAGCGCGTATCATACAGGTAACAAATAGAGGTGAACTAATAGCGAAAATGTTGCGAGCTGCGAGATGCGGCATTCGCTTGAAAGTGGTTCGATATCGAGGTCTCATTTGTTATTTTACGCTCTCCCAGAAAACCTTTTAAATAAATTGTTGCGCGATTCCTGCGCAACTACGCTTTTCCGCCTTTCACCCACGCAAATCCACGCTTTTCATCTACTCCAACACTTTCCCAATGCCGAAATATCATCAAAATGAACAGGCGTTTAATTTTTTACATCAAAAAGCTTCCTCACCATGTTTGCTTTTTTGAATTACATTTTTTGGAGCGGCAATTCAAAAGCTATGCAACCAAACATACACCCGGTATCGATTTACCTGTCAAAAGTCAAAAATCTTTCTTTTTTGACGTTTGTAAAATTCATCAACATCCTCGTGTTTTTAAAGCTTAAAAACGTAAGTTTTCTATTATTTAATCCATAAAATTCAAGCTAATTTTAATTATATTTTCAGATCTTTCAATATGGAAAACGACGCTGGTGAATTCGTTGACTTGTACTGTCCCAGAAAATGGTAAGTAATTCTAACCTTACACACACGTGTTTTATTTAATTTTTAACGCAAAACGAATATATTTTACACAAGATTTTGTTCTTAAAGTCGTTGTTAAAAGACTAGACACGCTACTAGTTGAATAAATGTTCTAAACAATTAATTTTTAGCTCTGCATCAAACAGAATTATCCATGCTAAAGACCATGCTTCCATCCAAATCAGCATTGCTGAAGTTGACCCAGCTACAGGCAGGATGACTGATACATCCAAAAGTTACGCTTTGTGTGGGGCTATCCGTCGTATGGGAGAATCCGATGACTGTATTGTCAGGTTAACGAAGAAGGATGGAATTATTGCTAAGTACGTTTTTTTGTATCTATTTGTCTTTGTTTTATGTAATGTATATGTTTAGTGTACTTAGTTGTAGATTATAGTGAAGGAATGTAATTGTTTTTAACATTATTTTATTTTGTTGCAGGAATTTCTAACATGGGTCTTTTAATCTGCAAGAATACCATATTTTTAATGTATTATTATCAGATTAATAAACCTACATAAGTTATTTTTTAAGTATTTTACGTGTTTTATTTTCCTTTTTTCTTTATTTTGATCTAATTAACAAATTAAAAAGGATTTAAAATAAATTAAATTAAAGCTCGACTGGTGCTGCCACCTGAGCGACAGTCGCGCGAACTAGAAATTTCAAACAGCAGGCACGGATAATTTTCCATACAGGAAAACAAAAGTTTAAACAAAAACATGGCGGAAAGTAGTGATAGTGCGGATAAGAACGGCGAAAGTACTCCGAAATTAACGAAATCCGGAAACAGTTCGCAAAATCAGGATGTAAATATAAACGCAAACGGTAAGTTTAAAACACCTAACCTAAATTCAAATTTAGCTGCCTCTTGACAGATGGATATTTATACAACATTAATTTTCATGTTTTCCCTATTTATATTATTTAAAAGTGTCTCGTTTTACAAACCTCCAAAAACACCGAATATTTCTGAACGTTTACTGGGGTTTTAACATTGTCAGATGTCCGAAATCAAAAGGTTACGGGTTTTTAACTTATGACTCATTTTTAACATTTATTCATAGAGATTCTGAATAAGAAACGTTTCGAAATGACTATTTAGGCCAGATCTTTTAAAGGAAACTCATAGCAAACCGTTTTTGTTGTTTTAAAGTAGTTAAAATATGAACAAATCTAGTTAGTGAATCAACAGGCTGTTTACATCTACCGGGTGCGTCCAAAAAGTAAAGCGCTTTATTCCAAAACACCTCGCCTGACTGAAATGTCTTTATTTTCAGTTCTGAGACCGATTTTACTGGAGGATTACGAGTACGAAGAGTCGCCTCAGAGCCTAGTAAACTTACTCAACTTTTACAAGTCTTCGTATACTACTTCCCCTAGCAGAGTGGATATTATAGTGGGCCTGATATTCTTGTTGATGGTTGAGTGTGGATTTATACCTGTTGGATTCACTGATCCAGATGTTTATTATGAATTTAGTTATCCGCGAGTAGCTGAATTAACTCAAACAGTGCCGATAGTGTCTAAAAACAACAGTAAACAATATGTAATACGGTTAATTTTACAGAATCTTGATTTGTACGAAGTAAAACTAGTAATTGTGTGCTTATCAGATGATTTAATCATAAATTGCTTTGTTAGAGGCGTTAAATTTGAAGTTAAGAGCATTCTTATAGACCCATTACTTTATTTTGTGTCTTCTAAAACCGATATCGGTTCAATAAAGTTTCAGAATTTAAGACAGCTGTCTCGGAAGGTCAAAGATGAAATAGCTTTTCCAGTAAAGTGTGCTATTCTGAAAGAGAATGAAATTCCTACTGCATGTTTTGAGGATTTGCCCAACGAGATACTTTTAATGATAATTAAAAAAGTTGCAAATAAAAACCAGTTAAAGAATGTTAATGTTAAATTGGCTGAATTAGTGAAAAAAGTTAGTAAAAATCATCATAGATTGATATAAAAAAACAATTTTATTCTGTAGGTTGTATAATTGTAATTTAATTATGATATTTTAATATATAGCTTTGAAAACAATTATTATGCTGTTTTATTTATAACCTATTACCTATATTTACAAGTATTACATACACAGATGTTTATCTAAGTACATATTCCATATAAAATTGTTTTTAGCCCATAGCGTCTATATTTATTATTTTATTAATATTTAGATAAGATTATTCAGTCTACTGAGTTTTTAAGTTGTTAAATTTGGGTTTATTTTTTAATTTGTACGTATTTTTTTTCGTTATAGACAATAGTGTGACGTCAATTGATCTCTCCCCAATTCCTGAAGCCACGTCGACAGGAACAACAGGGAAGATTTTGGATACTAGCAAAACAAATGGAGACATTGGTAAGTAAACTGCCAAGGATATTAATATTTTTGGTAACTGCCCTTAAAAGAGGTAAAGCGTTATACAAAAATTTCGTTACAATGTATGAAAACATTTTATAACTATGGAGGCGTAGTTTTCATATACAGGGTGAACTCAGGGTCTCAAGAAATCAGTAATAATATCATGGTCTTAATAATAGCCTTGTATATGAATTTTTAAAGTAGCTCAACCTAAGACGTTTATGGATGTAAAGCACCAGATGGCGGGGCGTGTTTCACAGTCTTTTACTACAGAAAAATATTTTTTGTTACTCTGAATTTTGAAGCGACCAATAAAAACAGAGAAAATAAAAATCGATAATTTTCGGACTGTGCCAATTGGTTACTAATCGACCAGATACTTTTTGTCTATTAGATGTGCTATAAAACCTGGTAATTATACAATTCGACCATTGTAAATACCCGATAAATTCCGCAAGGCCGACGAGGCCGATGCTTTTCACTGATAAGAAAAAAAAATGTTTGTTTAGGTAATTTCGAGATATTTTTCTTTCTGAATGCACATTTTTAAAGTATTTTATATTCTTTGTCCGCTTGATCTATTATACTGGTTGCATGTATCGAAGTTCTGTTTCTTCTAGTTTTAAAAAATGTTCTTATTTCTTTATAGTTGTAGTGTAAAATTAGATTAATTTTATTAAGTTTAATTATAATGTTTAGTGTAGAATACCAGAAATAGTTTAGTAGTGTTTTTATAGTTTATTATTTTCTAGTTAAGTAGTAGGTGAAGGGATAATTTGGTTATTTTTTCTTTTTGTTTGATTAATTAGTAAGTTTGATAATTTTTTCAGGGTAGAATACAAGTAGTTGTGTAGTGTTTTTATAAGATATTATATTAGTTTATTTTTTAGATGAGGTATTTGAGTATATTTTCTTTTTGTTTTTCTTCTAATTGTAATAATTCTATTAAGTATTGTGATAGATACACTATATCTTCCTTCAACTTCGTTGAAAAGTGCGTTATCATATAATTTTGGTTTTCTGGTAGAATATACGAAAAAAAAATCTGATCAAATTTATTTTAAATTAAATTAATCGAGTCTTATTAATCAAATTAATCTAGTCAAATAATAATAACAGTTAGTTTCTATTAGTTTCTAAATACTATACAGGGTCAGTTTCCTACGATCGATGTTCTCTATGGGTATCTCGGAAACCACTGGAGATAGAGAGTCGGTTAAATGGGGAAAGAATAATTGCAGTTTTGTAGGGCCATAAATTGTAGGGCCAAACATAAATATGCGCCTTTCGGATTTTTCGGAGAAGTTCAAGGCTTACTAGATATTTCGAAAAAAACAAATTTTGGCTATTTTAAAACTTGTCTCTAATTCCATTATAATCTACCGTATGATCGAATAAAAACGGCGTCAACGATGGCTATGAAATGAAGGTCGCTGTCATTTTATATGTAAAATTATATGGGAAATATCATCGATTGTCATTTCATAGCCATCGCTGACGCCATTTTTATTCGATCATACGGTATTTTAGACAAAAAGTTTCAGATAAAAGTTGTAGATAATCACATACCTAATGAGTTTGTGTTTTCTGTTTTTTTCCTAAAGCCTGTCATTTTTGACATATGACACAAACATTATGTTTTTTTAAATGGAAACCATAGTTGGCCATGACTTCATAAAAAGCGCCATTTTTTAGCGATATAGGTATAATATGTTTTTTTCGAAAAATTACAAGTTATAGCCAATTCTTTTCTTTCTTGGCTAATTTCCATACCAATAATACCATGCCAGTTAGTTGGCACCAAAAATGTAAAGAGTTTTATGTTTTAAAAAAAATGAAATGATTCTTTTATAAACCTACATTAAATCAAATTACAATAGGCATGTAACTTTTTTTAAATATTAATTAACAGCCATTATTATTATTAGCATTATCATAAAATATAAATAATGTACCAACATATTGAAATAATAATTTCTTTGTTAATACGGTTTAGAATTCTTAAAATAACAGGCAAAAATAATCCACAATTTACAATAAAATAAAAGTTTCGTTTATTAAAGTTCGCAGAAACCCGGGCTATTTTATTACATTACTCTGAGGAAAATAATGAAAATAATCGATATTTTTGACTCCGCCCCGAAAGGTTCACGATT